GTAAGCAAAACTTGTACCCAAAATTTAGAGCAACAGTTTTTAAATGGATCACTTTCCCTATTAAAAAAACTTGATTACCATTTCTGAAAACCCGACAATTAGCTAGAAATTTGAGTTTATATCTTGCGTAACGCCCATACATTTCGACCAATAAATTAAAGATATAGGAAAAATTGAATGTCCAATATCTTCGGTGTTTCTCATTCTAACAATCTTGAGAACTGCACAAATTAGTATTCTTGACATGCTATTTCATCTTGATAATTTTATAATTAGACTAAAATGAGTTCAAATGAGATCAAAAGATCATGAAAATAGGGACTCGGTGGCAACCTGGGCTCGGGATCCAAATAGAGACTGTCAAACAGCGACCGTCATAATGGCGTCTTCGTAATAGCAACGTAATCAAGTGAGCGATGTAATGAATTTTACTGCCAGAATGCAAATAAATAATTAGAAACAGATAAATAATTGGATTTTTTAAGTTATGAAACTTTGAAACGAACGATTCCGTCGCATAATGTAAGAAATATATTTCAACTCTTTGCTGCATCGGCAAAGCAAAAAAGCGAACAACTTAAATTTGTGTACCTTAAAATCAAAAACAGTGCGTAAATCACAAAATCAAACTGTATAGAATGCGTTCTGGCATACGAAACTACCACTCGAGATGCTACTGTAGCGTACCTGCAGTCTATGTAGTAATTATCCAAGTTCAGAATATTTTCCAATATGATCTGACGTCAAGTTTCCTCTCAATATTCACTTCAATTTATACTATTTTGTTCTATTTATTAATTAGCAATATCAACACAACCAAATACTCCAAACAAAACGACAAGCATACAATAAAGCGACAAGTACCAGGCAGCAAAATGGAAGAAAACAGAATATACACAATAAAAACACTCTGAACAGTACTGATGATAGCTAATTCCATGACAGCAACCAAAAATACAACGCTCAAATAACTGCAATGGCACTGTACTAAAACAATAATATCGGCTTACTGCCTAGCCTAAAAACATCCAACAAATCCCCATCCCGCAGTCACAAACAAACATCCCTGATAACCCACCGGATACCAGAGGCACTCCGGCAGACACTCATGACCAGAATCCAAACGAAAACCAATCACACTCAGACAACTACCCCCTGCCAACCACAGCACACGCTAACAGCCACACCCAGAAGAACAGAACGACAGTGTCACAGCGTGGTATGCATCTCGTGCCAGTGGTATGCATCTTGTGGTATATGTGGTATGCATCTCGTGCCAGTTTCCTCCACAGCACTGTGGTCGGATAACGGCACCAATGTGGAAGAGTACGGAAATGGAGGATTATAGAAAATTGGAGTTTGATTGTTATTTATTCCCCGGTAGACAGTTTCGAGAAAACCCTGAAGTTACTAGGGGTGAGAGTAGATGAGACGTCTGGTCTGACGACAAACACTCTCGTCCCATCCTGTCGTTCCTGAGGGAAGGATTTTTTCCTATTTTAGATTAGTCCCAGTTCGGACCCGGCTCTTTGGATTTATGATGGCTGCGAATTTTATTACGAAAGTACGCGAGATATTCATCAGAGCTCACCTAAAGCTTGGCGATGTTGAAAACAGCCAACTTCCAGCATCTTTCGGAAATCTCATCAATCTCAGTCGGGGGTTGGGTGGATATCCACCGTGACCCGAATATGAAAACTGCCACTATTATTATTAATATTAGAAAGCTCTTTTCTTCTATCATCTTTATTCTCCTCCACCTGTGATTATGGGACCTTTGTTGTTATCTTCGAGAAGCTGTATCTCAAAGTTCTCACCATGGGTTTAGTTGAATGTTTCCCAAGAGGGCTATCGCACGGGGGTTCGTTTTTGCGTGGTACATTATCTCTTGCTGTATTGGTGGATAGAATATTAGGAAAATCGGTGCACTCCCTCTGCACATGCCCGGACTTTTACACAGGCGGCAAAATAGAGGGTTTGAGCACTCACGGGCTAAGTGTCCTGTCCTAAATTAATTCAGACAAGATTGAACATACAAATCCGGGGGAAGATAGGTCTTGCAGCGTGTGCCGCCGACGTTGATGAAGTCTGGTTTGGTCGAAGTCATCAACGACGGCCTGGACATACCCGTTGTACACCTGCGTGTTGACTAAATCTCGACTTCTCACCTTAATCATTATTACAGTTTTACAAACAATGCCATAAAACTTACTTAGTTCAGACTTTTTTTCTACTGTATTTGCTTCGCTTCCATACTATTTTTAAGAAAAATATACTAATATTTCATAAATAGACTTGCTTCTTGGAATTATATTTTGATTAACTTGACGACGTTTAATATTTAGCTTCGGGACACATATAAGAAATTAGATTCAACAGGTATGTTTTTAATTGGTACAATTCAATTATGGAAGCAAACAAAAATATATTGAAACCTCAAATATATTTCATAAATAGACTTGCTTCTTGGAATTATATTTTGATTAACTTGACGACGTTTAATATTTAGCTTCGGGACACATATAAGAAATTAGATTCAACAGGTATGTTTTTAATTGGTACAATTCAATTATGGAAGCAAACAAAAATATATTGAAACCTCACATAATTTGGCGCATTCAACGTTTTCACACATTTTACTGTGACATAATAGAGTGACAATAGATAACCTGGGGTGCCGCGGAAACCACCGCTCCAGGGTGACATTGTGTGCGCGCGTTATAATGTAATCCGCCAGTTTATCAGGACTGCTCTAGTCCACCTGTCTTTTTTCAGTCCTACACAGTGTTGCGATTCTGAGCATGCAACGATCGATTGCAGCTTCCTGAGCACGATGATTACAGCAAACGGATACGACTTTCACGACCCCACAGCGATGAAGAATGTTATGGGTATCGGTTTTTAAAGATAAATTTCATATATGATTGCAAAACTTTCAGTCATATGCACTATTTTATTCAAAAATCTCAGTTAGAATTATGGGTTAAGATCACGGTCATGGAAGACAAATGAAACGAAGACTGTTAATTTACGTCTCACAACGACACACAGAATATAAATAAATTGATTAGGTCCCATGTATGCTGAAAGATTGAAATTGTCAAAGCGTCACTGGTAAGTACCAGATTTGCCTGAAAGAATTACGTACGCCAGCGCTATATATCTAGATTATGAATAGTGCACCCTGGGATGTAAATGAAACTTTAAGGGTGTACTGGAGTATATCAAATGTTATGGGCTGTTCACTCATACACGATATGCAAAAAACGTATTTAAAAACAGTTGGCAACTTGTCACAAACAAGCACTCGTATGCCTTTAGTGCACTGAGATTTCGAATGACGATGGCGAAATATAAATTTAAATTAGGACAATTTTAAGTCTATTTTTTATTGTCAGAAATGGGTTTTCTTCGTGAATAATTGACCAATCGATTTTAAATATTCAGTTGGTTAATGATCAAAGTAGTCGCCAGGGGCTAAAACGTTTTTTCAAAATTCTTATGAGATCCGATATTTCACCTAAAATTTCGCCATATCACCAAAATTTTTGTTTCGTCAAGCATGACCGTCGCGGTTCTACTCCATTTCGTGTCGCAAAGATGATGTTGGACACAAACAGGCGTATGTACGCGTCTAACATAATTACATTCTATGTTAAATTACTATAAATCGTCAAATAAAAAATCTCGTATTGGGCTACACTTTTTTGAGTGGATCACTCACAATGCGGTAACGAATGCTACATTACAAACAAAAGAAGAAAAAACACGTATTCACCTTTGAAAACGATAGAACGAAATTAGACTCTTCTTCTACTGCTTTATGTACATGTAAAAAATGACTCGTATAGTACTGAAATTATAGTTTGCAATAACAACCACTCAAAGATAATCTGAGGTTAAAATTAGACTTGCTGGCAAATTGGCTGGCAAATTTTCATCAATTGCGTCTGCTTATCAACAGGTTACATTTGGCTTCGAAGTGGAGGTTGTACATTCTTGGCCATTTTTTGATTTAGGATTAAAATGATAATAGCAGCTCTTGATTTCTGCTTGAACTGCAAATAGGTTTGACATCTGAAAGTTGTGCAGACCAAAGAAAACAAAAATATTGAAATTGCTTCTTCAGAGTCGTGCGCAAGTTTTTGAAACATTTGAATAAGTATTTGTAAATACTTTATGATGAACGTTTGAACCTTGATATTGTCAAATTCGTCCTTTAACGACAAAAAAAGGTACCCAATTCACGCATGAACTGAAATATCGCAATGAGTTGAGTTACTTCTTGCATACATGTGAGCAAAATAGTATTCGTCTTAGTCGTTTGTTTGCCAAATTGATAGCTGTGATAGCTTACAGAATATAAGCTTTTCTTTTCATTAGTCTTGGTTCTTAAATAAACTTCGACTGCTAGGTATGCATGTTTCTTTTTCTTTCTGATTGCCTAATGAGTCTTATTTTTAGTCGCCTGCACACATTGTGTATCTTTAAGCGATTCACAGAACTTTATTCATAGATCAGCTTCATTTTGATAATAATTATTATAAATATGGACGATTGTTGGATTTCGGAAGGTACGATTGTTGGCAGAAACAATCGTGCTAAAAAGCGTACTTGGCGTAAAAAGGTGTTGCTTTATACTTTCAACACAGTTATTTGCCTATACAAAAATTTATGTGCAAACTATCATGCATTATACATGAACATTACCTCATACTGCATGAGATATCGTGACAATCTAACAACGCACAACGCTATTGCTTTTTCCTTTATTAAAGTTGGTTTCGTTTCTAACATTATCATTCAATGTCTAACGATTAACCCATCCTTGCCCATCTTACTCGACCTAGATTGTCATCTCATGCAAGAAATACGTTGTAGAATCACGACAGTCTGTCTGCTTAACAAGATGTTTGATTTATCGTTTATTGAAAACGTGATACATAATTGCAAATAAATATATAGTCATTGAATTAGACCAGTCTCATTTGGCGTCAAGAATGTCGTCGGAAGGTAGCAGTACAAATTTCATACGATTGTATGAAGATCAAGAATTAGCATACATATATGCAATATATCGACCTCCCTACCCGGATGCGCTACGTGAAGCAATCATGAACTATCTAGAGAAGAATCAACATGCAAGAAGAAAAAAAGGAAAATTTGATAAAATGTTGGACGTTGGATGTGGAAGTGGAACATTGTCAACGCAAACTTTTACGTCGCATTTTAAATCAATACTGGGGATTGATATCAGCGAAGCTAAAATCAAAGAAGCAAAACGACTAAACAAATGTAGAAACGTTGCTTTCGAATTGGTAGATAGTTATAAATTTCCTGTAGAAGACAACAGTGTTGATCTCATCACATGCGCCACTTCCATTCATTTTCTTGACTTACAATTACTTGAGAAAGAATGTGAACGAGTTCTGAAACCGCGCGGATGTTGTGCTGTTTATACTATTAATTGGGGCAATATTACAAAATTTTCCGTTGGAGGAACTGACTGGAGACATAAGATAGTTTTACTAAATCCGATTGTTGCCGACTTCTTTGTCAATGTAAAATCATATTCTAATAATTTTGCGGCATTAGAACGAAATCGACAATTTTATGAACAAATCATAAATTCGTCCAAATTATGGCTTCAAGAAATTGTATGTGAAAGAGAAATGACCCTTCGTCAACTCAAAAACGTTTTCCGAACTGCAGGTGAATATGCTATTTTTATGAAACATGACAAGCCAACAACAGATCCTCTTGAGATTTTTGATTTAAACATCAGACAGGCACTCGAACTCGGAAATGTTTTTTTGAGTGAAGACATATTTTTAAAAGTTGAAATGGTGTATCCTATTTTTGTGTTTACAAAACACATCACTTCGTGATTCGACAATGTATCAACTGATTGAAATTGATGCTAAATGTTATATAGATAGATTTTTTTATTTGAGTTTACTGAGAAATAATATCTCCTAGATGGTTTCTTTGCAAATGTCCATTCATTATTTTCTTTATTTTAAACTGTCAGGCAAATTTAATGTTTTCACAGAATAATAAACTTGACCTTATTTTAATTATGGAGTTTTGTATATATTGATGAAAAGTTACCATTCCATGGAATGGGTAGAGTTCTTCGATCATCGGCCAAAAATATTCTAAATTTTCCACTGACTGGCAGAGAAAGTAAACTGTCGGAAAATAGTTATCGTTGAGAATACACAGATACACATTTGCAGTAATAGGTCACACATCCAGGATGGAATGGGAAAATCTACCTACCTGGGTCTGTTATTGTGTGTTTATAAACAGTAAGCATTAAAAACAGTGGCTAGCTCACGGCAAATAAAGCTTAGCATCCTAGTAGTAGCATTTTCTGAAGATCTGATCCAGCAGTAGGATAGATTCATGGAATTGCGCAATTGACGTGCAACATGTTTCGGGTATTGGGATCTGTTTTTTCTTTTTTGTAATAATCACATAAACTACAAATAGCTTACCTTCTCTTGATAAGTTATAAACTTATATATAATAAATATATATTATGAAAAATGCTTGCAGGGCAATAACTATATGCTTCGCTATTCCGTACGCGAGATGGCAGTGAAGTACAATAGCGTTGTCGCACGTGATGAGAGATTTTTGAATCTGAAATCAATCCTCATCTCAATTTTGATTATATTGTTTGATCCTCACTTACCATTGCTTTTTTGTCACGTCATAGATGCACACTGTTATTTTGATAAATGAATGAACTAGATGAGGATTTGTACGACTGGAATTCTTTTTGTCGTTTTGTTGTCATGCATTTCTGTGAATAAGCAATAGCGCTCGTTACCCTTAAACGAAAATAAAAATTATGCTCGATGGCCAGCGTTCCAGGCCATAAAAAGGCGCAATTCTTATTCCTGCACTCTTCCTAATGACCATCAATAACCTTCCAAATAATCGAATATTCATTTGTGCTGGCGACACTACTCTTTATTCTTGTATTGATAAGAAGTCGGATAAACAACTAAATCTTCCGAAACGGACTTGATTCGGGTGACAGGTCTCTCTGAACTCGGAAATACCTAAAATATTATCAATAAATCGTTATAATAATTCTGATGCAGCTCCAATTTCAATTTCGGAGGATATTCTGAGTGAATCATCTGTTTCTCGTCCAGCTAGGCTCAGCATCTCCACGGATTTGAATTGGAATGAATATAAAACGCGTCAATAAAAGTTGGATCTCTTCACCGTGATCCACGACATTTGTCTCGTGAGTGCATACATCAGTGCAGATCATCGATATGTACGTGTATGTAGTATTGTTGTCATATTTGGCCTGTAGCTTTCGTGACCGTACTAAACCTCCTAGACCAGGTGCCTGGGACATTTTTGTCGGTGGGCCATATAACCATCCCCCTACATCTAGCTGGGCTATACAAAAAATTAGTTTTTCCATGCACACAACGAATCAAAATATTAACAACAACTAGAGCGGCGCGAAAAATGCAAGAGAAGAGAAATGCAGCAATCGCTTAGCCTGTCAATAATCAAGGAACCGGGTAAATGGCGAAAGATGTAACGCAGCGCCAAGAGCAAAAAGCATTATGTAAATTTACTCACGTGATCGCTTTTTTAAACATAAACTGTCGGATTACGATTTTATTCTTGATGAAGAAAATCTGAGTGTTATAACGTCTACACCAAGTGGCTTGGTGGGCCGAGTTGTGGCCCGCGGGCCGCCTGTTGCACACTCCTGTCCTAGAATATATTCAAAAAATAATATCAGATATGATTGGCGTCCGAACTGCAAACTCTTTCCCGTCTACAAAATAATGCTTATTTTATAAATATTATAATGAATTGTGTTTTTCTGAACTTTCGGAACTTGTCCCTTCAAAAAGGTTCTCAGTATTCAAACTGGGTTTATGAGCATTGCACCTACCAGACCAAACGTTTCATTTGCATTTTTTTTCGAAATACCCTCATTTATGCGGAATTCACTATGCGTATAGCTGTTGGGATGATTGTATTAAAAGGAATCGCTTCAACGGTAGGCTATTTACTAACGTGCAGTTCTACACTGAAAAAATATATAATTTCTTAATTGGAGTTGTATTATTCATGTCGTCCTCGTATATGTTTTCTCATTCAATCTAATTGTTAACGAATAACTAATTTCAAAGACTTGGAGTGACTCGAATTGTTAATATAAAGTAATTCTACTCGATTGCGGCCTGGACAAACTGACACACATTTTAACTTGAAAATTTTTTATTTCTCATAAATACTTGATTACTTGTCTACTCGACTGCTCGAGCTTTGAAATCTGTTGATGATAGGACTCGGTTGTTCTAGACAACATAAGAAGAAGATATATTCCGAATATTGCGTTTAATTGAGTACCACAAAAAAAAAAAAAAACAGAAGGAATATCAATTTTATTTTCGCCACATAAACTCTTTTAGATACTGCTTATGATATAGCTTCTGTAGCTATTGTTTAAATAAGATACGACAAGTGTCCAGTTCCTGAAGGTGCATACGATCATGCGCAATCTCTGGTAGAGACGTCGCTTGTTTTGTTTTCGCGTCAGACTTGTAATGATTACTTATATCGTCTTAAATTTTGTCCTGCTTCGAAGATACAATGCATGCTGCGTTCAGGTACTATAATCTTTCGAATAATAACCTATTATAGGGTTTAATCTCAATGCACACATGACCTCGTTTATTGATAAAAGTGTTATGTTATGTAGTGCAATTCTCTATTCCAGGCCTGCACAACATACGGCCCGCGGGCCGCATGCGGCCCGCTAAATACTTCTGTGCGGCCCGCGGGTAATTTGGAAACACGCCACTTCTCAGGTCTAACAGCCTAAGCCGGCATTGTTATGCCAGCGCGCCGCTACTCGTATTCGAAATCGTGAGATTTATGTTTTGCACTAGTTTCAATAAATATCGAACGTTGTGTGAAATTGGTGTGCCCTCCGCGACCCATGAAATTCGTCGCTTGACCTCTCGCCCCCCAGTGTGGAAAACCCTGATTTAGATATCTCAGTATTCAAACTGAATCACGCTTAAAACAATATCGGTGTACAATCTCACACCCATTAGTGCATATTAGCAACCTATTATTAGCCCCATTATTTTTTACTGGCAGGTTATGAAACTGAAGTTTTTTTTGAATCAAATTTAGAACTTAAAAAACAATTCCTTCATTTATGAATGGTGCAGAAATTCTCGCACAAAAGATATTGCTATTTATTGTAAAATTTCAAATAAATTGGAGCAGATTTTGTAAAAAAATGTAATTTAACAGTCAAAAAAGTACAACAGAGGAAGATCTATCTATTGCTACTAAACGGATTATTTGTCCAGGCTACAATGGAAATATCCAACAATGGTAGATCTGACTAAATAAATTGTCATACATATATTTGGGACGATTTTACAAAACGGAACCTGAGTGAAATATTTTCCTGCAGTCAGTTTTTACTGCAACACGCAATACCTAATTCTAATAAAAGAGAAATATTGAAAATGAAGGGTGGGTTTTCAAGGTAGATGAACCACTAAATACATATTTGTCATCTCATATGCAAAAATACTGTACCTTTTTTTTACTAAAGAGAATAAGATTTTTCATATTTTTAAGCTCCCCAGTAATGAAAGAGTTTCATTAAATTTAACTGTTTCACAATATTATTTTGATTTGTAGTTCATCTTGTGAAATATGTATGTGGCAAAGTTTGCGGCCCGCCGGGCCTTCAGATTTATGCTTGCGGCCCTCGTGGTAATTTGAGTTGTGCAGGCTAGTCTATTCAGTCATATATCGATCCAGACCTTGCGTAATATACCAGGAATTGATGAGCAAACAATATGAACTGAAGAAATAATAACATGCAAAAAACGGAAATATAGAATATATTGTACTAATTTCGACTTTGTATAACCAATGTAAAATCGAGATATTACATAAATCAAGAAACTCTCTTTCTTTCGTAATAAAAAAAAATTGTTATTCGTATTATATTCCAATAATTAAGGTAACAGGTTTCTCGTCCATCTAATATCATACTAAACCTTTCAAATTCAGGTCTAAACACCGAACTCTGGTGGTAATTCAGAGTTAATGAAACTCAATGAAATCTAATCTGTCGATAAAAAGATTTGGGGTCGATTGTAATAATGTTTTCGCTGAGGAGCAAATGTTTTACAGTTGGTAAAACGTTTTAAGCTAATTTGACTCCAACCATGTAATTACTCCCCATATTGACTCCGCACAATCATCGTATATATTGCTCTTTCGTCTAAATGAGATTAACGTCCTCGATGTTTTTCTGTTGAACGCGGATTGCAAAAAGAGTGCAGTAAACTCATCTTTGACAGTAATTTATACCGGTCGTTTTACCGGAAAATGTGAATCTGAAGATAAACCTTCTTTCAGGACAGAGCTCACACATATTTTATAATGTTGGTGAAAGCAGTTTTAATCATAACATCGTTTCACTGTTGATTGAAATTTTATTCCAGTAAAGTACGAAGTTTAGAAAAAGATGTTTATGTTTTTTTTGGTGTGAATCGTTATAAATAGACACCATTAAGTATGTTTATAAATAACGTCAACATCAATTGTGTTCTGTTTTACAAATTTGTAGATAACAAACTGATTCTTCTCACTTCCCTGTCATTTGGGATCAGTACGACATAGTTCTCTTCTAGTATATTCCAGTTTTGCACCATCAAGTTCGATACTAGAATTCAGATTATTTACATTAACAAGAGATAATGCGATTTTTATTTTGAGTTTTGTATTTTGTCAAAGGGTTGTTTTCAATCAAATATTTCTTTTCAATTTTTTTGTAAACTAATTTGACATATACGCGTTTAATAAAATATGGTATGTAATCTCCAACCCACAATGCCACTATGGCAAACGAATACATTTAAAGTTAAACCACCCATTGCGTGCACACAAATTTGTGTTACGATAATAACGTTTTATTGATCGAGTTACTCACTGACAAATATGTAAAATTGGCGTCACAAAACACAAATTTGTAACGCTTCTCTGATCCTTATTTTGAAATTACGGTTAAGCTTGCTAAGTAGATTTGGTAAATGAGCAAGAAATGACATCATGCTGCGACAATATTTGAAGAATATATATATAATATTTAGAATAATAAGGGAGATATAATAAGCACAAGAATATAGAATATCGGAACGTTCGGAGAGGTATTGATAATTGAAATGTTCACCATATTTCCACGATGATTATACTTGAAAGGAAACCTTAAAAATCCACAGGAATTTAATTATACCCGGCCTTCAATGTAGAGGGTAATTAATATGCATTGCAAGGATATATTATACTTTGACTTCGTTTATTTTATAATTACAGCATCGATGAATTTTTGTTGTTAATCGGTAAAAACTAGTATAAAATTAATTTTTATGATGAATTTGGATGCTTAATTTTCAAGATGAATTATGCATTAGGATGCTTGAATACTTTATATGTTTTCTATTATAATGTAAAACCTATATATTAGAATTTATTGAATTTTAAAATATGCCATAAATTGGTAATGAAACATACACTGACTAACATAATTAGCAAAATACAATTATATAAAATTTATTCCAGCTGTCGATGCGAAATCAAGCGATGTTTGTATAATAATTAATAATTAAAAGGGATAATTTTATGATAATATTTAGAGTAATAAGGGAGATATATTAAGCACAAGAATATAGAATATCGGAACGTTTGGAGAGGTATTGATAATTGAAATGTTCACCATGTTTCCACGATGATTATACTTGAAGGGAAACCTTAAAAATCCACAGGAATTTAATTATACCCGGCCTTCAATGTAGAGGGTAATTAATATGCATTGCGAGGATATATTATACTTTGACTTCGTTGATTTTATAATTACAGCATCGATGAATTTTTGTTGTTAATCGGTAAAAACTAGTATAAAATTATTTTCAAGATGAATTATGCATTAGGATGCTTGAATACTTTATATGTTTTCTATTATAATGTAAAACCTATATATAAGAATTTATTGAATTTTAAAATATGCCATAAATTGGTAATGAAACATATACTGACTGACATAAGTGGCAAAATACAATTATATAAAATTTATTCCAGCTGTCGATGCCAAATCAAGCGATGTTTGTATAATAATTGAAAGTAATAATTTTGATAATAGCGAATACGTAATTAACAAAAATAACATTATAGGTGCAATGAGGATTTTAAGTTTTATTCGTATAATCGTTCAACTAACAAATTTCAAAAACCTATAAAGACTAAGAATGATTTTACTCTATCAACATAAAGTGTTTTTTAAAACTCACACTGAAATGGCATCTAATTATCTGTAAGTTAAACAGCCTTATATATATACATATAGAATTCAAATTATTTTCAAACTACAACCCGCTTTTAACATTAACTCCAAAATGGAACATGTACTTAATGTAGTGATGGCGTTGAAAATATGCTTTATTTAGTGAAATTTAGTTCTATGTATTCGCTTGGTTTACTTAAATCAATAAATGCATATACCTATTGATGCGAAGTGTAATTTGATTATTATTTTGAATAGTAAAAACGTTACGAACAAATCATGTGTGGAATAAATATTATTATTTGTTCATTGTCACCTAACACGAACGTCAAGGATAAATACGAAGATATTTAAATAGACTTTTTTTATCGCAATTAGCCTATGTGTCCAGGTAAGAACAACAAAATTTCGATTCTTCGGCGTTCCGTTCCAACTCGAAAAAGGACAATTTACCCAGATAAACTATTGCTACTTAATTCTTATTTTATCTAAACTAAAATGCTTTTCTCGACTAGTATTAGATTATTGCATGCATACTAAACTATCAAACAAAAGATTCCTACTTTTTCTAAAGAAGTTGAAAGAGAATTTGTGCGATACATCTTCAGTTCATTTTCGGAATTTGTATTAAATTTAATATTAAAACATAAAAATTAATAGTCGGTAATGAACCAACTGCCTTTTTTTCTTTTTTATGCAATCCAAGTGTCATATTCACATTTACTTTAGAGATTCATAGAGACCCATACACATTTTCATTTGTGTACTTCAAATAAATCGAAAGTAATGTTTTAGTATTCGAGGAAGGAAATATGTAATATCAAATGCACACAAAATCTTGTAGATAAAAATATACCAACCAAGAAAAGTATATTTAATGATGATTTTTATCGTTTAAAGTAAAACGGCGAGCTAAAAGATTTTCAAGTAGTTTTTCTGTATACTGAAATAGACGTGGTTTCGTTCTGAGACATAATGCACTTGACAAACTGACTTTTTATCTTAAGCTATTGAACGTTTTGTGATCGTTTAATTCCATATTCAACTGAAGTACGACCAATGAAAAAATATTTGACACAGTACACAAAGTTTTTATTCATTTTTGAGAAAAAGTTTCAATAATATTTAAAACTATCAAATTCAATCTAAGTCAAGCTCAAACATTTTTGTTGTCATTCATTTCTCGAGCATTTGCCTTGCTGTGTGCTGATTCCAAACATCTCAAGGAATTTGAAAAATGTTTATTGCTTGGATAATCAGATTTGCCGTGATAAGGTAAGAAGGAGTCGAAATTATTCAACACAGTTGATGAATCACAAGATTTGCGAAATTGCACATGTCGTGATTTATCTAGAATCATTGTCATTGGAGAAATACTACAATTGGATCGATATACCGGAGGCAACATTTCGCTTGATGCTTCTGCAAATCCCGCTGCGGCCAAGGAAGGTGTTAAATATTGAGTTGTATGATTCTCAACAGAGCTTTGATCGTCCGAGGTTGACGCTTGTCTTTGATAATTTAGCCGCTCTTCAGACGATTTTTCTTCTCCACCAAGCCTATAAATCCCCGACGTTGGCGAAAGTTGGTCGTCGCCATTTTGTTTGTGGTTCATAAGTCTGAAATAATCATGAGTTAGTTATAGAGTTTTTTTTTGTAGATTGTGCATATTTATTGATAAACGTAGTTAACGTCTTTATTTTTAAAAGTTTAAATATTTTTGGTGGTTGCACACTTGATGTGCCACGCAATCCATATCTCGTAAATTCAAAAAAAGAGCGGAGCTGTTTGTGCTGTAAGTGGCCATTCAACTTGTCACATTTTTGGTGACGCGATTATATTTTTGGAATGACAAGATATTGACATCGACCAGTTTTACGAGAAGCGAAAAAATACTTTTATACAACCAACCTGTTTTTAGCTGCAGCAGCACGGTCCCTTTGCCTTCTGTTTTTGAACCAATTTCCAACTTGAGTAGGCGAAAGACCAGTTAATCTTGCAAGTTCACGCTTTTTGCTCGGATTTGGATATGGATCTCGGAGATAAGATTCTCGAAGACAATTTCTTGTTCTCTCTTTGAAACAATGACTTTTTTGTTCTCCATTCCAAATACTTCTCGGTAATGGAAACTTTTTCCTTATTCTGTATTTGTCAACTGGACCAAGTGAACGGCCTCGTGATCTTTCAGCATCTTGATAATGAGCTTCTAACCACATCGCTTGCAATCGATGGTGCCATGCAGCATCAGTAAATCTATGTTGTTCCAAAATACCATAGACTTCTCTAAAGTTACCTTGATGAAATGCTACAAGTGCTCTTGCCCTTAAAATTGATTCGTCTGTTTGCAAAGCTTCCATAATTACTGGTGTTGCTGGAAGAGACCACAAAAATCTAGAAAGTCTCTCAATGTCTCCATTTTCTGCCAAGGCATCGCAAACTTTTGCAATCTGATTTGAACCGAGGGTTGGAACAGGGAAAGGAAATATCGGAGTTTGCGAAGATCTTTGAAGTAAACTCAACATTGTTCTAATTCTTTCCATGGAAGCAGTAATATTGGCCTGAGAAACCTTTTCTATCATAGGGAAAGTTGAATGAATATCATCGAAAGAGTTTGAGGTAGTTGACGATTTTTGAGAATCAGAATCTTCACTCGATTCTACGATTTCTACGCGTGGAAACAACTTCATGTTTTATAGCCAATATTTTCACTATATACTATAAAATTTTTTAATACAATACATAAAAGAGATTTAACATAAAAGAGATTCAATATATGTGCAAAAACCCAAAGTGACTAACAGTTCATAAAATGGCTGCCAAGCATTCTACAAATAAAACTACTCAGGATACTAATGTCGAAGAATTGCTCAATCATCTCAGAGATTTCGCTTAATATAGTCGAATTTTCGTGACGTCATAATCCCTATTTTTTCTCTCGTAAGCACTAATTCCTTTTTCTGCGTTCTCTTATTCCAGACCAAATGAGTCCTATTTACCGAAGAAAATATCACGCAGAGTATATACGACAGCAACCATAACTTATTTATAAATTTAAAAATCCAAAAAAAAAAATAGATGAACTAAAATGCGTAATAGTTTTTTAAACGTGTTCTCATCAGTAAGTTTTGAATGGGAAGTGACAATATTTGTTGAAATAAAAAAATGAAGCGAGCTTAAGAAAAAAAAAGTAACTTTCGAAAATTGAAATATTTTCATTAACAAACTCAATTGTACATAAAACTTATTATATTCTTTTTATGAACTTTCTTTGTTTTCTCGTACTTGTTAATTTATTTTGAATAAATTATGAAATATTAAATCATACTGATAGTAATTATCAATAACATACTTAGCGCTAAAATAAATTTTACACTTTCGACTTCGACACGCGTATCACTTGCAACTGATAAAAGCATTTTTGTAAATTCAACTGCGAAGACATTTGATCCAACATATGTTTTTGTGAATGTCAAGAGGATAAATTACTTATCTATACTTATTTCTAATTACCAGCACTGCACGATACATCACGGCACAGAGTTGACACGAGAGCTTTGTGTGACATCACACTTCTTACTACAAGTTTCATACAAGTTTATCTGTATATTATCCTCTTATTTTTAATGATGACAACTTGAAGAAGTCAATATAAGTTTACATCAACATTATTATGTATTGTTTTATTGATTAAAAACTCATCTGTTGTGAGGAATTCGAATCTTAGTTATCAATAATATTTACTATAGATAATAACCTGTGAATTGGGTAATACTTCATCAACTAACTTTGCAAAAGTAAAAAAAAACACTGCAGCAAAATCCAACTCCAGATATATCGAAAATCAATGTCTTTATAATCTAAAATTTGTGATTATTTCGTTAACCGAAATACATAAAATTTCGTATTGGGTATTTATATAACACAAGATTTAAAAAGCCCACTTTCAAAACTATGATTAGATGCTAATTCACATTCTCTGACGAATGGCAAAACAATGCCAACTAAGCTTGAAACTTTTGGTTCTGGTTACTTAGAAACATTTTTTTCATAAGTTTCGAACAAACATCACATGAAAATCAACTAAATTGTGAAATGATAATTATTATTCTTTTCACATTTAAAAAAACTCTCCTAGAGCTCATGCGGTGAAAAGATGTTTTGTAGTTACTATTATGCGTACAGTTATTGACGTATTTGCGAGAATACGTACAACAACTTGTATCACCAATAGTATAAATAAAGCAAAAAAAAACTATTTGTCTACATTAAATTTCTGACGCTAAGTTGATTACATTAGTAAGGCAGACGGGCTTCACATTCAACACAAAATTGTATTAGTAATGCAAGATGATAAAATAAAATAGTCTTTAGGTTATAACTTCAAAATGTGAGTATATATTACATTTGGTATTTAATTCATATTTGGCTTGCTCAGAGGTGCTGTTCTTTGATATTTTAATACCATTACTATTAATTAGGATTTTTCTCGCATTCAGATTATATGCCATGATTAATATCTAATCACCCGAAAGCTTTATAAATAAAGATAAAGCACCGTCGGAAACGTTTGTTGTTTTTACTTATTTTTGTTTGATGTCAAGTCGGTAAAACAACATGTTAAGAATTGTATAATCCTAATTTAAGAGACTTAAAATTCCTTAAGTTAGATTAAAACAATGTTCATTCCCAGAAAACTTTATTTACCGAATGTGTTATTGATAATATGAATATTCAATGGACTATCAAAATAATATTTTCTGCATGTATTTAACATGGCTGGTTTGTGCAGTGACAATGAATTTCCTCTCATAATTCGATAAGGACTTTCAATGGATACTAGTTTTAAACATTGTTGACATGATTTGAGATAGATAACTCGATCATCGGAAATTTATTGAAACCAGTATTATTCAGTTTAAGTTAACTTGATACAGTAAAACAACATTTTCAAACATCTTCAAAAACCATCCATTTTGTAAATTCCTTCAAAGTTTTAAATAATATCTGTCACGAAAAAGAAACTGAAAATTGTCTTTCAAATTTTTGTAACTTAATGTCCCACTGCGATAAATTAGCGATGCCTATTCGCTTGGTTTGACTAAATCGATATAAATAGAAATCGATGGAGGTGATGTGTATAAAATGCGGTAATTATTTCATGGGTTAAGTACATCACCTGAGCACGACATGTGTTGAATCTTCACAGCGGAAATAAATTTAAATCCCTAATACCTTAATCACGCATCAACGGTGTTAATGCTATTTATTTCATTTACTTCGAGTGGGATGACAACGGGACGGAATTAATTTTTATTGTGTTTTTATGGGATTAACTTGTTTTCCCAACAATGAAATCAAAATATGTTTAAAATCACAACAATTTAAAGTGTTAACTAATCATCCACAATATACATGTTTACATATTGTGGGAAACAACGAGATTTGGGGATAAATTGAAAAGTACAATTTTATTTATTGTGTATAAAATAAAATGATAGATTACTAATTTTTTATCGCATATAGAATATTGATGCGTTATTATATTAGGGCATGAAATTATGGCAAAATCCTGTATATAGATAATTTGACTAAAGTGTATTTTATTATGTACTGTAATTTAGCACGTTGTTGACATTATACATAACATACGATTTATCGTGTGAATTTAATTTTATAGCTAATTGTTTTCATTTAAAGATTATTTAAAGTGTAATAAATTTGTGTACTAGAATAGCTCAAACTAAGTTTCGTCAAAATAAAAATGCGTCAATGAAATTTAAATCGCAGTAGAATATAGTCAGATTGTCTATCTAAGAGATGAAGCCCTGTTGTTGGTGTTTTACTTCTTTTTTAACGCAGACTCAATAGAAAATCTGATGTCGTTATTACAAGCTCTATGACACATTATATCTGCTCTAAACCTGCTGAGCTCATATTCCCCTCCATTCAATATTTTGATGGAGAGACGCCATATTGTCGATGTTTAAATCCTCAACGACCTTTGATATTTAAGTTTTACGAAACATTGAGTTTGATCAGGGCTCAATCTCTTAACTTAAAAATACCGCCCCGCAACAAATTTAAAAGTCTTATTGTCCACAAACATGGCCGTGGACAGGATGCTATATTTTCCATTAAACTGAGAGTCGATTATTTTGTGAAATGAGCTAAATGTTGAGTGTGGATTGCAAGTTATACTATGCACTTTTGTTCAGCACAAGATACCAAATAAATTTTCCGAGCAGTATTCGAATTTAGGAAATAATTGACTGCGATTGATTGTACAGCAACAAAATAATAGATTATTTCATAAAGCTAAAATTAATATGAATTCTCAATTTTCGTCTGTGGGGACTAAACTTAATCTTTCTTTCGCACGCGTGTTTTAAAGCACTAATATATGTATGGTAAGTAACTGTATTCTGGTATACCTTCTGCTGATCTGCCTTCTCACCAAATAAGAGTATATAAAATCATATTATTAAAAGAAAAAAATATTAAATGATTTAGATACTTTAATAAAGTATTGACAAAAATTTTAGACTTCTGTTTTGGATTAGGTTACACAAGAGTTCGTGTCAATTTTGAATCAAACTGAGATAGAATTTGTGATATATCCTTACCCACTACACCATTACAAAAATTAATATTGATTTTGTTTTTCTGCTGCATGATACTTGGCCAAAACCCAACGTTTTGAATTCGAAACAAACAATTCAAGCAAATAGTTTATTCAACTAAATTGTGATTTTATTGTTATAGCTATAAACTAACGAAACCATTGAATCACGCCAATGCAACTTTTTTGTTCATACATCAGTATTTATTATTATAAAAGTTACCAGTTATATTACAATATGAAAAAAACATTCCAATGAGTGCTCCATTTCAAATTCGACATAATTCATTCAGAAATAAAATACGAATGAATTCTTTTAAAATCTGATAAAAACTACATTATGCAACGCATTCACGAATACAAACAACTCTCATATCTTATTATGACGATTTGTAGGTTGTATATTCAACGTGAAATTATTTTTATTCATTATTATTATTAATTCAAATTATTCAAAATTATTATTTTGAAATTATTCAAAGAAACAGTTCATCCATATGTTGTTATCTGGATATTTGAGTAAATTATACAATAACAAAAATCTTGTAGTATTATTTGTGAATATTCAAATTTTGTGCGTCGGTGTTGTCGATGGTTTTTTCCGGGGATCCGAAAGTATTTCTGAAGTTGGGATTGTTGCGGCTACCCAAAGTGTCTCCAAAGGGTAGAAACGCATGGTGATTTAACATAAAACTCGAAGATTTACTGAATTCAGCAAATGCTGAACGCTCTGAATTCTCCGAATTTTTTTGCGGTGAGGAATCATTAGTTTTTTGACGAAACATCGATGACATCATCAGTTCTGTTGACGTATTTTGATCATTAAGAGTTGGAGATGGCGTTGAAAATCCTAATACATTTTTAGAAGTATCGAGATCGCCTGGACTTGATAGCTCTCTGTAGTGATTCAGTTGTTCTTCGATCGAATTTTGTCGCGTTGTACCTTGCTGAATATTTAATGTCGACGACATGTGATCTCCGCCATTTTGTTCGTGGTGCATAACTCTAAAAAAAAGGTAAAAATATGTATGAGCCATAGAGCAAATACGAATATAGAAATGTGCAAATGGAATAAAGGTATTTATAGTCAAGCTTTTGCGCCATAAAGAAAAAAATATCAAAATTGAAATAGAATGATAATATGGAATTGATACGTTTCAAAGATCTTTTATGTTTATTTAAACAAGCTTACCTATTTTTCGCAGCAGCAGCACGATCCCTCTGTCTTCTGTTTTTGAACCAATTTCCAACTTGAGTAGGCGAAAGACCAGTTAATCTTGCAAGTTCACGCTTTTTGCTCGGATTTGGATATGGATCTCGGAGATAAGATTCTCGAAGACAATTTCTTGTTCTCTCTTTGAAACAATGACTTTTTTGTTCTCCATTCCAAATACTTCTCGGTAATGGAAACTTTTTTCTTATTCTGTATTTGTCAACTGGACCAAGTGAACGGCCTCGTGATCTTTCGGCATCTTGATAATGAGCTTCTAACCACATCGCTTGCAATCGATGGTGCCATGCAGCATCAGTGAATCTATGTTGTTCCAAAATACCATAGACTTCTCTAAAGTTACCTTGATGAAATGCTACAAGTGCTCTTGCTCTTAAAATTGATTCGTCTGTTTGCAAAGCTTCCATAATTGAAGGTGTCGCGGGCAGGGACCACAAAAATCGAGCAAGCCTTTCGATGTCTCCATTTTCCGCCAAAGCATCGCAAACTGTTGAAATTTGGGTTGATCCAAGGGTGGGAACAGGTAGAGGGAACATCGGTGTCGTATTAGAACGTTGTTGCACAAAATTTAACATATTCTTTAATCTTTCCATAGAAGCAGCAATGTTCGGGAGGCTGAGAGGGAAATATTTTCCCGAAACACATGGTGTTTGTTGAATATCTTCGGCAGACGAAATTGAATTGGCTGATTTTTCTGAATCAGAATCATCATTGCTTTCCGCAATTTCTACCCGTGGAAACAACTTCATGATGTTAAATATGTTTCTCGTTATTACCTTGAAAAAAAAGAAGAGAGTCAATATTGAGGAGCAACTTTTCACATTCTCATACTTTGCTGGTAGGTTGAAATTTATATTACATACAAAACTACTACTTGATGCGATTTGACTTCAACGTATGGCAGAACGCTCCTCAAAACTCAAAGTGATCAAGTTTCAATTTTTCGTCCAATAAAAAGAGAAAATGAGGTGACGTCATAATCCCCATTTTTTCTCCAATTCGCTCTGTCAATTCTCTTCTCCGGCGGGTTAAAATAGATTCTCAGAATGAAATCCATCATGCTGAGAAGTACAGGCGATTAATTTAAAATCGTTACACAAGACTTATGAAATTAAGATAGAAATCATAAATTAGTTTCACAGTATTTTGCTTCTTCCATTCCTGATTACGGTTGGCTGGATCAAAAACATAGGAAGGAGTCTTAGAAGGAGCATAAATAAAGATGAATCAATGAATTTGTTATGTAGAAAACCCTGTTTAATTGCATTTTTATTTTATTTTTGCTGTATTTCTACAATAAAAACAATTTCTTACTATGCACTATGCGCGGACTAATGAGAATATTTAACACTGTTACATTTCTTGCTATTCACAGAATGAAAATCTAAGTTTAATATCATAAAAACTATCTATCTATTAGCGATTGTGCTTAAAAAATACTATAAAATAAAAGTTTTGATAAATTCGTAATGTCTTGCTATTTTCGAAAATCTTTATGTTAGTCATGTCATTCTTTCACACCTTTCAATAGCCATGTTTTCACTTCACACCTTGACTAGTACGCGCGTGTCACCCGCTACTGATTACAGGATTTATGTATGTGTATCAACTGTGAAGACACGCGATCAAATCTGCTTTCGTGAATGGATAACAGATTTATAAATTATCTTAATTGATATCAATTAACATCACAACATGATATATACTGGATATATAAATTTGTTTCTGCAATGATATGTCTGAAATGTATAGGCTACAAACAAACTACGATACCTATCAACAAAAAGCCAACAACCGCCTTTGTTGCGTCAATATTAAGTTTGTCGAATTTTAAACATCATTTTGTGTTGTTCGTATTGTTTTACTAACGAAAGTGTCCCGACTACAAGACGGCCATCCTAATAATGTAGCCTTCATTTTAAGCATATTGATATCTCTTTTTGAAGTCATTGAATAGTCGTGGATTTATTGGAGTCAACAGATCGCACTTCAGACATCACATCTCACGCACAACTTCTATTTGATAGGCAGCAAGTCGATAAACTTAAATTTCTCACAGCCTAAGTGGATGACCAATATCTTATAAACCCTAAATCTTGTGATTCTGCACGTATATTATTTTTGTTGTATACAGTATTTTCATAATCAAAATATGTTAGTGCGAAAACATCATGATTCATCAATATGGAGTTACTGCGATGGACCCAGTATGCATTATATACATTGTCTTTTATACATGATTTTTACATGTTATTATGTTTGTTCGTCTGTTTTCTATTTGTGTATCTGCTCCATACTTCCACTTGACTGAAAAATTTTACAAGCAATAAATATGCTTTTGTTTCTAATTTTTCATTTGTTATATACCATTACCAGATAAACGTAACGTGACATCAGTGGCTATTGGCCACGAAAATTTTCTTACTGAGACAATATTGTCAATAAGTATTCACTTGGTTACCCTTCATGAATGGATGTGTGAAATTATTGATTCGCTATGTATTAGGGTAATTACCTAAAACTGAAAACCCTCACGCTATGACAGAAATATTCCGTTGGTCCCTTCCGGCACCAGATTTTTGCACGAATAAGATTTCAGTGGTGATCATTTATTAGTATTCATTCATTTTTAAAGCGACGAAAGTTTTTTTATAGTTTTTAACTAACCAAATCCGATACGTGAGGGAAGTCGGCATAGACATATATCACATAGATATATTTTCCGTATTTTTCCATTTGTTTTTTCATATTTAATGTTTAAATCGGTGAACTTATTTTTTATTATCAAGCTAGTTTCATTCAGTAGTACCAGAACGTAGCTATAGAATAAAATGTCTGAAGTTTTCGATCCTGGGTATACCGGTAATTCAAAAATTAGATCTAGTGTGTAAAACAATTTGAAGAAATGCCATGAATGTGATTACTGGTAATAATTGATGGTATTTGGAATCTATGGCTTTAAATATTCACGCCGAATTAGTCGTGTCTGCTGCATGGATTGAGATCAGAAAGAAAGCATTATTAAACAAGAGTAATAAATATAATGACCTATGGGGCAAACGGTGTTTTTGTCGATTTTAATAAAGTTTTCCAGTTTGTAAAAATGTTCGAAATCTATAGAAGATTTTAAGATAATTAGACGGTTACCTTTTGATTTATTTTTAGACGGATTCTATTTGAAAAGTTTCTGGTGTATTAGAATTAGATTACAATCAACATTTCAAACTTATTTCTATCAATCGTCTTGAAAAAGTTGGAATAAAATAAAACATTTGGTAATAAACACTATACTATGTGTGAAAACTAGATTCAATAAAGTGAGTTGGTTAGATTATTATGTCCATAAACTAACAGTTTTGTAAATCGACGGTATTCATTTTAAGCATCGGATCCTATAATTCTGTTTATCTCTAATTTTGTGTAAAATCAACATATTGACATTGAATTTATATTGCATGTTGATCATTTTTCATCGATGTGCATCAAAAATCTTAGCTTGTATGTTATACTTAGTGTGTGCTTTACTATTTTGAATAATAATTGTTGCATCAACGACAGATATTTCAGAAATAAATTGAGATTGATAAAAAAAATTATACCAATAATTAGAATTTGTTAAATTATCTTTCTTGATAATTATATTTTAAGATATTTCTACCCCATGCTTCGAAATTCAAATAATTCACTGAATAATCAACGCAATGCCGCTGTTCTATTCGTTGTTTCAAATGCACATATTTTATGAATTTATTTCAATATTGATTTTTTTTCTCACTTATTTATGTAGTGTTCGATTTAGTGTTCGAGGGCTGCATGCATGACGATGATTTAGTATGGATAAATTTAGAATTCGCTATATTAAACCTAACCGATATAGTAACTAATTATGTATATATATGACGTTTTAACCAAATGCGTTAAAAATCAATAAATGCATTTGCTGAAGATCATAAAATGATCAGCTTATCGTCGAAAACAACATGTTGATAATACTAATTGTTTTACATCAATGAACTAATAGATTCATGATATGAAGTATTTGTTTATTGATTGTATCATCTGCTTCATGACTTTTATCCCAATCGACTTTTTGAAAGTTGGGTAATAACGGTATGTTATATTTATGTTTATCTCATCCAATTAGTCAATGAAATAAATTAAAAATCATCGCACATCGATACTATTATGAAAATGCTAGATTTTTTTTAAACAGGTACCAGTGAAACTCATTAAATTGATGAAAATTTGATGAAGGAAAAGAATTAACGAAAATTATTAAATTACTAATACTGAAATAAGTTGGAAATATCTGTTAGCTTGGTTCATTTTTGTAAGAGTGTAAGCAGCCGAAACAACAAAGTAATGTCCTTTTAATCTAGGATTTAGAGTTTATTTTCAAATAAGTATAAATATACGCTTAGAGGATGCTTATTTTTGCGGCGAATACTTGATGTTGTTCGATCTAAATTGTAAAATGAATACAAGGATTTATCCAAATATTACATTCTTATTCTGCTATCAATTTTTGTAATTATTAAATATGTAATTTCTTAAAGAATTGCAATGCATATGATGCGTATTCCCGTTAGTACATTAGTACTAAATTTAGACCATTTATTCATATGTGAGAAATGAACAACATCAATTTGTTTAGCTCAACACAATCGATATGTAATTCTACCTAAGCTCTTACTTCTTAACGAGGTCATGTGTTCTTTAAGATAATATTGGGTAATACGGTAATTATTTCATAGAACAAAACAACTCGAAAACAGCATGTGTCGAATCTTCTCGGCGGAAACTAATCCATAAATACCTTTATCGCTCATCAAAGGTATTATATTATTTACATCAATCGCTTCAGGTGGATGACAAAAGGATGGAATTGGATTTTGTTGTTTTCACAGGATTAGATTAGTCCAATTTCATTGCGCTTTAACAGTCGCTGCTGCTCACCTATTTTGCACAATCAACTAATGGTTTCTTACGCACTTTCATCGTAGTATTTCACCGTGAGCACGCAATAAATTAAAATTCAGTTTTTGTATAATTTTATCCTTTTGAATAAATAAAGCCGTATCTCCAAACATTCAATAATTTTGCAAAATAAATTATTGTAAGAAGACAAGATTATCTATCTGGCTGCGTTTGACAACCACGAAAGAATTTCGATAATCCACTCATGCGTGTAACTAATTGGATGACAAGGTAGGCCCTATTTTGCAAATGATGTCGAAATGGTCTCAAACAATTCACACATCGTCAGTTGTTCTAATATTTCGGATACAATTACCATGTAAACGTAAAAAAAATATACTATAGTAACCCCAAGTTATCTTAAAAATCTTAAGTTAATGAATATTTCAGAAAAACAATCAAGAAAATTGTAGTGCATTTCATTACGGCACAAATAGGTTATTGATGCAGGTTATATTTTTTCAGCAAATTAATCTTAGGGCATTTTTGTTCAAAATGAACTTACAAAATGAAAAAAGAAAAACGATATTTACGATTCGAATTGTTTGATTAAGGAGTTGGCAGATATATTACAACCAGATTATTTTTATATAGGTTCAAACCCGGAACTCAACAATTCCATATAGAATATTTCATTAAGTGATTTCAGAATAAAGCTCAAAGTTTCGGCAATAGCTAACCGTATCGGGAATATTTAATATGGCTACTGCTAATTAGCACCTAAACTATTTAATTACATTTTAATAGTAAGAAGTCCACAATAAATTGTCATATATTTCTATTACTGAAAAGAAGATGACAAAGTAGTTATGTTGTTTAAACGTCTATCATCTATGAGAATGCAAGTTTTAACTTTCTACAAGTGTGCCTGAGATTCATACGGCAATATCGGGAAAGCGTTTTCAGGACCACACAGACAGATTTCACTGAGTATAATTAACTTTTAAATCACGTCAATGACGCCTCATCTCCCAGCGTGATTTCGATTTATAATATTACACAATTTCCGTTTTGTAATCAAAATTAAAGCTATGCCTTTTGTATCATCCAGTTATTATATTATATGATTCAAAAAATATTAAAATACATATAAAAAAGTCGCCCATGGTTACGGTAATTTTTGGCGAATAACTTTATCCCTGGTATAGAGACGGATTGTCGGCATATTAGGTTATAATACGTTTTGTGCGTGCTTTGTTATTCATAAAAATTTAATGGTTTCAGATTCTCCAACTGAAACTTATCATACAATATATATTTATCCGTAACCCGCTGCGTTTGTATTCCACTAAATTAGTTCTTTTCAAGAAAAAGCGACTTCGAGTCGCCACGTGAACCTCAAACAAGTTTATAGATAGGGTATAGTAAACCTAGTGACTCGAATTTTTGTTGTAAACAATATAATATAATGCCAATGGATTCATTTGTAAATATTCACATAAATATGGTTCAATAACAAATCAAAATTATCATTTTTACTAATATTTGACTGCTGAAGTTTTACAGAATAAGACTAAATCGAAATAGTTTTATTATTCTACAAAACACTGCAAGATATTTTTGGTTTTCTGTTTTTATTGTCAATTTGAATTTAGGAATGGAACATTTTTTAAGAAATATACAGAGGAAAATTCTTTTTATCTATTAAAATCACCTAAAATCGAACCTACAACTCCTTAATGTAAGAAAGTCATGTTGATTTTTGTAAGTGTAAAACAAATACAATTTATTGCTGGAATAGCAGAGTACCATTATTTTGAAGTTCGATTTTTAATAATGGTACAATTGATACGCTAAAATCCATTAGATTCGAAATAGTTCAATTTCATCATCACCATGGAAAATAATTTTGATGCCCAAAATCCACGTACAAATCCGTTGAAAATTATACTTTTATCGACTTAACGTTGACTCTCAAAAGATCACTATAATTTCACGGTCAGAAGATCAAATGCGTCTAGAGGTTTCTTAGTCAAGAAATGTGGAATTCAACTCGCCATACAGAGTACAATTTGAAATACAAAAAATAATTAAAGAATCTTAATAAAATAATAAAAGCCTTTTAAATAAACATTCAACATAGCACAGTATAGATCACGTGGGAGGCCAAATCTATTTCTTGCATACGTGTAGTTTGCTAGTAATTTTTCTATATTTCCTATAATTTTAGTATAGTAATTTTGACATTAGAGACAAAAACGGCTTTAGTATTTCAACGCCAGTTAAAAAAAAAAGGTTTCTTTTTAGTCTCATTTTTGGTAAGGTTAGAAATTTCAAAATTGGATCTAGCGTGTAACATAATTTCAAGGAAGCTGTATTTGAGATTATCGGTAATAATTGATGCATTTCAAAATGTTATGGTTTTAATATTCACGGTGAATTATATGTATCTGGAACACGTGCCTGGATCACAAATTGCCGTGAAAATACACCTACAGATTTATATATATATTTTGCTGTTAACAAAGCTGTTCCAAAATTATACGAAATAAATATACAGAATTTTATCACTTCATTAAAATACACAAATTGGGAGATGTACAGGATAAGCTAACATATATAAATTAGACCAATTGTTCAATACGTTTTATAACAAAAAAAATAATAACAGGTCAAAAGAAACAACTTTTTATGAAATAATGAATATGCAGACAAGCATTGCTGTTAACTATGACAAGTTGCAATCTTTCGCCACTGTTTATGGCGTACGACTATACTGAGAAAATCCCGTATACTTTGTATACTTTTTAAAAAAAAAATTGTATCTTTGTATAATTTGTACAAAAAAATAAATAAAATTCTGAATACTTTGTATAATTTGAAACGTACCAATGGCCAAAGATACCATTCCACGTAATCTACCGTGAAAAGGATAAAAGCATTTTCGAAACCTGGACTTTTACCCAAGCATCAATTATTACCGTTAATCTCCTCTCAAAGTTCCTTAAAATTGTATTACATGCTAGATCCAATTTTCGAATTATTATTTAGGATTATGATTTGCGAAGTGTCACGCCCTTTTGTGTTGGACTTTTGTTACTCTGTTGCAAGTGATATTACACCACTTACACCTCGTTTTACTCTCATATTCGTCAAGATATTAAAATTCTAAAGTTGAATACGCATTTTAGCATAAAACAGTAAACACGACGCAAACACACAATTAAGTTATATTTTTTTACAAACATCGTTGCGAAACTCTTGAAATTGGCAGGTAACATTTCAAGTCAACACTGACATGGAATCAAGTAGGTGATAGGAAGACCCATAAAGCGAAATTTCATGAAAAAAAATGAGTATAAAATATTATATACCGTATTTCCCGGCGAATAAGTCTCTTTTCTAGGCCCAAATTTTTGGCCTGAGTTTGAGGGGGTCGTCTTATTAGGCGAGTATGATAATTTTCATTTTTTTGGTGTCGCCTCATTATGTATTAGGTAATGTTCTTTTATGGTGGACGCAATCGCGACTTGAACACAAGTAGATTAAAATTTCAAGACAGTTTGAATTCCCTTAGTTATTGGATTGAATATTACGCTACAAGAAAACTTCATTATAGGCTATTTTAATCAATGCGCAAACGCGGCGACCGCTCAAAAGGCATTGCATGGTAATTTGAGATTCCGATGTTGATGTGATTTCACTACCCCGACTTATTAGCAGGTTAAATGCAAAAAAAAATTCAGGCTTGAAAACGGGCCTCGTCCTATTGGCCGGGTAGACTTATTCGCCCGGAAATGCGGTATCTATTTTTGTTATGACGTTCATGCCAATCAAACAAAATACAGTTCACTACAATTGTCTATAGTCTATACCAGGGCTACTCACCTGGCGGACCGCGGTCCAAATCCGGACCTTTCGAGTAATTGATTCGGACCACACCTAATTCTTTATTTTGGATCATTAGCCCTACTTTTGAAGTTTTATATTATAAACTGACTTTTATTGTTTTGAATATATATGAAAAGAACTATAACGCCAAATAAACAATCTTGATTAGTTGATAATCATAAGCCGGTCGAGGAAGTGCGCGTTTAAGAATGTCGAAATATAATTTCTGGAAACACCGGAAGCAAATAACTTTGAAGTTTTGTATGCGGATCTTCGGTAAAAATAGTTGAGTAGCCCTGGTCTATACTATAAATTAGGTATAAATATAGTTGTACATACCTTTGCCAAAACTGCAATTACTTACTAATAAGATTCATTAGTTATCATTTGGTATTTATCTGTTACAAGTTCAATATCAAAATACACACACATTCTGATCCAAAGGGATTATTTTTGTTAGGAAAATAATAGCATTTTGACTTTCACATGAGCTTACATTTTTCTCTTTTTCATAAAAATACACTTGCCAATATGCATTCGTGTATTCCAAACTTCTTGTATGCATGGAACGAGCAAACCTCTACATTACGTAGTAAAAGCGTATAGTATTGATAGATATGTGTTCTCTGGCAGAGATATCGTTGGGGGTTGAAAAAACTTCAATAATCCCTGTCACCTGAATGAACATTCGATAATCTTGCTCTTTAGTGGCAGCTAGAGGCATGATATATTATACAGTAGGATAATATATATAGGGCTCTGTCGTTTGGTTATTTGTTACAACTAACATTTAAATTTAAAACAAAAAGCGATATATTTTTGCCAAAATTTGGCTTATTGAACAATTGAACATAGAGTTTTAGTTTTATACCACAGACCAAAAAAGTATCCAAGTTACGGAACCTTGATTAGTAATATGCATTACAGCAACAAAGTTTTCGAATTACGCGTTTACTCTAAAATTCGGATTTCTTCTGGATATTATATTATATCAGGGAACTAGAAATCGCCAATTTACAAAGTTTACAACGATCGGTATCGCCACATATGTGTCCATCTTACACCCATTTGAGCTCTACTTTATTTCAATATTTCCAATATTCTCAGCTATTTGTGGTTCTATGTTATGGATTCAACAAATAATTTGAATTAATCAAATCAATGATGCTTTTGTATACATAAATACAGTATATTAAGCAGTATTAATTGAAGAATATCGAAATGGAAGAAATGGCGTTTATACAAGGGGTAAATGGGGAAAATTGTCACAAGTTTGTTGAGAAGTGAATTTGATAACTTATTCCTTTGTGTTCAGGGCCTATGTTAATAAAAAATTAAATAGGTTTCAGGTCTGCGACATTTACTTTATTCCCTCCGGGCTTCAAACGTTTATTTATTTTGTAAGACCACGCTGAAATATCACTAAAGGTTCTTGTCAAATTACGCGTTAAGGATGATGGGACGGATTATTCCTTTTAAATTCAACAGTACAGAATTAATGAATACTTTATTGTTTAAGTAACTATTTATAGTAAATGTTTATATAGCAAAGGAAAGAGAACAGTAAATTGAAGTTTTGAATATTATTTAGAAATAATTTATTTCTTTATATTACGATTAAAATATTTGCAATTTCTTGATATTTCTTAAAAATAAGTCAAAACAGAGTAAAATTGATCTAGATTTTCAAAAAAGATGAATATTGGGATAAATACCCCAAAAAGCTGCTTTTAAGTTGGTTTATTCAATCTAAAACGAACTTACAATATACAAATTGTCTTGAAATCAGTTAAATAGCTTTAACACCAATATTACTGAAACTTGTTTCTGTTTTATCAGATGAATTATTCCGATAAATGTGACAATTACTAAGTCTGAATTGAAATTTTGCCTGGGAGCTATTTCACGACGTATTTTGACAATAAAGCAGATTTTTATATGAACTTCCATGTCTAGATAAACTAATAAAATACATTTACAGTGGAATATGAATTACGTTGTTTATTTTCTTTGGACATTATTATTTGCTCTCACATCCTCTCAAAGGAATAACCCAGAAACTACAGGTTGGTAAAACAATAAATATGGAACATGACGAATGTGGTATTTCAAACCACTCATCTCCAGATCATATACAGTATACCTAGAAAACACTAGCTGCGGGCGAATTGTCTTGGAAGAAGCGTTGCCAACATGCTTGGTAACGTAAACCTGGATCTGATGATTATCTTATGTTTTCGATCGAATTATGTTGTGGAGTATTTTCAATCACCAATTATTAAAAATTAAAATTTTATATATAAAGTTATACTGGTTTTTGTTTATAATAATATGGTCGAACATTAGGCATTTATTTATTCATTTTAAACCCACTATAAACACTCTATGCTACTGCATTAAAACAACGAAAAGGTGCTGATTTTCGTTTTATTTTTTATGGTTGTTTTATGTGGTTGCTATGACAATTTTTATGACGGTATGGAATTGTAATAAAGGTACATCTTATGAGTAAATTACATTCACGATACCTATTTTTGATATATTTTCTAGAAAATGAAGTTAAAGTTGAATACATTTGCAACAATCAAAAAGCAACATTAGAATGCAACCAAGATTTTCATTTACTTTCTATTGACCATGCTTATTATGGAAGAATGGAAAGAAATGTGTATGTAACAAATATATTATATAACTTTTATACAATTTGATTTATACTCCGTTACAATAAGTACAAACAACATCTCATTGTCGTTTATAATATAAGTGTCGTAAATACCACTTTATAACATAGATAGCAACAATGAACTTAAATACTATAATTATGTTTTTTCGTGGTGATAATTAGCATTTTTCCGATCGTTCATTTATATATTATATATAATTCGTTTGTAATACAGTCAATCACATGTGTTTATTTTGAACTATGAAGTAATTTAATTTATGTTAATTACTGTTTCCAGGTGTCTGCAGCCAAAACCTGATATTATTTTAAAATTTCAAACATTCCAAGAATGTATGTCGTACTCATCTTTCAACACTATATGGAAAGTTTGCCACGGAAAGCGACGCTGTACTTTGTTAGCTAGCGAAGATGTTTTCGGCAATCCATGTTTGAATGGAAATTCTTACATCTTCGTTAAATATCGCTGTGCCCTCCCAGGTAATATTAAGTTATGTCAAGAAACATTGAAGTCATCAATTCATTTTTTGATACTATGTCAGTTCAGTGAAATTGTATACATGGTCACGTGAGCTAGCTCTTCATTGTATCCGACAAACTAATCAAATGACATCACGTATTCAAACTTAAATGACACGTATACGATTTTGAAACTTTTGGATATAGTTGTAATACACGTAAATAGTAAATAGAAAAATAAAATATTATTCGACTTTATGCATGATATTCTAGGCACCTCACAATTTGGAAGTTGCAAAACCGGGGCTTGGGGTTCGTGGGCGAATGACGATGATCCGAAAGGGGCAGGAGATTTTGAGTTATTCAGCAATCACAGAGCCGAAGGGGTCGTTGAATGTGACAAACCGTCCGGCATGGAGGTATTTACATTTTTAATTTACGCTTTCATCCTATTGTTCCGTAGCGAAACACCGAAAGATTATCGCAAATAAATAAGAATGAATTTCTTAACACGGCCTTTGGTAAACGTATTACGATGATATTATATTTTCAACAACAGTGTGATGCCTATATTTGTCGGACCAGGTTGTTGTTTATTAAATATGTTGCTTCAATTTATACACATGTGTCAACATCTAAACACAGTTTAAGTATTTGGAACGATGCAATTTTGTGATGCCCATTTAGTACAAGAATGATTTAAAAAAATCTCTTCGAAATTTGAAATCTAGGAGAATAATAAAATAACCAACGTAAGTGTTTGAAAGAAAATATGATTGCAAAAGATTTAGGTTCCTGAATGCGCCATAGCTTACAATCGTGGCTATAGGCTTTATTTTGTAGTTTTCTTACAATCTTGCGTACGGAAGAGCGCAAGTTGTTTGAGTGATTATATACTCCTCGCAGGTTCGACTTTTAAACGGGGATCCTTATACTTTGGGAGAAGATGTGATCAAAATTGAGAAAAATTATGGGGCAACTTGTATCAATCAACAACAAGATGATAGAGTTTGCAATGATTACAAAATTAGATATTGTTGTGATTCAAGTGAGTGCATTTGAAAAGTCCTTTGTATATTGTACATAACTGTAAGCCAGAACACTTTATTCAATAACTCGATATGTATATGTCTTAGATAACTAACATAAGTCAATTTGCGATGTTACCTATTATTCCCCTCGGAGGAAAAATTCAAATTGATAATATATACTCATTATTGTATGTTTTACAGAATGCGAACGACCGTTACCACCGACAAATGGTTATATGACTTCTACTGAGACTCAAACATTCTCCGAAGGAGATAGAATACAATTTGCTTGTAATTCAGGATATGAACTTGAGGAATCATCCGATTTTATTTGCCTCTCTTCCTCAGAATGGTCCAGCAATGTTCCAACTTGTGTTGAAAAGGGTGCAACTTTTTATTAAACATTATAGTTTTATGTGAATATTTTTTCGAAATGCATAAGTAATCGTTTTCAAGCAAACTTTTCGTATATACACGTATGTAGATTCCATGAATGTCAGAAAATTATCCTATACGAAAAAAAATCATAATACAATACACAAGTGGACATTGCATCGAAATCATTCGACATTTTTAAGAGAAGTATGGAAAATTAACATGCCGATCAATTCAATAGTTACTCAAACTAACGAACGCTGTCGTGTCTATATTGTAAGCTAAATATAGCATGCATTTTATTTTGTATGTTTCAGATACTAATAATATCAAATACTGCTTTACTACTGGATTTCCTCACTATACAACATTTGATGGAAGAAACTACAAGTTTGGAGGAACTTGTAGCTACACCATGGCAAAATCTACACGCAATGTTTCAATTGAGTCATTTTATGTATCAGTAAGTAAACCACTTGCACTTTCATATGTTTGTTGTTAGAAACTTGTCTTTCTCCTATATTCTTCATTGCACAATATTGAAACTAACATTAAAATTTTCAGATTGAAAATTCAAGAATTTTGAAAAGCGAAACATGGATTCGAAAAGTTACAATTGATATTTTCGGACAACAAGTTGAAATGCAATATGGAAAAAGAATCTTGGTAAAAACAAGAAAAACATTGAATCATCCATTATTAAAAACGTTTGACGCTATCACTACTTACAATGAGTATTGGAAATCAAGGTTTTCACTTTACAATTTAAAAATATTTCAACAAAGAAAATCGTTTCTATTAAATAAAGTTCCTGAATCTACCCATTTTATATGTGCATTTTTTGAAAACTCTGAAAAGACCGAAGTTAAACAAACTTCTGGTGTGCAATTTTAGTACATAATTTGAATACAATATATTGTAAAAGGAAATATATGAATGTGGCTGATCTTATAACATGAATGCCGACTTGCAAAAGTATTGTGACTCCGCCTGTCAGAGTATAAAGATAATCTATCTTATTACATATATATATATATACACTTTTGATATGTACTATCAAGTCTTTTTACATTACTTTTTGTTAAACAAAAAAAAATTGTAGGTGGACAAAGTTGTAGTACGTCTTCCCTTCGAAGTCGAGAACAAATTTGTGATTCGAACAAGCGGAAGATTTATAGAACTTTCAACAAATTTCGATATGACCGTTACATATGATGGACAGGGATATGTTTCATTAGGTCTACCAGACAAATACTCCGGTAACACAGAAGGTACGAGATAGATTCTTTTACATATACTTTAAACCTAATTATGAAGCCTAAACTGTTGATATTGGAGTAACAATACATCAGGTGACACAAAAGGTCTATTTGGTATATATTTTTATTCAAACATCTTATCATATATAAAAATGGCGAAATTATAAACAGTATCTGAGACAAAGAGATAAATTTATTAAACAAACCCACCGAAAGTTGGAATGCCACATCAAATTACAAGCCTGTATGAATAGCGATATTATCTGTTTTACTACAATGATGTGGTAGATTAATTGAAATTTCACACCGAATAAATTGATGTAAAAATAATATTATAATACCTGCAGGCACAAGTGATATTTTGTTATCCTATAACCCAAGTATCAAAATATTTTGATGAACACTACGTACTTTAATTGTTCAAAATTGAGAACCATACAAGTTTTAGAAGCATCCGTTATCAAATAATCGTGTGTCTGCTTTTTTGATTTTATCTTTTTAATTAACACTCTGTCCTTCCTACCTTCAACAGCGAGATTGATAAAGTTAACCTTGATCATGATAGCAAGGTTTCAAAAAATGCAAGAAAACTATTCGATAATGTATGCAAATTCTTGAGGCATCTATTCTGTTATAATTCGATAGCATGTGACATAGATAGTGATATGTGCCTCCAATTTAACTTTGAATTTATTGTCATGATTATAATAATTGCATATACATAATCATATGTATATACCATTTGTGTAGAATACATGTGATAATCGTTCTTGTTGTTTGTACAATTTCCATATAAACACACAAGCCACATTTACCTCCGTTACCACTCAATTACGTGCCGCTGCATTTAAAACAAGAGAGCAACACTCAAATATATAGACACGTAGACGAGGGCGAATCAGTCCTTACCGGTACCTTTGACGCTACCGGTACCGATAGAAAAATCCAAATTTCCAGTAGCAGGAATTTTGCAGAATCAAAACGTACAGCCAGTCATCACGCGGACTAAAATCCATGTTCCTTCCCATGGATGAAAATATTACACAGAATATCGAATTTCATGGAATTCATACAAAATTTAGAAATCAATAAAAGTAATAGTCTTCTAGAAAAAAATTTCATTCTCAATTACTGAAAATTTCAAAGCAATTGGACCAGTAATCAAAGAGAAAAGCGACTTTTTAAAAACGTGTCAAAAAACAAGAACAACAACAACATAATATTGAAACGATCTCTATGTCCACTACGTGTCCAATGAGTTATGTTGAGATGTTCTACTATCATAGTATTGATTATATTTGCGATTGGTATATGAACTGAAAATATATCTCACAATACTTTTTTTTTCTCTTACGTTTTTTCGTCTTATGTATACATAGATAATAGAGTATTTTGCACAAGCATGTTTGTATATGTTTACGTTTACATTCAGTATCTATTAGGCTACTTTAAATACCGACGATGTTTACACTGCGCCACGTGATGGTACCGTCCGTCGATTTACATTTTTTTTTAAATAAATACAGGTGACTTAAACCTGAAAACCTAATCTCACATTCGGTTATACGAGAAGATTGGGCATTCTCTCAAAAACACAGCGGTTCGATCCAAGAATGAGCAAAATTATTAGCAAGTGAACTAATAATATAATTTTTTACGAGTAGTGTTTTGAAATGAAAAATGCGCCTAGTTGTGTCTGATAAGGTTGTATAGTAAAAACCGTTTATTCCGTTTTGAAGGATTGTGTGGCAATTACAACCATAGTCCTGAAGATGATTTTGCAGTTCAGGGTGGATTAGTTGTTTTAACTGAAACAAACACGTTTGGAAATCACTATCTCATTCCTACCACGAACCCGGCAAAAAGGTGATATGGCTTTTTACAATGTCTCAGCATTTTATGAATGAAAACTAGAAAGTTAACACCTATTTGATGGATATCTTTTAACAACCTTGTCAAATGAACCAGATTTTATCAATTTAATAAATGTATTCACAGAATACATAAGTGAATAATTAACAATACAGTTTTGCATAGTTCGATTGTTATCTGTATTCAAAACAAGATGTGTAATGATTCATGGCATACTTCATCGAAAGTCTGATTCATGACTAGTTTTGAAAAAATTCCAACGAAATTTTACAGAAAATGTTCCAAAATTACTGTTTATACCGTTTTTTTCTAAAGAATGCAATTATTTTGATTTCAAGTTGTAACTCTGTTGATGTCATGATTGAATCATCTTGCTTGGATTCAAATAATTTGATGCAATTTGAAGATGAATGTTCTGTCATCACAAATTCAGATGGTCCGATTGCTGCTTGTTATTCTGTTGAGTCAGAAACTTTTCATCAGGTTTACCAATAACTTATTTTCGTAGATTTGTTTGACTTATTTTTCATTGTATAAATAGAATAACAGATTGCCTGTTTTATAATACGTTAAACAGTGTTATGATAACCGAGAAATGTGTTAATCTTCTTTTAATTGAATACCCTGTAAGAAGATTATTATACATATTACATTCATATCATTCTATTGTTCAGAACTGTCTTTATGACGTATGTTATCACAATGGATCAAATGATGCTTCGGAATCCTCAATAGCTGCGTATGTTGAAAACTGCCAGAGAAGAGGAATTGAGATAAATGAGTGGAGAAGCTCACTCAATAAAAGTGAGTTTAATTTTATTTTTAATACATAAATTACCAACATAATTTATAATAATAATAATAATAATAATAATAAGTTATTCACATGCAGTAATGAAGTGTCAATCACATTCTTCGTACTCGCATTGCACTAGTCGTTGCCCAAACACCTGCTTAGATCCCGATGCCGCTGATTATTGCTTTTCTACAACGTGCGTTGAAGGTAGATTAAAGGTGATATTGGGTGCCTGACGTACTTTGTTGTTTGTAACGTAATCACATCATTTGCAGCAATACTAATTTTGTCAAACTTTCACAGGGTGTAAAAGCATTAAAACATATAGTTCTGTGGTATATATGGATATAATACGCATAAAATAAAATCTTACGAAAATTACGGTTGGCGAATCGCGTCTCTGGTTGTTGTGTGCGGGTTCAAATCTTGTGGTCGTTAATTATGGGCACGAGGATTACTGAACTCCTTGCTGTATTAGGGGGGTTCACATGAACTGGATGGGCCACACGGCTACCATCAATCACATACATCTGAAACGAATAATAACTACTGAAGTAATCACTTGCCCAACTTGGACTTGTAACCGGACGAGAAGCAGTAGCTGTTCGCTATTTGAGTAAGCCGTTTATTCGACTGTTCTCTGCTTCCGGATGAATATAAATATCAATATCTCATATCCTAAATATCATTTTATTCAATATCATCTCATCTCATATCATAAATATCATTTTATTCAATATCATAAATATAAATATCATTTTATAAATATCAATAATTTGCCATGGTTCATTTTTTTGATCGTATCCGGATTTAAGTTAATTTGTATGACGCAGTTAAGTGACGTCATAATGGCGCACTGTGACTTAGGCAAAAATGTGTCTATGACTTGGGGACATACGCAATTTTACAACTGTACTATACGCACCAGTCCTAAAACTGAACATTCCAAAAACGAATGTAATTCTCAGTATCTACAATGTCTAATCCCCAAAATAGCTAATCAGTTTCAATTACATTATTTTTCATGTTTAAAAATATATATTGCATCAATATAACACGTTCTGCACACCCACCGAAATAAGACTAAGATCAAATCTAAGAAATAAAACAGCAATGCACCCAATATAAAAGCCAACCCAGGTGAATTGGACTCGGACAGTGAATATCACAAGTGCACGTCTTCCTATACTGTAGTATAAATTCAAATTAATACGCGCAAAGCTAGAATTTGAGATGCAAAAACTCTAAAATACTTCGCCGAGGTTATTTTGCCTTTGTGATGTCACGTGCATGTCATACTAAATCTCCATTTTTATGGGTTTCAGAATTCTTAAAATAAAATCTGAGTTAACAGACAGGTGCGCAGCATTACATAAATACCTATTTTATAAAAAACTCAAAATCGCCAAAATTGACTCACGCAATTCGGTTATTAGCGTGACGATATGATAAACATATGAAATGACACTCTCAGGAACATTTTCATAACATGATATTGTGTATATTTATTCGAACAAACCACAAATGATGTAAATGTAACAAGATATTATAATGGATTAAAATATTGGGCCGTCACTGCACTGCCAGCATCTGGTTTAGTTTATACTAAACGTCATTCACATCTCACTTACCTACACCTCTGTTTCTTCCAATAATTTTATTTTAAATTTTTTTCTGGCAAATAATTTTCATATTTTACAGATTTTAAGTATTATATATCATTTTTAGTTAACAAGCTTGCAAAATATACATATCATCTGATACTTGTAAACTAGCCTAATATTTAAAAGTTTGAATCAACAATAACAACATCTTCATATATATTAGCATTGTATGTTTAAAAAGTGAAGCATAACTGCAGTTGCACCTACAGTCGTTATTTATATACTTTTTATTTGTCATCCTATTCCAGTGTCACCAAAAATTGTTATTTGCTAATCAAGGATGATTCAAACGTCAGTAAAAAATAATTTTTTAATACTTAATTGTGAAATATTGCATATTTTCCAATTGTAACAGGTTGCGTTTGCGATAAAGATAACGTGCAATCAGATTTAGAATGTGTGCCGCTGTCGGATTGTGGCTGCAAATTTGAAGGAAAGTATTACAAGGTGAATTAAATAAGTGCTAAAAGTTTAATTAAATATTCACAATCGAGTGATGTTTTAACGTTGGACTTTTATATTTAGAACAGAGAAGCACAATTATCTTGGCAATGTACAAGAAGATGCGAGTGTCTTAATGGAGTCACATTTTGTAATTTACATACTTGCAATGAGAGTGAAACGTGTAAGAGAAACATTCTAGGACAAGAAACTTGCGTGAAAGATTTTGAAGGTATCCTGAATTACATGATTTCTGTTTCTACGTTTTCATAATATGTTCTATAATAACGCCCTATACGCGCTCTGATTGACATGTAGGGTACTACGACAGAAGTTTTTTTTTGCCAATTGGCTCGTCTGATACAAGTTTTCAGTAATATTAAAATTCACAAATTTCTCCGATTTCCAATTGGATTGATTTTAAAATAGTTAAACAAGTTAATGATCAATACTCAAACATTGGATCAGTACCACAGAAATATGCTACAACAATATCAAACTTTTTCCTTTTTGAGTATGATAATTGGATCACATCTTAGGAGTCAATTAGTAGCTCATAAAATCTACATTACCATGGTTACCAAATAAAACCTATATGTTTAGATTCGGCACATGTTTGCAGAGCCTGGGGATCACCCCATTACACAACTTTTGATGGAAGTGGTTGGTACGACTTCAATGGTCGATGTGGATATATCATGTCAGCATCATATACCCTACCACCTAATGACCCACGTTGGTTTCTTGTCAGTGCCAAAGGAGGTTCTAGAGATCAAACCCAAAGGATACTATTTCTAGAGTCTGTACAAGTACAACTTCAAGACAAAGCGTTGGACATAGTTATGTACAAAAATGGCACAATCACGGTAAATATACAATAACTTTTAGCGTTTTAACACAAGAATTGTAATTTTTAATCTCCGATACAAATCAGTGTGACAAGCACTGAATGTTAGTAATAATTAAACTTATACTCCGCTGAAAAAGAATAACAGCTAATTTTTTTAACCTGAATGTCGTAACAAGTTTTGCATTATAAAAATATATATATGGATTTTCATTTTAAAACTAAATTTATTTTGTTATGTAAATGAATGGCGATCTCTAGTAGAAATCCCAGTGATATTTTACCATTAAAGCTAATATTACATCTATGTACTATCTGAATTGTAACCTGAATTTACATATCGATATTGGAGTATGGAAACTTAAATGTATAGATGAACAATGATCGTGTGTTGGAGGCAAGAACAAAATTATTTACAATATCACGTTCCGGGCGCTCTGCAATTGTTTCAACACCGTATGGTCTGGAAGTATCATTTACTGGACAAGTTATGTATATCAAGCTCAACGAAAGCTATAAGGGACAGGTATGTATGTATATATAGAGGCTTTTTAAAGTAGTTTTAAATATGCTTGTTTGTGTTTCTTTCTCAAATTGAAAATAGAATAATCAACCAGCCAGACATTAGCTTTCGAAACTGCTGAAATGTTCGTCAGTGCTTGAAAACCCGTCGCCAAAGGCTTAGAAATACCACCAACCTAGAAAAGTCACCAACTAATTTCAATTGACATTGTACAAACAACGTATGCTTGCGCCATAATAATTAGTACTGTGATCATATAATATGTTTTTGTGCATTAGGTTCGTGGCTTATGCGGAGATTACAATGGAGACCCGTCGGACGACCTACTCTTACCTTCAGGATCCATGGCAAGTTCACATGATCAATTTGTCGGTGGATATCAGTTGGGAAGTTGTTTAAGTGATCACGCAACATCATATGTTTGTTCTCCTGAAAGAGTAGATATGTGGTGAGATTTATTTGCTAGGCTATATTAATATTTAGGATTTACACATTTATTACAAGGAGACAAAAGCCGATAAGACGGCTTAATCATATGGCGAACCACGGCCTCTCGTCCGGTTACCAGTCTATGTCGGGTATAGGATTAGTTATCCAGTTAATTGATTTCGAAAGCATGGACTTGATGATGGAGGAAGCCGTAACTGACCAGCGGTTACGTGAACCCCACTATGACGGCCCCATTAAGAGTCCAGCAATCCACTCTTGCATAACTATCCCGCATGAGATTCAAACTTGCGATCCAGCCTAGAGTAAGGAGAGGCGCGGTGGCGAGCGTATTTCTGACGCATACCACGATGCGCCACATAACCGAAGAAAATATGATGGCATACTTTGATCGGCTGCCTCGTAATAGATTAATCATAATTAAAACTCTGCCTGAAATTTAACATATTTTGACAGGAAGTCTATTGATTACTGCGGAGCTTTATTAAATCCTGATGGCCAGTTTTCATCTTGTCATCAACATGTTGATCCAGAAATGTTCACAGAAAAATGTTTATTTGATGTCTGTGTAACTGAAGGAGATAAATCCGTTCTTTCACAAGTAAGTTGAATTGTACATTAATCATTATTTTAACAAAAAAGGAAAGGAAAACATTTGAAACTGAAGTAGGTAAACTGAAACTGAAATTTCATCATTTAATTCAAAATAAGTTAGTCCAATATGGAAAAGTCTCCATGAAAACTAGCCAACTAACGAAACTTACGTCACCAAAAAAGCTTTTTTTTGCCTGCCAAATTGTGTTCGCTTTTATGTATACATAATTTATACGGTAATAGTTTGCGTTTTGTGTTATAAATTGTCGAGATTGTTTTGCCACACCAGGTATTTGAAGAATATGTAGATGCTTGCAAAAGGGAAGGAATAGATCTTTGTAATTGGAGATCAGTGACAGGAATATCACAGCTTCAATGTCCCTCACATAGCACTTACAACGGGTGTTCATCATCTTGTCAAGACACTTGTTTTAATCCATCAGCGTCAATCAAGTAAGAAATTTTCACATCGAATGAGAGGTAATTTCTTTCTACACTGACCTCCCCCATTTAATAAATTGTTTTATATTTAGCTGTCGTAACACAACAGTTGAAGATTGTGTGTGTGATGCTGGTTATTTGCTTGAGGGAACAAGATGTGTGACTCCAAGGGAATGTGGTTGCACCAAAGACGGATTGTATATTTCTAACGGTATTTCTTACAATAATGGTTTAAACGTTATTCAAAGAATAGCGCATATAACATAATTATCTGTGTGAGTTTAAATCAACGATTTCTTAGTGCTAAGTGAAAAGCTATATAGCAAATAAACTATGAAAGCTCTTTACGGAGAATTTTATTGCGCCACTACAGGTAAAAAATAAACTGAACTTACAAATTCAGGGTTCTGAATTTAAAAAATATTTACTTAAGTAAGCTCGCTCGATCAAGATTCCGTGCAATCAATATGTATGCGACTTTGGGAACATCATTGATTGTTACAACACTATAGTTTTTGTTATTTTCATGGCAATTGCAAAAGCGACGTCTGTTTGATTCGATATTTTTTCATATCTTTTCTATTTTCAAACACAGGCGATATTATAGTCAATTCTGACACAAATGTTGAATGCAAATGCAACGGACTAGACGATATATCTTGTTATTGTTTACCAGGCTTTTTAATGCAAGATGACATTTGTGAAGGTATTTTAGAATTGTATAGGAGACGTTTAATTTGATTTTTGCTCCCAAACGGGATATTTACATTTAACTTAACTTCATAAGAAAAGGAAGCATATTTAAAATAAAAATTAGTGGCCAACAGCTTCTAACAAAAAATAACTGTTACAATAATAGAATTGGACATGCAAATCATATTCAATTATCGTTGTACTCCCCTTTACCACAGACAAAGTCATAATTATCTTACAAAGCAAATGTTGATAGACAACTCGGTAATTAAAATGTTTCCATTTTGTCATATCATATCCTTGACCACAGCTGGGGAGAATTCCAATTGAGTATATTGTATGTAATATATTATCAATGTGCTGCATTTAACCAATTACATCACGCATTTAATGAAGTGATACATTATCTTGGGACCATTTTTGTTTTTGTTTGTATAAGATGTGAATGAATGCACAGGAGAAAATACTTGCCATAAAGATGCTGATTGTACTAATACCGTCGGATCTTATTATTGTACCTGCAAGGAAGGCTTAGTTGGTGATGGCGCGGAATGCATAGGTAATCACAAATATGTTTGTTTTAAGTATTAAAAAAGTAGTCGGCCAACTTGTTGTTGTGCCTCCTAAAAATGTTATTGTGAATAAAATTAAACTGATGATAGGATTTTTTTTTCAAATATTAGAAAATCCACATAGATATTGTTAATAAAATTAATTTTGGTGTAGAGCGCCTCCCTATTCAATTTTCAGTAAACCTTTCACGCTATTTTTGATGTGCGTTATGATTTTTTCACTTTAAACTCATATTATTAAGTAAATTTGTGTTATTTTGAGTTACCTCTAACCTGAACCATATTTTCGTATTTCCCTGCACGTAATTTCTTCAATGATTCATATATTTAAAAATACATTCAGTTAAAGAATTTCAGGTGAAGAAACAACTCGTGATGAATAAATTTCTTTTCTTTTTAAAATCAGATGTCATATGCCCGACACCGAATGTAATGGAAAACACAAGAATCTACCCGGAAAAAGAAAGTTATCGAGTAGGCGACAGAATTTTATACTTTTGCACAATGGGTTACGAATTGAATGGATTTCCCTGGAGAGTCTGCGAAAGCAACGGAACTTGGGCGAATAAAGAACCGACATGCAAAGAAAAAGGTATTATTTCGGTATCTTAAAGAAATCGTGTCACACACTCGGATGTACCCCATATCACACTTGGCCATACTATTCCCAATTGTCCCACACTTATTTATCCGACTATGATGAGTTAGGTTAGATTGTAGAGAACGAGTTGAGGTAAGATATGTTCTGGGTTAGGATAGAAATATTACGTTGGCAGAAGGTCAGTGTATTCATATGAATTCATACAACTGGGCCCAGTGTGGTATACGTTAGAAAAAAACTTGGGACAAGTGTGGCACAAGTGGGAAACGTCGATTTTGACACACCCTTTAAAATTCTTTAACAAAACGATAGTTAGATTGAATTTTCGATTACTTTGAGTCAAGTATAAATATCGAAAATTATTAACAACCAAATTTGTTTCCATTCCGTTTTTCCAGTTGTCTGTGCTCAACCAGATTTTATCCGAAATGGCAGATTTACGCCAGAAAGACCGGCATATTTGGTAGGTGAAGCGATTGCATATAGTTGTTATAATAATGTCGACCTAAAAGGAGACAAAATTAGAACGTGTTTAGAAAGCGGACAATGGGATGGTGAAGACCCAACATGTCGAGGTGAGTAAAGATTTTGTCTCATGCAACTCAAGAATTTAATATTACATACAAGTAGTGTTCAGAATTCACATCTTAGCTTATTGGTCTAACATAGCATTGTCAAACAATTTAAGAACGAGCTATCTCGTATTCGAATTTTCTAGTATCTTTAATCGTTGACAGCTTTTGAATTCGAGAGAAATTGGTTTCTTTTAAATTGATTCTGTAACAGACTTCAATATCAATGATGAACGCATTATTTGACGACACACACGCCATACTGATGAACTGAAAATAAGCACTACTTAATACCTATGTGACATAAAATACTTTTAATATATGCATGCAGAAAGATGTCCAACACCGAATGCTCCAAAAAATGGTTTGGTGATTTCCATGAGCGACGGATTTGTGGAAGATGATATTGTGGAATATCAATGTGATAAAGGTTTTCAACTGACAACGATACCGTTCCGTACTTGTTTAAAAAATGGTAGTTGGGCAGGACCTGAGCCCTATTGTGAAGGTATGACAGTAGAACTGACATGGGCAATTCAATCTGGCCCGCCTGATGCTGCCACAACCAAAGTAAAACCTAATTTTGAAGTTTTATTCAAAAAATAGCTTAAAGAATTTGTTGAGATTGTGATTAAATTTAGGGTTCTCCAGAAGTATGCGCACCAAGATGTCGTACAACCTGAATCTTAACCGGTACACACACATACCATTTTCAAGTTGTGCGCCATCTTGGTGCGCATACTTCTAGAGGTCCAAATTTAGCTTTGACACGAGGCTTATTGTTTTCCATTTTTGCTTTTGTAACACTGTAAATATTCTTCATAAAATGTAACCTTTCACGTCACACTTACATGGCCGCCAGTCTAGGTGGGCAAAATTTTGGTCCCTTATCCAAAACCCACCCCTGCAGTAGAACCTGTAATATTTGACTTAATGACATGGGCATGTCAAAATTCGAGTGAATGCAATTAGAATAATGATTTTCAGAAAAATTGTGCGATGAACCTCCTTCCATTGATGCGGGGTTCCACATACCGAGAAACCAGGACGATTGGAAGATTGGAGACACGATTGAATACATTTGCAGTTCTGGATATGGATCACCAGTCATGCGAGTAATGACATCAGAATGCTTAGAAAGTGGAAAATGGTCATTCGAGCCTCCGGCATGCTTGGGTATGCATATTTAGGTGGCAATATTGTATGCGATCTCACTTGCTGAACGTGGTATGCGTTTGATCTCATAAAGATATTCTCATGGAATTCCACTCAACCACACCCATCTTTATACCATAACAATCATTTTGATTATTTTGGAATTCAAGAAAAATTATCTCAAGGGTTATTCTGTATACCAAATCAAAATCACTTTTTAAGCATTGTACCAGGCCCTGAAGTTCGGGCATATTTGATATAATTGAAAAGATGATTTATAGCAGGGGTGTGCAACAGGCAGCTTGAGGGCCACAATTCGGCCCGCCAAGCCATTTGGTGTGGCCGTTTTGCCCTTTATTACCGTAAGACTATTGCCTTCTTATTGTGGGCATTTTTCAAATCGTTGTGTATATGAAAAAACTGAATATTTTGTGCGGCCAAGCTAGGTGTCTGAAGTTGGTTATAAGACCCTCAGACAAAAATGCTGCACACGCCTGATTTATAAAAATAATTCTATTTAATAACATCTTGTCTTGAGACATGCACAGTTTAGTTATCCATTCTTCATTCCAAGTCTTCTTCTTGATGCAGATTTTTATTGTGCTATTGTAGACGTTATAACTTGGGTGAAAATATTACACATTCAAATCATGACCACAGCTGTCATTGCGATAAAAACGTATTATACCCATTAATACAAAAATATCTTCAGATATTGACGAATGTCGTACAACAATATGCGATATGGAAGGCACTACAAACTACACTAAGATTCGAGACTGCTTGAGGACTGTTCATGACTGTCATCCTGACGCAGATTGCATCAACAGTCCCGGAACTTTTCATTGCGTCTGCAAATTAGGATACAAAGGAGATGGACGTGAAAATTGTTCATGTATGTACGCAATTCACTTCCAGTTAACACTTCACACATCTTGCAAATTTGTTTTCTTGTTGCTGACCTGATGTCACTTATATATATATTGTCGCTCATAATCAGTTCCCATTCTAATTTTTTGAAATTTATTTCCAGTAGGATGAAATAATCAGTACCTGACATGACTTATAAATAATAACTTTACTATTCCAAAATGCCTGGAAAACTAAATCAGTTTTCCCAACTACAATATAAGTGTTTTGTCCATGTCTTAAATAAAATATTAATAAATTAATTACTATTTTGTAGTTTCTGTTCCTTGTCCTATTCCACTAAGTATTGAAAACGGAGAAGTTGAATTTTGGGCGGAAGGCACATCAGCTGAGGCAGGAGAAATCATATTTTTCAGTTGTAAAAATGGATATGAATTGGAGGGAGATTTTGTCAACACTTGCAGGAATAATGGAAAATGGTTAAAAAGGAATCCAGTGTGTAACGGTAATTGTTTATTCAGAACACTCAATTGGATTAAAACTCTTAGTTGGCAATTCAGTGTGATCTGTGAATATGAAGAAACGAAGAAACAAAAATAGTTTAGATTTAGTAATTTGCAGTTTGACAGTACTGATCAATGTCTTAGATTTAGAACATGAGAGCATTGCTTAAATATGCAGACAAGATTGCAAAAACGCAGTAGTATCAAGTCTTTCACGGTACCGCTAGTCTTCCTCGTCGATAAAAAAACGAATTTGCTGACCAAATGATCGCTGGAATGATATCGTGGAACCGCCACACGGTGCGCAAATTTCAATTTTGATGACGTCACACACCCAAATAGGCCACCACAACAACAATATTTAACCACTGAAAATTTCAAAGCAATTGTCTCAGTAGTTGAAAGGAAAAGCGAAATAATATCAAGAAGAATCAAACAACAATTTTGAAAAAATGAAAAAAATATTAACAGAAGTACATTCATTATATTGTAGATATCGACGAATGTGCATCACAACCTTGTCACGCAGATGCTATTTGTGTCAATACTCCTGGGAGCTACATTTGTTTTTGCAGAGAAGGATTCAATGGAGATGGATTCAATTATTGTTCAGGCAACATTACGCTTAAAGATTTGAACGAATATGTTATCCAAATTGAAAAAAAGTGAAAACTGTTCAGTTATTGTCGAATAAATCTTTTTCAAACGTTTCACTGATGAACTATTTCCAAAATACTCTAAATCAAATTATATTTTACTCACAAACAAGCGAATTGAGTACATTAGAAGTACATTCATTTGTAACTGCAAATTATAAAAGTTATTTTGAATTTTAGTTTAATTAAATATTACTGGTAACATTCTTACTGATTTTACTTTTCAGGATGTCGAGTTGAAGGTTGTGGATGCGAAAGAAATGGGATGATTTATAAAGTATAAAAAATTTTTTATACCATTTTAGGTATAATATAGAAAAAATTGAAAATGATATTACTTCAATTTATTTTTTATTTTTCAGAATCTTGAACTTTTTTGGACGAAAAACTGTGAGAACCAATGTATTTGCGAAGCAGGAGGTATAAGATGTGCAGATATTCCTTGTGATGAGGACCAAACGTGCGTCCAAGACCCAATCGGATCATATTATTGTCAAGGTAATTTTTAGCTGATTCAGTTGAATTTTGTCGATCAGCACTAGATTCAAAAACCCCAGGTTTTTATGCCTTTGCAGATCGAACTATAATTACTAACCCCAGGTCATTTTAGAATATAGATCCGAAGTTTTAAAAGTTACTAGTTTAAACGAACAACTGCAATGTCAAATTTTCAAATAAGAAAGCATGGGAGTTGTCATTTTGGACTCTATCGTCGACACTTAAAAGTATGATATGGAGGTATTGTATATGTCAGAGGGAAATTATGACGTTGAGTAATTTCCACAATATATCTAACCCCAACAAAATTCTAATCTATATCTTATTTTATATTATATTAAAGGAAAATCTGGAAAATGTGAATTAAGACCTCATTTAATTGAAGTTCCGTATTGCTTCGACAAATACAACCGCACTGTACAATATAATGCCGGGACATGTTCGTATACAAAGTGTTCTTCAAGACAAAATACCTGCTGTGGGATTGCTTTGGAAGATAATGAAATTCTTGAGTGTAAAGGTGAATATGCCAAAACTTCGATACAATTTAATACATAATGGGACTGCTTGGATGGAAATGAATCGCCAGTGATCGAGTGTACGACGTACATGTTTCTCGTTAGAGCATCGGTAAGGCCTGAGAGCACCAGTTTTCTCTAAATATCGGCAGATAACCAATAGCAATACAAGTACTGAACATTTGAAATCGATCAGCCTGCTAGTTTTGGAAGAAGATTTTTCTCAATAAAAATTACAGGAAAAAACGATGTGTAGATCCACTTCTTGGCCAATAGCTTTTATTGTAGTAGCAGTAGCAGAACAGTTTGATGACTGGTTAATGATGAAAGGTAAATGTAACTCAGGCTCGAACCTGACTGCAACTCTCGAGATACCTGAAACCTGAACTTCCACGAAATCATAGATTCGGCGCACAAAATACGATTGCTAATGATTATACAGAAATTCATACTTCATTCCTCTATACTACAGATGCATTCTACAACGACTATACGATAACTGTTCAGAAGGTTGCCCGGTGTCAATGTCAACAGTGCATCAATTCGAGAACATCGTTCCATGGAAGGTAAACGTGGAATGAGAGAAACGTTTAGTTGAAAGAACTGCAATTTACATTTTACAAATGAGTTTTTTATAATCCGTATATAGTGATATACTTTCTCGAAATAATTTGATTTATATTTGGAAGAATAATGCTGCAAAATCGTAGAACAAGCATACGTTTGCAATTTTGCACTCCAATCTGACGAAAAGCTGGAATATGAATGAAAATAACACATTAAAATATATTAATAAAATGAAAGCATTGCTGTTTTTTGTTTTAGAGCTTACGGAATCAGTGATAAAGGAAACTATGTCCCATTTTCACACGGCTTAATATATCATGATGGTGAATTTCTCACAACTACAAATGTAGATGGCACATTTACGATATATTTTGAAGCCGGACTACAAGAGTTCTTACTTAGATTTGAAGACAACCAAAAATTATTCTTAACAACAATGAAGGTAAATTTAATAAAAAGGTAAATTTTATCTAATAACCGACTTTGAAAACTGGTTTATCAAAAGTGTTTCACAACCTTGAAAAAAGGTTTGCTAACGCTTAATTTTCTCCTACGGTATCACCGTTGAAATAAAACGTTTATTCTATGTGTTAGATATTTATCAAAACTATATTAACAGATATTGAAATTTAAAAAGAATGGCGGATCCATATTCATAGATATTCAAATACCAATGATATCAGAAGAACTAACAGAAAATAATTCCATGAACGAGTGGACAATAAACTTAGAAAAAGCATCAATGTCAGTCAATCCCGTGTCGTTCTACAAACTGTCCGGTCAACCATATGAGGGTAAGGTGAGAGAAATAAAAAAAATAAAAATAAATATATTGAAAATATTGTGAAGTATACCATAATATTTTTTTTTATATTATAAACACATTTATCAGTTTAGGCAAGTGGTTTAGGCAACGCTTTTTCACCTCGGGTGGCGCCGTGAACCTCCTCTGCAACTGTTTATTTACATTCTATGGATTAAATTAACTATGTCTCTGATACTCTGATTCCCAGGTTACTAGTTCAACTTCTTACATCTTTTAGCTTGGATTTTCTTACCTAAACAATATTAGGAATAAAAACTAGAACGACTTATAAACACGGAAGAAGAATTAAGAGTATGTCTTTCGCACATTCGTTCACAAATTGCAGCAGTAGTAAAGAAGCACCAGGCACAACAGTCCCACTGACATCCGCCATTATTATTCTATATATAACTGTTACTAAATACTGGGTATGTTGTATTTACATAAATGAAATTCCCTTATCAGATAGATCTTCTTTGTTTTATATTATTTTATAGCAAAATGGCCTTTTGAGTAGAAAATGTTCATGTTTTGTGATGAGTGTGCTGCGAATATTTAAAGAGCTCAATAGTGTGCCGCGATATAAAAAAGGTTGGGAACCACTGGTTTAGGCGAACATTATTAATAAATCCCATATGAAAAAACAAAATGATTCCAATTACTTGTACTTGCTTATTGCAAAGCAACAATTTGTAAACAACTAAAAATAAATGTAACCTTTAGACTCAACTAATTGTTTTTCTCTATAGGTCACTTATAATGCAAAATATGTCAACGAGAGGGGATATGAAATTGAAACAACACCAGGAACGTTTTATTCACGCAGAGGAGAATTGATGTTGTTCTATGATATTTTGTATTGCATGTTCAGAGGACAGAGAGATGAAGCGTTGATGCATTTGAAGGTAAAATTACAGTGAGCCGCTATTTCAAGGATAATATTCTATTATGTTTAAGTAAAAACAATTTGCTCACTTGCCGCAGTGTTTATTACTTTATATATAAACAAACAAGAGGGCGATGCTCAAATATATGGACACGAAGTAGTATGGGAATGCAGTTTGTCATAGTAGCCTACCGCTACCATACCGCAGTGTTCACGACTACGCCCGAACGCGAAATCGCTAACGCGAAGCCGGAACCGCCCCAATAAGCGCCGTTTTTTAATTTGAATACGTCATCTCACATAAAAACAAATCTCATCGGGGCGACAAAAATTTTTGAAATAAATAAAACAGTCTTCTAGCGAAAAATGTAATGTTTAACCATTGAAAATTCGGAAGTGATTGGTTTAGTAGTTAATGGGAAAAGCGATTTTTAATACGGTCGCAACAAGAATATTACTAACAACTTGATCAAAAACAATATAATATTAATAAGAAGAAAACGATACTTATGCCCATTTCGTGTCCAATAAAACATAAAAGTATGCTCGCACTTTTCGAATTTGACTAAATTTTAGGAGAGCTAGACTCATTGTTAGTATCTTTACCATTGATAGACCGATTGTGTAAAATAGCTGTGTTATAAAGTACGTTTTAAAATCCTCTGTCATGAACTGTAGTTCAAAACAATAGAGGTAACTCATTCATTTGTGGAATTTCACACTCTCATTTAAAGGTCTCTAATAGAATTATTTACTAATAAGAATACTCGAATTTAGGCGGTGATATATCCATCAGTCAATCATATATCAAATCGTAAAGATAGAGATGAAGATTTGAGTTTATGGGAATGGAGCTCCTTTTTTCAACAATGGGATCAGAGAGAAAAGCTGAAGGTTGTAACTTTATCCCTATCATGATAATTAATACAAAATAAATTTTTTGAAAAAAAAAAATTAAGAACATCAAAGATTTGAGGTTTGGGATGAAGCTACATTGCAGCATGGTATGACGCTGACAATCCGTCGGCAAAAAAATTACTTAATAAAATATCAAGTCAAAAGGCTTATTTGATCCTGTTTTTTTCAAAACAAAAACCGATTTTAATTAAGAGAATTAAAAAATATATCGGAGTTGCCGTTTGATAGCTTTCGAATTGGTTTATTCACTTATTTGCTAAATATCTTAATTATCAGAAGAAAAGCAGAAATGGAAAGGAGCTCGTCTGTGAATATGACTTCACAGAATCTCATAATTATCTGGCAATAGCACGAGCTGCAAGGAAGTTATGCTATGTCAAAGGTAAAGATAACATGTTCAACGGAGTTTTCAAGTTTAATTATTGGAATTCATAAACAACAGACATATATTTCTTCGTTCAGTTCGAGGATACAAAACTAATGACTTCAGAATTGCTGAACAAATAGATGATTTGATTGCAAAGGGAATTTACAAAGCAAATAATACTTGGTATACATCTGTAGAAGATATTACGACACGATCTCAAGGAGTTTGTCTCCCTTTGCCGTGCGATGAAGATCTATTTACAGCAAAATTTAAAGGTAAATAAATAAATTTTTAGTACTCATCGAAAATTACAACTTTATAAGAAAAAATTGCGCACGTGATAAATATTGGAACCTTCTGCAAACGTTGATTTTTCTAACGTTCCAAATTTGTTTAATTTGTGTTTTTGTTCATAAAAGAAGCCACATTGAATTAATTTTAACTTATTATACGCTGTTTTTTTCTCAATATAACATACATTTTTGTTGACTATTTTCAGTTTATATCAACGGAAACACTACGTTAAATCCCGAGGAGCTTAAGAACATTCAGGGGTATGATATGTGTTTCTGTTAAACTCATTTTGCGTATTTCATACTTGACAGAATAACAATTTTTTTCTGCAAATATACTATTTATTTTATTGTACCACCTAAAGTATGACATCGATCTTATAAGTAGTTATTATTTGCTGTCAGTAATCAAATCATTTGAAATTTAACTATTGAGTAAATTTTACACCGATTAGATTTTTGTAACATTTTTTTGTACAAATGTTTACAAAGGGTAAACTATATTTGTGTTTGATGGTGGCACTCGATAACTACAGTAGTGCCGACATGCTGTTTATAAATCACGCTTTTTTTCTGTGCTAACTTTTAGAGTATATGTCAATTCCGAAGACAATTCTATTAATTTCGATGTTGATTCAACAAAGGAAAATTTGAGAGGTCCTATATACGAAACGAAAGAGGAATGCCAACTAGCATCTATCAGAGAAGATCATCACCGCTTTTATATGTAACTAATATATATATATATAGATTTATGATTTTATCTTCAAGTAGGGGACAATACATAAATATTTTCTTTTTACTTCGAATGTTAATATTGTTATTCAAAACAATGCTTCGTTGCATCATTTTTCGAACTAATTTGGCAATGATATACTTTCTTCTAATTGAATTTGTGTTTTCAGACAGTCAAGATACGTAAAAGAATTCAACACAGCTCCAGTAGAAGAGACTAATCTTCTCGGTACTTGGTATAATACACCATTCAACTGGTGGTCGAAACCTTTTGATTTCACAACTTGCTACATTAAGGTGATTGATTTCTTCATATTTATACTCAGTACAACTTATACTTTGAAAGTCTTTAATACCTTTAGATGATCGAGTAAGATAGTTGTTGATCAGTGTGCGGCATTGAATCATAAAGTATATTTTAAATAGTAATAAATAGGATTTTCAACATTCATTCCAAGTACCATGGAAATCCTTTGGGTTCACGAATTCATTTCTTAAAATAAAAGACAACTTTCGAGCGAATAACAGCTCACTGTGAGAAAACTTATTCTATGTATATATGTAACGTATTGAAGTCAGATAGCTTTTTAGCGGTAAATTGCAACAGTATTAAAGATTAATGTAAGACTATGAATCCGTGGTATGCATTTAAAAGAACAGTAGTATATATTCATTGTCTGGTTTCGTTAAAATATTTAATAAAACTGCAGATTGGCATAAGAGGTGACCGAACCAGGATTTTGGCAAAAAGTTTAGTTGGGCAGAGACTAAATATGGTTGGAAAATTGTACGGATTCCGAGAAGATATAAGTTGGGGAGATAGAAACATGTCTGCTGCTTGCATAGAGGTGAAATGCAGGTAACATACGTTTTCAAATCCTATTTTATTTCGAAATCTATTTATCTTTGAATACAAGCAAAAATATTAATAAATGCTCACTAGCTATTTAAAAATGGAAGTCCGAAGTGCACGACCACTATCGACCATATTATACCATACTGAGATTTTGTGATTCCAGTTACTGATTGTAATTTCAGCGGAAATTTGCTTGATGCAATAAAAGATATAACATTTGTGGATATCGAGCCAAAAGGTTCCTGCAAACAATCTGGAATCAATCCAAAAATCAAGCAAATGAATCAAAACGTATACATAACCCAGAGAAACGAAGGATCGTATCGAATGTACTACCCAGAAAATGTTAATGGACAACAGTATGGACTTTACACGCATTCGAGCAGGGATCTTTTTATCAGCAAAATGACTGCACTAAGAAAATGTTATGCCGGAAACGGCGGAATGTCTAACGTTATGATACCTAGTCAGGGCTTAGGTTTAGTTTTTGATTGTTAGTGAAGAATTTTGATATATAAATATGTATATACTGCTACAATTTTTGAGTTGTTTTAATTAAAGGGCGCTTCAATATGTTACAATACATAAATAGTGTTATTTATGACAATAAACACCAATATACAAAAAATAGCTAGAAGAGACTTTGAAAGTCTAACATGGGACGAAGAAGAGAAATGCAGCATAATAGTAATTTGACGAGTTAAAATACGATCTTCAAGTAATCACGCGGAATTTAATTTTGATCATAATGCCTGACCTATTCAGATACATTTTAACATAAAGAATTAGGTGGCCTTTGCTAGCCTAACTATTTATTCTCTGATGTATGTTAAAAAAGTTAAATAAACAAGATTAGATAATTATACTAGCTATTCTAAAATTTAAATTATAGGAAGAAAATTCTTCTCGATTCTGAATGCAAAATGGGAAATGGGATGAAATAAATGGGATAATTTCGATTGAATCACTAACCATTAGTGACAACAATGGTATTTGAATTTGTCTCGTTGAGCTTGCGGTTTGACTAGCACTTTTATCCTTGTTTCCGTGCTCGGAGATTGCACAAGGCGATGTAACAATATTTCTAATATTCCTTATGCTATCTGATTCTAAATTTGAGAAAGATAAATTCAGTCTAATTAATGTCCTGTTATATAATTGTTGATTCAAGCAGTTTATACCATACATTTTTATTTATATACTCAAAGGTTATCTTTTGGCTATCAACTTCACCAGCTCAGATACCGCAGGCGCACAGGGTGCAAATTGCCGGTTAACTAAACATACCTATCTCGGCGAATGACGCGCTTAGATAGGATATGATGGACTGATACCACCATTCGTATCAAATACAAAATTACTAAACTGTTAAAAACCATCAGAAATCATTGTGCCACTGCATCAAATATGAACATTTCTAGCTGTCTGACCCTTTCACCTAATATAACATATTTAATATATAATGAAACTACACGAAGCCATATGCTTGTAAATACTTTATGGATTCATATTCTATCTTCTTCTGTCCGTGACAGCTTCATACTGAATAGCGTTGGAGAACTATACAATATTTGCTAACCGCGGCAGTGAAAACAAGTTTTGTTGTTGTGCAATCACGAATCGGCAAAATGTTTTTTCCAACGAACCTGTTGTTGAAAGTAAACAATATTGTGATGTAATTATTACCAATCAAGATTCGAGGGTCCTCAATCAGGCCGGTTGTGTCAGTATTAGCCTATCTGTTGATACTGAGATTAGGAATAGTATTTTCTTCAAACATAGAGGTGAACTTTGTGGGTTGAGGCTAAAGTTGACGAGTTGAAGGCTGCTTCTCATCGAAAAAATTCAGTGCTAGTATATTTTGCCACCGTTACCGAAATCATGAACATTGTCGATAAAAGCAGTAATGGTGGGAAAAAGGGGGTGTCTCAAAACTGGCGTGCCCCAATTGTCTTGATATGACACAGGATGAGGGTCAAGTCAAAACTAATGTTCACAAATAGGGGTCCGAGGCCAAAAAAGTTGAGAAACCCTGGTCTATTCTATGGTACCGTTGCTGGTAAATTTAGCTGTAGGTGTATTACGCAATAACACCGTTTTGACTAGTAAATATTACTGAATGTTCAATCTTGAAATGAGGCCGTTCAACTACAACTTGTATACAATCAGACAGTAAAAGATTTTATTTTGACTTGATTTGCAATTTGGTTCGAAGCCATGCATTAGAGAATTGCTCTCTTAATTCCGAAGAGGAATGATGCACGCCGATAAAAGGTGGAAGAAAATAAGAATAGATTAGTCCTAATAATTACCCATTCCCTAGATCCGATTCGATATCGCAATAGAGATGTTGGCTACCTACAAGTGTGTCACCCGAGAAATGTAGAATCGATAAAGCATAGAAAAAGCTATGACAAATTTTCAGTGTGACTGTCTAATCGTTTGTGGGAGGTAGCATATATAGGCATATAAAAGCCCCTCCCCCTCCCCCCTGCGTGTTGCCATTTGTCTTACTGTAATTAAATTGTAGGATCGTTAAACGAGTAGCTTCACTAAATTGTTAGGTTATATTATAATTTAGTCCAAACGTGTCTCACAATAAATTCTGTTACGTAAAAATATATTCTAGTTCTCGAGCGTAGATTATAAAATTAATTCAGTGAAGCTTCGCGGGTCGGATCTGGCCCGTGGGCCGTAGGTTGCCGACCCATGGGCTACGCGAACTATCTTACGGACAGAAGTCCAGAAATCCTCTCGTGTGTGGTTATCGCCCACGGGATTCAAACCTGCGAATGCACGCAGAGTACAGTAATCAAATGCGTGATGCGCCAGTCGCCGAACAAAAACTTGTTTCGTGAAATCGCCCCTTTTTCACCCCCTTCTGTATCGTTTTCACACACCGGGGGCGATATCGCCCACTCTGGAATCACTTGTTTAGATGGTAGTATCTTAGCTGTGTAGCCCTCACGAATGAATATGAGGGTTTTGGTAGAGGGACCTGATTGTGGATTGTTCCCCTGAATATTTTTCAACATTTTTTGTTTTTAATTTTAACATTGACAATATTGACCACAACTATAGGCTAAGTTTAATATACAAATTATTCAAATGCTACGTTCGTTGCACAAGGTGCTGGTGGGGTTAATGATGACGATAAAAATCTTTTTTGTGGTACACTTGAGTTTCTCGAATATATATTCGCATCCAAAAGTTTGGGAGCAATCAGAGTTGACTGAACTATTACGACATCTAGCCTTTTAAACTGCGAAGCTAATCCATATAGCCTACACGTACATAAATTTCATCAACGTTCTAAAATTGATAAGAATTGAAATATGGTTCGTGATATAGAAGGGTTCCCCACGCGGTTTCCGACTTGCTCATGTTTTTTAATCCATTTCACATATTCTTTTTTGAATTTTAATTCAGCTTTGGACCGAAGTTGACATAATAAAATACAGCAATAAATGTCGAAACCCTCAACACCACTTTGTCCTGGTTGGAATAAGTCGATGGATACTCCCGTAGTGTGTGTACCAGGTTAGGCCATCATTTTATTACGATTTTCCATATTTTAGTTCTATTGCGAGTTTTGGGACTGTCTGTGTTAGCCTCGTGAATATACCCCCGCCCATAGGCTTCAGTCCCCTTTGCACAACTTGATATTTTAGGGAACATTTATATTTTGGTATTATTTCTGTATTGCTGTTGTTTCTGATCTGATCTTATGAAGAAGACATACTCCTGGTACCGAATACATATATTGCAATTGTATATTTACAAATACAAAGAACAGTTCCAAGTCATGACTGATAAGTCACATAAAATCAAAGTTTCACTGCAAGCCCGAGTTCGTTAATTACTTGTCCATCCTTATCCTTCTTTTTTCTCCCAACGAATAGTCGCTTTTATGCTGGTTTTGGTATCCTTAGGGCATGACGCGTTATCGTCATCGTACCTTACAGGACGTCTAATTGTTACGTATTTTATGACTGAGAGATTGCTTCTAATTTTAAGATTAGTATGACTTTAAGTCTAAACACGTAACTTAACCAAAAGCTGCAAAATTACCCAATATCCTATACTATGCACCTACTTTAGCTGCGGAGCAGTGGCCAAGCTTAGGCGTGCAGTGAAAAACAATACACAAAATGCAACAAAATTCATAAAAACATAAGAAAGTTGAAATTATGATTATGAGACAGAATGTGTGTGTGTTATACAGTGTATGGAAAGAAAAAGATTTGGCGTTGGTTTAATTTTATAATTTAGGTGACAGATTACTACCAATGCTTAGCTTTAATACACTTCGTTTCACATTAATAAATTTTGAAGCGCTGAAAAAAATAAAAAAATACGCGTGTTGCGTTGATGAGCCTTTCCGGCTATAATTGTGATGAGCCTTTTGGGCGTTTAAAAATAAAAAATGATGAGAATTTCACTTGCGTTTATGCAAATGCATCCCGAAGCGCTGATTCGAAATACGATCGTATTTGTAATCATATTTTGAAAAAAATGTTAAAGTCAACGTAAAGTATATTTAAAGAAAACGAATGCTAATATCTGCCAAAATCGAATAAATTAAATATTTTTGAGTAAACCTAGTTGGGTTTAATACCAAATATAGAACGCCTTAAAGATTAGAAAGAAGGAAACGTGAAATACCTGTGAAGAAGAAGAATGTCTGTCCATTTTGTAAACGAAATTGAAATATTTATAGTACAATATAAAATGCTACAATCGCGCGGTTTCTTGAAGTTGGTTCGCGGGCGTTTCTTTCTGAAGTTCTTTCGTTTCATATCTTTCTCATTTGTTTTTGTAGTCAAGAGTTCCGACTAGTTTTTGATTTTACGTTTTTTTTTCTGGTGTAAAACAGTTCATATAGTGTGAATGTTTTACACACATTTTTTATAACAGTCCATAGTCCATATAATGTGAATCTCATACACCTTTTAAATCTAACAGTCTTTTCCTTTTTGTCAGAGTCTTTGGTATTTCGCTTGTAATTCCTTGATTTTTCATACTGTCTGAATCTTGGTTTGGTGGTTGTTTTTCATTTTCCTTAATCTTTTTATCCTCGGCTTGCTTGTGGAGTTGATGTCTTTGGGGTCAACTTTAGTTCTAACGGTTGCTTTTCAGACTCCATCTCAGAAAGGCGCTGGTTCGTCTGTCGGGTCACCATTTTTAGGGAACATTTGTATTTTGGTATTATTTCTGTATTGCTGTTGTTTCTGATCTGATCTTATGAAGAAGACATACTCCTGGTACCGAATACATATATTGCAATTGTATATTTACAAATACAAAGAACAGTTCCAAGTCATGACTGATAAGTCACATAAAATCAAAGTTTCACTGCAAGCCCGAGTTCGTTAATTACTTGTCCATCCTTATCCTTCTTTTTTCTCCCAACGAATAGTCGCTTTTATGCTGGTTTTGGTATCCTTAGGGCATGACGCGTTATCGTCATCGTACCTTACAGGACGTCTAATTGTTACGTATTTTATGACTGAGAGATTGCTTCTAATTTTAAGATTAGTATGACTTTAAGTCTAAACACGTAACTTAACCAAAAGCTGCAAAATTACCCAATATCCTATACTAATTTTTAGGGAACATTTGTGTTTTTGCTATTGTTTCTGTATTGCTGTTGTTTCTGATCTGATCTTATGAAGAAGACATACTCCTGGTACCGAATACATATATTGCAATTGTATATTTACAAATACAAAGAACAGTTCCAAGTCATGACTGATAAGTCACATAAAATCAAAGTTTCACTGCAAGCCCGAGTTCGTTAATTACTTGTCCATCCTTATCCTTCTTTTTTCTCCCAACGAATAGTCGCTTTTATGCTGGTTTTGGTATCCTTAGGGCATGACGCGTTATCGTCATCGTACCTTACAGGACGTCTAATTGTTACGTATTTTATGACTGAGAGATTGCTTCTAATTTTAAGATTAGTATGACTTTAAGTCTAAACACGTAACTTAACCAAAAGCTGCAAAATTACCCAATATCCTATAATATAAAGTAGGCGAACAACATTAGTTACCTCCTGTGTTATTTTCTTTGATAAACAACGTTTAAAAATAATTAAAAATCCGATGTTGAAATCACGGCGCAAGAATAGATTCATTTTCCAATTTTTTTTTATTTAAGCTAAAAACATAATTCTACAAGTTGAAGCTACAATAAATAGTGTGAAACAGAATGCTACTTTATAAATAACACAAAAGATTAAATACTATGTCAAGAGCATCAAAAAAGTGTCCCGGTCAAATAACTGTGTCACGTACAAGAAAGGTTTCGTAAAAGTCCATTGCAATATAAGTAAATTCACACAAATATAAGCTTTCTAATCTTGTTTATTATAAATGTAGTTCGGGTCTTCATCAGCAATTCCTTGTCTTATATTAGTGACTGAGATGCTGTCGACTTCTTCGCATTGATCAATGTCTTTCAGATTTATTCGGTAGGAATTCAGTGCAGTTTCTCGAATCTATTTATGCAATGTTATTTGTGGTTAGAAGCTTGGATTGTTAAAAATGGTTCTAAGAAAATTTGCGCGGGAAATTTCGCCGTAGGAAATCTCGCTGCAGGAAATTTCGACGCATAAGAAAATTCGCCGCATGAAAAACTGCCACAAGAGCATTTGGCTGTAAAACAAGTATTTGTGATAAAACAGTTAGGTTTTCGGAGTACCTTTTTATTTAAAAAATATTTGTTATTTAAGAGCATACCCTAACCCTATAAACCTAACTGCTTTTATCACAAATACTTGTTTTACAGCAAAATGCTCTAGCGGCGATTTTTCATGCGGCGAAATTTTCTGCGACGAGATTTCACACGGGGAACTTTCTGCGGCGAATTTTCCGGACACGTTCAAACTAGTGCTTCTGTTTTGCTTCAATATACGCCAGCATAGCCGCCAAATCCTATATTTTGAACTTTTTTTTTATACGATTTTGTATGTGGACGGTCGCATTATTTTTTCCCGACGGCCGCAGGTTGTGCACCGTTGGTGTAGATTAAAAAATGAACGGCTTATAAAGATCATTCAAACATACGCATTTCGTTAAACGATTACAGTAAATTAGGCCCAAATTGAAAATGAATTTTTTTACCTCTGTAGTTATTTAATAATAATGATAACAACTTATACCTTCGACAACACGTCTTTTCCTCGTATATATTGGAAAGCAGTCATCAAGTCCGAATTAGCTTCAAGATAATATTGCAATTTTTCTCTATTCCAACACAAGTAACTGCAACGATCGACAGCTTCAACAGTCACCTTAAACAAGATTATAATTAAGTGATTGGGCACGCAAAACGCTATGGATCGTTACTACCACAGGAGAGGACGCATCAGAGAGAAATTTTTCTCGACAGAGTTTCAAGTCAATTCATGCTATCAGCATTATCAAACATCTTAACGCTTTTTTCTTGAAAATGGAAAGTGAGCAGAACGGCATTAATGTCGCTAGAAACGTATTTATAAATTTTGGGAAATATAATGATTACGATATCACATGTGACTTTATCATTCAGAAAATTATTCGAGAATATCTGTATTTGGATCCTTCCAAAGTCTGCATTGAATTTAGCATAAGATAAACATATCATTTCAATCATTACTAGAATACACGAATTTGCCTCATTATTGAGTTTTTCAAAAATAGTCCCAACTCCCAACGCTCCAATTAAAGTTCATCAATGTTGTTTGTGCCTCTCGTTAACCAGATTTGGGTACTATTACGCCAATTTTCAGTAGTATATATGATAAGTTTTAAACTCTAATGATATAGTTCATACAGTACCACTGTACTGATCTGAATGAAAAAAGATGCAAAATTGCAGCGCATCCAAATGGAAGTAGTTTAAATCTATAAAAACTAAAATTTATTGAATGATTTTATAAACAATTATATATACCTGAAAGATTTCACCACGTTTGATTTTACATCCTTCCCATTCAACGGAATCAATCATTTCGCTTTCGTTAATATCATGAAGAAATTGGCCGCGAAACATGACTCTCATTCTATAGTGAAAATCATGAATAAATTCACACCAAATATAAAACTCTAAAACCTTTTTTTAAACACGAAAAATTCGGCGCTCCAGAAATGTGTGTACCAATATGGAGGTAACTAAATTTGTTTGCATACTTTATATCAAGTTGTGTAAAGTGGAAGCCTATGGGCAGGGGGTATATTCATTTGGCTAACACAGACATTCCCCGAACTCGTAATAGAACTAAAATAAGGAAAATCGGAATAAAATTATGGCCTAACCCTAACCTGATACACACACTACGGGAGTATCAAAAATTCTGCCTGACAATACTCTTAGGAATATATAAAACTAATTCATAACCATTGAGCGCATTCTCAGATAATTTATTAACTGTCAATCATATAACAAGTTTTGATTCTCCCGTCAAAATACAGCTGTCATGTTTTGACAACAGAGTACACGGTCGATGGACCATGTCTCTTTAATTTTGACTGCATATCATACAAAAAGAATCTTCAAATCGGACCGACTCAATATGCCGTAAATTTTATAAATTATTCATATTGTGGAACATTTTTTGCATCATCCAAAAAAAATCTTGTAGATATTGTCCAATTTAGCAATGACTGCTCTTTTATTAACGTTTAAAGTTCAAACCTTCAATTATACAATCAAATTGTGACCAAGTTGTGGCATTCAAAATTTCCCGAATAAATTTTGTCGATAAAAAATGCTGTGGGTGTTATTGAATTTCGACAAGAATCTTATCCATTGATGTATAGATTAGAAAACTTTTGATCCAAAAGCTTTTGCGCAAGCGTCACTATATGAACTGCATATAAACTACAGAACGGTGTATTCCCATAATTTTATTCCAATTTTTCTTATTTAGTTCGATTACGGGTTCGGAGACTGTCTGTGTTAGCCAAGTGAATATCCCCCTGTCAATAGGCTTCCGTCCACACAACTTGATGTAAAGTACGCGAACAAAATTAGTTATTTCCATATTGGTACACACACTTTTGAAATTCTCAGAACGAAACAAAAACAGTTATTACTATTAAACAATTGGTAGTTGTTTGGGATTCCAGAGGCGTTCAAACTATTTGTATGACGCATGCGTGATTTTTGTCTATTCAGTTTTCTACAAGCCGACTGAAAACTATCACTATGGTATGTATATCATCAACATACTTAAACATAAAACCTATTTAGTAATATTAAACATCATTTATTATTATAAAATGCAAAATCTCAGGACGTGCTATGCAATATATAACTACATATACCACTTACCGACCAGTTACTAGAATTGATATTCTCTCATCGACAGAAGTGCAGCCTTCAACGGCATATTTATCTCCTGAGTGTATTTTTACCAGTTTGCAATGATGTTGCATCAGAGTTTGAAAATCTTGTCGAGTGACTCCAAATGGCTGGAATACCTAATTGAATTAAAAAAAGATATTGCTTTAGGGGGAACGTGAAATATTGAATGCTCTTTCATCTGTCATATAGTCAGTCTCTCATTTGCTTTGCTTTTATATGACTATCAGAAAACCTATGGGAGACTTAATCGTAGACAATTGTAAATCGTGCTAATCGGAAGCAGTTTTAAGATCCCATTCGATTGCTAATAGTATGGTTGCTCAAACATTTCCATTTGAGTCTTCAGACAACACCTACAAGCATGCTGACGAATCAATCATTTTTGGAGTCCCGTTCTTCCCATGACATGCAAAACAGTAGCTTTACGTCGATCAAATTGTTTGAATATCCCTACGGGCTGTATGTTATGTAATATCGACTGCAAAACGATTCTGTGTATGGGTAAAGTATGAATGAACAAGATTGTGCAAAAGCGATTTGCAAATGAATCAGTTTGATTGCATAGCAAAGCTGATCAAACACTCCGAACATTCTCAGATTATTTCCAGATATCGTAGGGAATTAGGTGAAGAACATCATCTGAAAAGCTATGTAAGCTTTAGAATGAAGATACATTAAAATGTCGTTTTTAAGACGATTGTCAGAGTTGGCGATCTCAGAATCTTACAATATTTGACTACATAGTAGCAACTGTTTTAGAAGTTGCGAGAAACCGTTTTTACGCAAAATAGAATTTTCGTGATTAATCTTATGATTAGTAAGATAGTAGTTTGCCACTTATTGTACCACGATGATTTTTGAAAATTCGACCACCTTTACTGCGTCGAAATTGAATGAATTGCAGCAGAATTAGATTCTGGTCTGCTCTGAATGAAGTCATAAATCGCGACCACCAATTTTAATTATGTATGCAAATTATGGGACTACAATGCACCGCTTGATCATGATATCATGCAATGTCATCATTGGTTCAATATGACTATAGTATATATTGATTACAGAGATCAATAAGTTTTGTTGCAATAAAAACACTAAATGCCGCAATATTGATGATTCAGTTTATTTGAAAAGAAGCAATTCCATTAAAGGTAAAACGTTTGAGACATTGATCAAATCTTTTATTTTTATTGCACATCATATAACTGCAATGCTTATTGTGTAGGCCAGCAGAGCATAATTTTTTTTGTTCTGCAGCACACTGATAAGGTCTGAATTATGAAGTTGACACTCGCTAACTGGTTGGTGGGATTTACATGAAATGATTTAGAACTTAAATTATATGTTATTTTTCATCAAAGCCAAAAAGATGATTCATTTTAGCATGTTAGATTAACGATTGATTACGATGTCGCATTGGCGGTTTTACAATGTCGCGTTCTATACGTCTCGAACGGCGCGCGATGGTGAAGTAGAATAAAAGGAAAACCTAACAAGGAAAAACTTTAATACAACATAAACAAAACTTGTCCGGTAAGGTACACTTTGGTCTACGCACTTGGATGGGATGAATATTGTGGTAATATATATGACTAATCGTTTCATAAAATATTTACCATATTATTCTTATATGAACTTTTAAAATTATTCCCAGATTCATATTACAACTTGGTTTGTATGCTTTACTTTATTTAGAAGCAATAATTAATATTCATATCGAACTTCATATGAACTCTATATCACGAAGGCGGAGTGTGAAATTCAGCGAAATATATTATCACCTTATAAAAGTGCAAATTGTGAAAACGACCAGTCGATAGAGTTGAAAAAGAAGTCATGGCCCTGAAGTTAAAGGTCACATTGAGGTCACGACCTCTTGGATCTTGATTTCATGTAACTGGTTACACATTAGACTATAGTATTGTGTATAGGAAACGAGCAGTGGAACTCTACAAAAAAAAATGAAAACGTACCTCGGCAAATAATATTTCCAAATCTTTCGGTAGGCCAACTCGTCTCATGTTGTACAATATATAGACAAGCTGCGCAAAGTTTTGAATGAAAAACACAGCTCCCCACATCAGAATGTCCCAGGTGCACCAATATAGAGCTCCCCACAGCATGTACAGGAAAATACCTACGATGAAAGAGGCACGAATGACCGGAGCATAGTACCTGTAACAGGAAAACAAGTCTAATCTTGATATCATTTTTCATATAGCCGCTATAATATATAATCACGAATATACCAAGCATCTATCATTACACAGTTATTTAGCAAGGGTTATTTTACTTACTTGAATGCCTGTGGGACCAAGAAAGCAACTAAGAAGGCGGCCATAAACAGATGAAAAATGGGGCTTTGAACTTCGGACCAGTGCTCACAAGTAACACGTTCAAAATATAAGGCATCTTCTGATCTTCGAACCTCCATTCTGCAGATATAATCTATGAACTAAGCCTTTATATTGTGCTAATAAAGATTATAAAATAAAATGTCTTAATCTCAAAATATTGTGTACATACATGAATCAAAAAACGAACCCATATATTTTTTAATTACAGTACGAAAATGATGACAATTTAATCAATACTTGAACTTCTGTTTGTGTATGATTGTGCCTAAAAGTTTTAGTAATCTGGAATATTTTGCAAAAAAGTGATGTTGTTTCTAGAATATGATCCAAATGACCTGGATTCTGTTTTAGGTCAACGTATAGGTACAAAGTCGTATATTTACTAACTAAAAAAAAATAATAAACGTTCAATTTGATTTTATTGCGAACTATCAGTAATCATATATAAGTTTTACTGGTATTCACTGACCTTTTCTAAAATTTCTGAACTTAACGCAAGTCTTGATTTATATAAATGTTAGTCATGAATAATTCCATATTCTCCACCGCGAAAGCTACACATTAGGACAATACATAATATATTCATTGATAGCACGAGCACAGGAAATAATACACCTTAATATCTGCAATAATGTCAGGCTGTCTGGAGCAAATAGAATCGCAATTCAGCTTTATGATATGATTTACAATCCTGTTTAGCATTCGACAGCAGCAGGCATTCTGTTAGCGAGACAGTCTTCTCTATTTTCGTCGCCTCTTGAGGATTGGAAAGGTCATATCACACTCCAAAAGGCTCTTAGGGGGCAATTAGCAAGATCTGCTCCCGCAGTTGTCCTGCGTTTTCAGCTAGCTGTCTTCACGCCAAGTTTGTTCTGTCGTTCGACTCGTTTATACAAATATCAGGGTGCACGCATTCGTCGAATTTAATTATCGCTCTGCTATAATCAGATCCCAACGCCGTGTTTTCAGGATATAGTTGTTCAGTTCACTTTTCAGTAAAGTTATTTTGTGACCCGTGAGTGTAGATTTACAACAACGCAGCAGCGCGCAGATATATAGAAGAATGGTATTTCATTACAACAATGATACACTTTAAAGAATGAAATCGAAGGTTGATCAATAAATATACAGCATTAAATCATCTGCGCCAATACGCAGAGTAAGCAGCAAATAGCAAATGATTAAATCGAGGCAATGCATTCATTAGCGACGCGCGGGTAGTACTTATAATATTTAATTTCCAATTCAAGAAATTCGCGATAAAGTCTACAGTAAATGTACTTGATTTTCTGGAAATATGTTAGCTCTGCAGTTACATATATGACAATATACGTCGACGAGCATAAAGCGTGTACCCTCGATCTTGTTTATTTGTCGAAGGCCGAAAGACTGATTTTTCAGAGTGTTCTTTCACTTTTGAATGCAACTAATGTTGGTGGCCTTCTGTTCTATTGGAAGCTTTATTCTAGCCTCATTCTATTTTCCGATTTATATGTGTTGCATTAACGAGAGGCTTAATTGAAGGCAACTTTATATATATATATATAACAGTATTTGCATTTTCCTCAAATAACGTGACAGCGATTTTATTCACAATTTTTCTTTAATTTTTATTTTAAGGTTAGTCTAACATGGCGGCAACGGGGGTAGAAGTTGCTCCCCGTGGAGACACACCAGGATCTATATTTCCCGATATTACCACGATTGGGTATTCTGAAATTGTGACCACCACTGAAGTCGGAAACTTTTCGTCGTATGGACCCAGAGGAGACACATGGGAAGAATGTATTTATTGGTTCAAGACAATGCCCGGTTCTTTTTTCCAGCTGGGAAATCTATTTCTTTTGATGATGTTCATGGCTGGTGGAACTTCCGTAACTTGCGCTGTTTTCACTCATTTTTTGGGGATTCTGTCTTTCACCAGCTTTATACTATGGGCATACATTGATGCCTGCTCTCTGGATATCATGTGCTGGTCGGGCGTGATAATTTTAGTGAATTTGATTCAGGTAAATATATTTGCATTTAAAGATAACAAACTAACAATCAACTTAAATTTTGTCTCACTATTTACACTTTGTCATCATTTCAATACCATCACGATTCCAACTAATACATCTGATTTTTTTATCAGGATACCAACTTGTTTTAATAACATTAAAGCATGAAAGATACTCTGTCCGTGGCAAATATATTGATTTTATGATTGGCATCAAACCTCGATAGACATATGTTATGCTGACGAGATCGTCCATTAAAAAATATGTGGCTCGCACAAAACACATATCGCTGCATCATAAATCAGGGAAATTAGGCCCGATATAAACGCGGGCATAAACAGACAAACGAAAAACTTCGGATAGATTAAAAAAAGATAAAGTTTTACAATAACATCAATTATAAATCGAACAGATAAATTTGATGAATGAACATTTTCCTTGCTTAGAGAATGTGAAGATACAATTATCTTATAGATTGAATACCTACTTCTATCGTGTATAATTTAAAGTTGAAAAAATTTCGTTCGAGAATGTTGATTAATTTTGTGAAATATCTGTGTTGCAGTCGGGATTATTTTCTAATAACTTAAAACAGAGCTGAACACAAAAATTCAATCTCATCATGGCTTGAAAAAGATTTATTTTGAGTAACAAAACAATATCGGTTATCAACTTAGGCACAGTTTTTGAATCAATTTTACAAAATAATGACATTGAAATCATCGTTCGAAAAAATTATTTTATTATTAATTCCCAATTTTTTGTAGTGCCAAATAGATAATGTTTAGCGATTGACGATTCACAAACTGAATGATATCAAATCCTTCAATATTTCAGCTGATTATCACCTGTAGAAGATCACGTCGGATTCAGAATATCATGGGAAAGGATGGTATGGGCCATTTACATAGCATTCGCTTTTCCCCATTCGGAGTACCTCCAAGACTCTTTGTGGAATTAGTCACGTGCAAGGTAAGATAGAGTTCGCTCCTTCCAAATGAGCATGACGTCATACGCAGCTGTTAATTGTAACGGCGAATCAAATGCATGCAGATGTGTAACCTATGTCGACGCATAATCCAGGAAATATCGTGGAATATATATCAGGCTTACACAAAACCAAGCGTTTGTCGATTGGTGAATTCTCGATACGAGACATCAAATGTAACAGACAACATGCATGCATAGGCCCACTTATATTTAATTCGTCCTGAAAGGTAATTTTAAACCACTTGGGATCATATTTAAATTGTAATCCCGCTTGAACTTAGACGTGTTGAGATATATGAGTATAAATCAAAGACATCGTCCACAACATTATATATGGCTTAAAAAATTAATAACTGTAATTCAATATGTAGAAAATTGTTAAGAAATATAACTCAAAATGATGAACATGATTTCTTAAAAATATAATATTGGACTGTGTTATATTTTTCGATATCAAAGAGAAAGATCGCATATTAAATGGTTAAATTATATCATTCCCAAATCATAAATATTATTGAAAATACATTTATTTCATTTTTAAGGGATGTGAAATAACACATATGGAAGCCGGACAAAATTACGCCACGGAAAACAAGACACCGATTGATAAGATCTCGTTACTTCTAAACGGAAGGTTGGTAAACATGTTATAGCGAGTTAATTAAACGATTTTCCAGGAGTCATATTCTTGCACTTTTTGGTGTATTTTTACTCGACGAAACGTTACATCCTTCACTCTTTTTAATGCAACTATGGTGTGCGGTGTACCACACTATAGCGTGAGACCCCCCTCATACCTGTTCTATGGATGTTTCCGCGACCCTTGACCCAATAAAAATTCTCACTATACTTTACTATTGCAAACGTTCGGATGCTTATTTAGCGAGCGTTTTGGAGAATTGACACCTACAGTCTGATTTGCATGATCAAAACCATTATTTTTATTAAAATATACAACCACGTGCAGCTTACACGTAGCAATAGCTGATTTTAGCCTAGTCTATCGCAGCTTCCCGGGACTAATTTTGATTATTGCAACTAAACTAAAGCTCATCGGAAGACATGATGACAATTGAAATACTTCATTTAAAACTAACATTGGAAACTCAGCTAAAAACTGACAAATAACTCGCAAAACTGCAAAAACGAGGCAATGTTATAACCATGATTGAATATCTGTCTGAGCGAAGGAAGTGTCTGAGCGGCTTCGAAAATTCAAATTGTTACGTTTTCGTTGACTTTTTGCTAATTGGTCATTGTTACGGAAGTAAAAACGGAAAAAGTGCTCGGGGAAACATTTATAGCGTGACGTCTACCGCTGCATTTTTCATTCTTTATGGATATCATTTACTTTAGTTAACACTACTCCCAGACTGAGACTGGGTAGACGATATATGGCGGTAAACCTCACGATATAGTAACAATCATTTTACTCCCTGCCTAGACTATTTGGTATCAAACACTGCGTATTAGTCGTAGTCAAATAATGGTATTTTAATGTAAGTAAACATATATACACAACAGCAGTTTACACAGAGATAAATGAGTAATCATATGTTCACACTGAAAAAGCGGATAAAAAAATCTTTGACTTTCGAAAGTTTCGAGTTGTTCAAGCAAGACTAAGGCTCGAGGGCAATTTAGATATTTTTGGAAACCTGACTAATTTACATAATTCTGATGTTTTGTAAATTTTTACTGATCTGATAAAAAATATTTTTCAGAATGAAAGTGCTTTGCAATGGAAAATTTCTTCATTACATAACACAAGACACATTTATTGATTCTCCAGAATGGACTGTAGCTGAACCAGATTCTACACGATCGTTCAAGGTTGGTGGTTTCAACGTTTCCTTTTTAAGCGGTAGTAACTCTGAAATAGGCTATCGGAGATACCGTAATAAAAAATAACGCTTTTGACTTGTTATTTCTAATCACTGTGTAATAAAACGGCATTAATTATAGAATCATATTGCTCGACTTGGCAAGACTCTATTTGGGTGAATTTTATTTCAGTTCGTTTTCTCCATGATTTCAGTAATGCAATGAATGGCTTTGGACAGACACATATTAGCTACTGCTAAATTTTCAAATCAGAAAAATAAACAATTTTTCACCTGTACAATTATACTTCGTTTTCATTTAGGTGACCATCACCTCTGACGCGGCTTGTACGTATATATCATGGAAACGAAAAGGACTGATTGCGCTTTTGTCGAAGCATAAAAGCCTCAAAAAGATCATGTACGCTATGATTGGTAAGAAATAGCAAATGTTTTTTGAAAATTTGAAAATGAAATGTACATTTTGAGGGCATGGAGGTCAATCGACCAAATACTTTTAAGAAAAACGATCGAATATCTCATTTTATAAAATTTATTAAATTGGTGATACGGATTGTTTCTTTTACCCTTTCTAAATCACCATTTGAACTAAGCTTGACAAAATCATTGCAGCGAAGGATGTCACAGCAAAATTCTACGACTTGAATGACCGTTGCATTACGGAACGCGGATTCCGATATGACATTCGTTTACCATGTGTGATGTCACTACCTGAAGACGTAGAAAAACGGAACAAAGCTTTCGTTGCGTCTCATTCAGCACCTGGGACACCTGGCTTGGATTCGGAAGGTATGTTGTTACTAAACAATTGATCTGATTCATCAGATTCCTATTTTATCAATATAAAGAATTAAACAATGATGCGGTAATCTGATAGGCTATATATTCAACATTGAATTAACTAGTCGCATAAACTGTGAACAACAAGTCTGCCTATATATTAGTTTCATAATTGAGGCAGCTTAGCCAATGTTTTTCCTGTTAATGCAGAAGTTTATACCAGTTTTTCTGCGGTGTATTCTCCAAGAATTAATGAATTCACTAATAAACATGTTATAACGTAGACCAGCGGTTTCCAACCGAGGCCAACAGAGCAGTTGGACGGGACCACAATGCTAGGCGCAAAACTGATTTTACTTTCACTTAGCAAAAAACTCCCCGTCCTTCCTAGTTTCATTGCTTGATAAGGTTATGTCACAGTGTTTTCAATTTGTTGAGCATGAATTGTTTATACACAATGGGATTTGGAAACTACCAATCAAAATAACACAATATATACCCCTAGACTAGAATGATAAACATACGGGACGGACTATGAGTGCTAAAACCCTCCGTCGGGGGTCACGAGCCATAAAAGGTTGAGGACCACTGACGCAGACTGCAACGGCACTCCTGGCTTGTTTGTGCTAAATGTCAATAGAGTAATTTCTAAAACTATATTGTGTACGCACTTAGTGTGTAATACCATCGATCTATTTCACATTTCTTGTGATAATCAAGATTTTCAGGGCTATCCATCTTACATTTTACGCTGTACTAGAATGAAACACCAGACCGCTTTCAATACCACAAAAGTCTTCATACCAGTCAATTCAATTTCATATAACATCCAAATGTATGCAGAACAAATTTGAGGCAGATTCCACATATGCATTGCATAATATGCGATGGCTGGAATGAAAATTCTAAATAAATTTGAAAAAGATTTCAAGGGTACTAAAAAGTGAAAGTCAATGAAATTATTCCAATTTTAAATCAAACCATCTGATTGGGTTTTGTACGTTTTCAGATTACTTACAGATTACAGATGAAAAAGTAAGGGGTCAAATTTGATTTTATAAAATTTATTTAGCGTAATATTCGCCCTTTCGCGGAGAGTGGTTTCCTATGATCGAGGGAATTCATTTTTTCGCCTCAACTTAGTGTTCGGTTGCATTGAGCTGTGAATTTTAAAAATTCACTAATCCAAATTGTTTCAATCACAAAAAGCTTTTTATACCACAATTTGGTGTGGAACTGGTCGAAGAAACATGGTTAATGATGGCATCACACTTATGGGCCACACATATAACCTGAATTGTTAAAGGTTCGTGAATAAAGGCATTTGTCGGTGAGACGATAAGTCTTATTAAATGTCAGAGTGACGGCTATCTGACTCAAAAGACCATTTTTGATTGTATCGATCTGGTCCCGAGTTGGAATTGAATTATTTTTTTTGAACTATTTTTGAATTTGATAGAAGTGAATATCTTTCATGAAATCATTACTTATAATTAATAGTCTAAAGATATTGCTTATCATCGCGATTTTGAAGTCACCGACAAAGATTATAACTCGCAATGAATTGTGCTAATTAAATAAAATTTATTTTATATATATTCGCAAACAAAGGTAGAGAACGTCGAAAACATACCTACACGTTTTCAAATGATAAAATTGGATGTAAATTTGGAATTGTCGTGTATATCACGTTCCGTCTAAATCAGAATAACGAAATTATAGCAAAGTCATTCCGGACTTAGCACTTTTATAATTATTCAACTGCTTATCATTGTTCATTGCAGATCATCAGAGCACCACACAACAAGCTGCTTGAAAGTCATCATCATGTCATCAATCTCAAATACCATGCATCATATTTTTCTGTAGGAATCTTCGACGTCCATTTCATATTTTATCATAAGAAGCTACATTCATTCCCAGGCTTACACTAGAAACTAAATGCTTAACTCGTTTTTATGACTCAAAATTTAGGACGCCGACATCGACAAAAGAAACTTGGGAAAACAGCGGCCGCCAAATATGCGAACATTTTTGCCAGCAAGCTCCGTGCCCGAGTTAGCATGAGAGCGATGCAAAGGCCCGTCGTCAAGGTCAGACGGGAGCCTCTGAAAGAAGAGGGCTAAAAGAAATAGAGATCTATAATGTTAATATCCCCTCCAATTATAAATTTTTGGATGTGCTTCAATTTCAAATAAGTTATACGAATTTTCATTCAATTTGTTAGGTATTTTTCTCTTTCGGTGTTAAATATAATATTTATGATATAGCGGAAAACAGTTTACTCATGTATTATACACATTCATCCCGGGAAAGAGGAAAGAAATATGGCGGCTTAATCATATGACGAAGTATGGCCTTTCTTGCCCGGTTACAAGTCCATGTCGCGTGTGCGGATTAGTTAACCAGATTTGTTTCAGATGCATGGACTTGTTTGTTGGAAAATTTTGATAATCACTAAATCAGAGTTTATATATATGCATACGAGGTTGTCTGGATCGGAACGCAAGGCGTGGATAACAACTTTTTTACAAATTTTGCGTCGTCACAAAGCACGGCAAGAATCGGTTGAAGGTTCTCGCCGGTACCTTAGCTTTCTTGGTCTCACATTTGATGTTCAATCAAGATGAATCGATCGCTTTTCACATACGTATTCGCGGTGAGTCCATTTTGCTTATTAGGAATCAGGGACATATGCGTCTCTAAGACACGTCAATTATAAATTAATCTTCCTGTCAGTTTGAGCCAGCTGCTATAGAGGAGATTAAAATTAGGGTCAAGCTCAGAAATAGATTTCGGCTCTTCTGTCAAGCTATCGTCAGGGCAATACAAACCTGACGAATCAAGATATTCCACAGACTCGCCACACAAATCTTCAAATTGAACAACGAATCCCACAGGAATTTTGAAGTAAATAAAAATCACAGTGACAATAATCTTCAACCACCAAAAATTTCAAAGCAATCGGTACAGTAGTAATACAACAAAACGATCCACCTTGCGTACAATAAAATATACTTTAAGCTTGAAGTAAAGCCCAGAATATCTTTTTTCAAACGCCAAAACTGTTCTTACCGGCCCTCCCACTCAGCTTAGCAACTTGCAAGAACGAAAAGTATCAAAAGAAGTGTATTAGCTGACAAATGCGGCAAAACCGAATGAAAAATGCAAAAACAAAACTGACAAAAAGAAACGGGATCACATAACAAAAAAGTTTGGGTAATACGGCGCTGGCAACCCAATATTTTCATTGGTCAATGCCGCGCTTTGACCAACCAGAAGGTAAGAGTCACACTATAGAAGCACCAAGTTTACATACCATCCTAGCTAGCTACATTGTTTGCTGTTTGTAGCACGATATTGTATTTATTAGTTTCGCATCAACGTGGCGAGCCAATTCCTTGCAAATCCAAAGACAGCTGCGGACTAAGAGTCGCGTAAGTAGCAATATAAAAACCATGGAAGAATAAGATATGATTGAATGTCCCTTGGCCTTGATACAAAATATGCAATAAGTACTAATACAAAAGCGCCAAAAAATGTAGTCTTATAGTTAGCTAATATGTAGCAATTGGAATCAACATTACTAATTTCTGCATTGGCAAGTCATGCAAAAGACTTAATTGAAGTTTATAGTATCGACCCACACAGAAGTTCTTTTTTGGAGTCTGACCTGAAAACCCCAGGCTGTGTATGAATATACTTATGAGAATGATTGATAAGTAAATAGTTTGTTATTCAATCACCAACAGGTAATTAGAATTGCAGTTTTGCATTGCTTCTCATAATCTAAAGCAGGGGCGTGCAACCATTAATACAGGAGGGCCAGGTAGAAATAACTGGGCGAAACCACGGGCCGCACCTTTATTCAACATAAACTTTATCTAGTAGTTGCAATCCAAAAAATGTTAGGTATTGATCTTGTGATATGCTTTGCTCGCACAAGCTAGCTGTTAAGGCATTGTAAAGTCATGGGCATAGATAAATTGGGATTCAGGTACAGGCTCAACACCGCAAAGGGATTGGAATTACTCACACATACCAAATTAAATGAAAGTGAAAATCTGTTACAAAATTCAAAATTGGCACCGTGGGCTGCATAAATTGTCCTTGAGGGCCGCATTTGGTTAGCGGGCTGCAGGTTGCACACCACTGATCTAAAGTCTTCCAGCTGCTGTAGTGCGTACCAATCATAATTGCTATACAATTGCTCAAAAGATGATTCTCATCACAGCAGTCTCTTTCTGCATTTAGTTGCCCCACAATAGCATTGTATTTCTCGACCTTCCACGCTGCCAATCTCATAATTATAATCCCAAGTCAGTTCTGTACCAGCTCGTATTGTCCTGTTAAAAAAAATCATTGCAATTGGGATTTTCGTATTTAACCCTGGGAAGAGGAAAGTTGATAAGACGACTGGAGCATATGGCGTACCATGGTATGGCGTTCATGTCAAGTGTGGGATGAAATAGACAGTTAAAAGATTCAGATGCATTGACTTGATGGTGGAGGAAGCCGTAACTGACCAGCGACATGTGCCGCCCCACAGCCTCTCGTCTAGTTTCCAGTCTATGTCAGGTGTGTGAATAGTGAGCCAGTTATTTGTTTAAGATGCATGGACTTGATGGAGAGAGTCCAGCAATCCTCCCACACATTATTATCTCCAGCAGGATTCGAACTTGCGATTTATCGATGATCCACGCACGCTAATCGACCAGAGGTGCAATGACAAGCCCAATCCTAACGCTCAGCGTGATCGTAGTATGCAACAGTACTTGGTTTAAACAGACATAACTATCAATATAAAACTCAGACCACTAATATTTTAGAATAAAAAACAATTTGAAATGTAGTCTTGGATTTTATAGTTATATAGGGCTGAACAAAAATGTACCTCAGAAATTACACAGGAAGGCAATAATACCTGGTGGCGAATCCTACAGCTCAGCCTACAATTTCACCTACAGTATCAGAAATAAAGTACTTACGAAGTAGCAAAAAATGCGACCCATGGAAATCTGAGATCGTGTGTATCAATGAAAACATTTTGTACCAGTAGATTAGGAGCACATGAATGATTGAGATATCGACCTAGGTTTCCAGTCTGTTTAGCATCGATGATAAATGTATCAGAACAACCAAAATATCTGAAAATAAAATTATTCTTAGTAATCGGCAACACCGTTAGAAAAATTCGATAGATACCCAAGTGGTGTTTCTTAGGCGCTCCAGAAGTGTGTGTACCAATATGAAGGTAACTAATTTTGTTTGCCTACTTTACATCAAGTTGTGTAAAGGGACTAAAACCTATGGGCAGGGGGTATATTTACTTGACTAAAACAGACAGTCCCTGAACTCGTAATACAACTAAAATATGGAAAATCGGACTGAAATTATGCTCTAACCAAAACCACTATGGGAGTACAGTTTCTCGTGCGTTTGAATGGATAATTTACAGAAAAAAATCGACCCCATGCAAGAACAACAATTTGGCAAAACGATCCATATGATTCAAACTATTTCATATAAAACATCTTTATTCCTAATTTGTTCAAGAAAAACCAAAGATGATAAACCTCCTAGTATTGTTCACATCTTCTTCATCATCGCTGCTATCTCCAGCTAATCTACTTGTATCAGAAGTCATCTATAAACAATAATACATCAGATCAGAGTATGATAGAGCAGTGGTTATACCTTTTTTCAGTGTCCCAAATTTAAAAAAAAAAAAGAATTTTGTAAAATCTCGCGACCCAAGAATATGCTCGAAAGCTTCGAATACTAAACATGTACCTTCATGACCAAAATTAAATGAATAATATAAAACAATCAACTTTATATAACAATAATTGGTACTCCCAAAGTATGTGGACCAAGACGGCGGACACCGGAACGTAGTGTGTTCCGGGTTAGGGTGAGGCTAGGAGTAACTTGGCTAGTCCCTGAACTCGTAAAAGAACTAAAATAAGGAAAATTGGAATAAAATTATGGCCTAACCCTAACCTGGTACACATACTACGTTCCGGTGTCCAACATCTTGGTTAACATACTTCGGGGAAACCCATTTTATTTCCCCAGAAATAATGTGGCTTTAATAAAGCAAATAATTGCTTCCTAGTTTTTACGCAGTGATTCTCTCCACGAATACAATTACTATTGAGAACACTTTGATAACAAATATAAAATAAACAATAAAATTATTACCTTGTAATTTTTTATTGAAAAAATCAAGCCCCCAGGAAAATTTTCAGGCGACTCGGTTTCGGGTCGCGACGTAAAAATGCTATTTTCAGGAGCGTCTAGCTAACCTGATAGCCTGGTCACCTAGAACTAAATTTGGGGTTAAAACAAAAATTTAGTGAATTAAGGTTACGTTAAAACGTTTAAAATACCTTCGATGAATGTAGTCCTATAGACTGTGAAGATCGCCTGTCTGAATTTTTGCTCGATGGTCCACATGATGGAGGTCTGGAGTTGAATAGAAAACATTTTAATTCAGAGCGCAAGATTAAACTATATAGCAAAAGACATGATCTATTTTTAAACAAACGAAGAAATAAAATCTTCACAATCGAATAACAATTGAGCAGCTCAGAAATACCTGTGCAAGATTTCTACAATACTTGCCGCTATTACACCACTTTTTGAAAAAGCCAGTTTTTCCAGCTTATTTTTTTGTTGCCTATGTTTTTTGTTTTGTTGTCAAAATAAATGAAACCCACAGAAATCGAATTAATGGGTTTCATTCATTTGTTTTGGGAAACCCTGTACTGTCCAATGTACATGACTGATAAAAACCCTCAAAATGTCAGGAGTGTTTCACCCTTATTTGTGCTTGTTTCGACTTGCAGTACGCTATTTTATAAGGCTTTCATCTTCAGTATCTGTGAGCACTGCTACACAACAAACCCACGCAATAGACAGAAACAAAAATGCAGGGTAAACTATCTGATAATATGAGTTTTTATTAATATCTTCGCAATATTGCGAATTTTTGCTATTCTTGCAACACCAGCTAAACACTGCACACTGAATGAAATTATACCTTGCAAACACATTTTATTAACAAAATTATACTAAAACCAACCGACCCAACATCCAATAAATATTTACAAACCTTTCATTATTACTATATTCTGAATCGGTATCCGTTGTTACTTCATCTTCTTCACCAGGTGGGGCCAACCGGGAATTGAAATCTGAAGTATAAAAAGATCTGTGGGTTGCTCGAGTAATTGCCGAGCATACCTAACATGTAATTCAAACAGAGGCTAATAAGCCTGTAACAAAATTACATGAATTTAAATATCTTTTCACATAAAAATAAAATGTTTTTGTCATTCTGATATTCAAATTTGTGGCTTAATTGAAATATTTTAAATAAAATTTGAAACGATCAAGAAAACAGCATGTTCGTAAATCAAATGTACCTCTGGCAATTGTATATACCTGTCACATCTTCATCTGAATCAGACGATTCTACTTTCATATCGCTATACTTCGAAGACATTTTCCGATTTTGCCTGCCATTGGATGGTCGATCTATTTAAAAAATGAATTAGCTATATCGATTGAATTCTATTTGGTATTCTACAACTAGGGCCAAGGGTCCAAGCAAACCGAATATTCAAAATCGAATCACAATCAATCAAAAACACATTTCTCTCACTTTCTTTGCGGTAAAACAGTCTTTCTCTTAATGCTCGGTAACGTGTAATTAGCCATATCATGCATGGCCATAACTAAAAAGTTATGTTATTATAGACAATGACGTTATTTGAGAGAGTACACAAGAAGAAAATGGCAAATTTAGCAACGACAGAAACAATAAGTTCTATAAACAATAGTTCTCAATACCTTTTCGCAATAGATTTTGTAATTTCTTTTAATGGCAATACTTCGTATTATAAGTCTATTACTAAGAAAAATAATTGCACTCGTGCATTTTGATGGCTGTTCTAAAGCAACAATACAGTCATCAAATAATAATGATTATACTAGCTTTGAATTCATGACTACCCTAAATGAAATTTTTAAGTTCATCGGAAAAAGTTTTATTTATATTTAATGGTTGCTTATCACAGTATCATTTTGCTGAAAATTACACAAAAAAATCTTGAAGAGGTAATTAGACTAACGATGATGGGTTTAAAATGCCAACTACGAGCTTTGCGTTCCCTATTGAAACTGAATTCATTGAAATTGAGCAAATAACGTAATGATGAGACTGTGCGATTCCAACTTTCCTAGTTTTCGAGACCCTAATTTTTTGATCAGTTCATAGAGGTATTTGATCTCCTTTTATTACTCTGGAAACATAATTATGCAAAATATCAGAAGTAATTTAGATGTAACTGCACATACGTTATCACAATTTCGAAAATGAAGTTATTATTGTATGAAAGAGACAGATTTAGAATTGCGCAATAATATTCGATTATTCGGTTCGATTCGAAAAAAATATTCAAATTAAAAATCAAAAAAATATTCGATTCTGGACAGCCCTATCTACAACACAAGTTAAAAAATGTCCAAAAGAACGTAATTTGGGATGATGTTACTGTACATTACAGTGAGTCTGACCTGTATATATAAGGAAACAATTCCATGATTCCTGGAATATATATAATGTCTGTAAGCTTGAAGACAAAAGACTATCCAAGTTATAAACTGCTAGAATGCATATTTCCCAAAGGATAAATATCGCTCAATACAGGATGCAGCATTTCCTGTTTTCAAGTTATGTGGCTAACTAATAGACCCGTAAACGATGAGATGAATATCAGCAAGCAGTCAACTAATGGCCACTAGGCCTGAGACAATACAGAAATGACCAAGTTACCTTTCTTTGTTTCTGTATCAACTTTTCCATTAATTTTGTCCTGCAATACAAAGACAGAAAATATAATTAGATAAAACAGAAAAGCAGTATCACTTGAAGAAGTAACATATAGTTATGTAACTTGAAAAGTAAGAAAAATGTGATTACAGCAGGGGAGTACAACCTTCAATACAGGAGGGCCAGATAGAAATAACTGGATGAAATAGCAGGCAGCACCTTTATTTAACATAGGCTATATCAGGGTGGTCCAAACCCAGGCCCACGGGCCACATGTGGCCCGCAGCGTCATTATCTGTGGCCCGCGTTGCCTTTGCTGAAGGATAATCAAAAATTCACATTTGGTGTCGTTTCGTCATAAAAATAATCAGAAAATCTTTTCGACATCTTGTTACATCACTAATGTCACTAAATTGACTAGCGTCACGGCTAGCCGAAGCAACTAGCGAAGTTGAATAGTGTGCGTGTGTGGAATCCAAATTTTTCACTGACTATCTATCTTTTTGGTTGGGAATATATTCCAACCGGTATAATAACTAAATATAAATGTTATGGCCTGAGAATATAATTCCGTCCGGTGATGTTTTGAAACCAGCTTATACAGTATTACAAAAAATGCGTCTAATATGTCAGAAAAATTAATAATTACTCTCATGTACCTTACATTTTGTAAAATTTGATAATCAATCAATCTGCAGTTATGGAAAAAATAATCTAAAACGGCATTTTGCTATCATGGGAGCAATGAGCATTTCCAAATTTTCAGGGATTTCGCTTTTAGAGTGTTTGTTGTGAATTGCCCTTTTTACTTATTTCTGACACGATTGTTGCCCCCGAACAATGCAAAAAAAATTTTGTGGCCCGCGAAGGCGACAACCTTGGACCACCCTGGGCCATCTAGTAGTTGCAAGCACAAAAATGGCTACGCAACGCAAAAGGATTGGAATTACTTGCATGTACCAAATTGAGTTAAATTGAAAACTCGCTTCGCGGGCCGCATATCATTCAAAATTGGCACTTCTCCTTGGGCCGCATAAATTTATCTTAGAGGCCGCATTTGGCCCACGGACCGCAGGTTGCACACCCCTGGAATACAGCATTCAAACAACTATTTTAATGTGGAGATATATAGAAATTGAATCAAAACAAGAGCTATATGTGATCAATATTCATTACTACCGTGATCAAACTCAAACTACAAAAGTTGTGCAGTTGAATCACTGTGTGACAAAATAAAAACAAACCTCAAACGTAAAATCAGTGTGTTCATTGTTCTTGACCGTCCATTTAGAATCAGGTGCTCTTTTCAGAGTTACAGTAACATGCTGAGAGAATTGTTAAAGAAAAAATTAAATTAAAGTAATTAGGAATGAGGAAAACGAATTGAAACGAAAATCAAAAACAAACTCGAGACTGGAATGTTAATAACAGTCTTGGAATTGGAAGAAATTTGAAATTTGAAGAAGCATATAGGATAGGATTTACTTATTTATCATGGGGGAAGCCATAACTGACAAGCGGTTATGTGAACCACACTACGGCAGCGGCAACGAGTCCAGCAATCCTATCCCACATAAGTATTCCTAAATGGGATTTTAACTCGCCAACCCACGCAGGGTAATCAGAGATGCGGTGGTGAGCGGATTTTTTAACGTTTAGCACGATGCGGCACACTGCCGAGCCAGGGTCAAATGAAATATGAGTATCTTCAAGAACAAATGAAAAAAAATTTAAAATTTTTGACATGTTTTGGTATGGTAATAGTGAATATTTAAATAATAAAAACTGAAATCCTTTCAGATCAGATACAGACAAACAAACTCAAATCTACTTGAAAGCAAAACTGAAATCAAGTTTACTTACAATCACTTAAAAAGTGCATGCAAACTTAAATATTAAACACATCTCCATTTTTCATTAAAAATTTAAAATCAAGAAATTATAATGCTGCCAGGAACTGAATCCCAGAGAATATATAAACACAAAAAAAACCTAATTCTACTACATTGCATGGGTCTTTGTCTAGGTTACATTATATATAGTGAATAAGATAATACAGCCAGTCCAACAATATTGATATATTCATGTGGAATTACAAATTGTGGCAAAAAATCTGGATGATTCCCTTGAGCCAGCCACAAACATTTTTGATTCAAATACTCAAGCCCGAATAGAACAAAAAAAAAATTAAAGAAAAGCAATATTTTCAGTCGCTCAAAAAAATAGCATGCAAAGATATTTTTTCTTCTATTCAGGCAAGTCAAGTACTTGCAATTAAAATTTCATAGCAAAGGCAGTAAAATGAACGTGAAATCTCACGACCAAACAATGTATAACACAGGTTACCTTCATTACTCTGTCATCATTGATTTCACTATCGGTTGTGTTAGCTCCAGAGTCATCACTGTAAAAACAATATTTCCAATAAACATGATGATTATGTTTATATTTATGGTAGTAAATGAATGATTGTTTGTTCTGAAACTTTGGTACAAAATAAAAATAATTCTATAGAAATTTAATACATTTTTATTAGTGTCAGCTCATATTTATTTTAAATGATGCCTTTTTCACATCTTTCAACATGGCCCTGTACAGCCACTGACATGTGAGAATCCTGTTTTTGAGAGAAGCATAATCTTAACAATGGAGCATAATCATAACAATGTTACATAACAATGGAGGCAGACACTACCTAACAAAAAGTAAACGACATAGAAAGGTAAAATGAATTTATTGTTTGATATAGACAGCGTTTAAAATACGAAACAGTAAACGCTTATAACACAATTCTGTTAATTTTCGCGGCGCACATGACATCTCGCTGGCCAACCTTCTGGGAGCTGCTGCATTAGGTCATAGACGCAGTACTATTACTAGATCACAACTAAAGTTTAAGTGATAATTGTAAATTAGTGTTCAATTCTTTTATTGTTTGGCGAGCACTTATTCTTTATCACAAACCAAATTAAGAATTCTTCATAACAGAGGAAGTTTTTATCAGTTTCCAGTTGTCTATCCCAAAGTTTCTTCTCATGAAAAAGTACTCACCTCTGTCCCCCCTCATCTTTTTGTCTCTCAGTTCCTTTATCTTCTTCCTCTTCCTCATCCATCTCACTATCAACTCCACTCGAACTCCCAGCATCTTCATCATCCTTGTGTCTTTCTGCAACCTGACTCAAGAAAAAATCATAGTTTGACACAGTGTGGACATAGGAATAGTTTTGCTGAACTGTCAGTGGTTGTTATGAAGTGGAATTTCTCCTAACTAATGGGCAAACCGGTTTCAAATTTTAAATGCTTGTAAAGATGGGAGTCGCCATAACAATGTTTTTAGAACTTTCTATGGGACCCAATGTTACACCCCATATTATGCTGTTGCCCTTTGACTCATGAGTAGGCTTACTATCTATATCAGGGGTGTGCAACCTGCGTCCCGCAGGTCGAATGTGGCCCGCAGGAAAAACTTATGCGACCCGTGGAGAAGTGCCTATTTTTACTGGTGTGCGGCCTGCAATACGAGTTTTTAATTTGGTTTAATCTGGCAAGTGTGAGTAGTTCCGATGCATTTGGGTTGAAAAGCCTATACCAATTCATCATTCATGCCTATGTTGAATAAAGGTACGACCCGCGGGTTCACCCAAGTAAATGTATCTGGCCATCCACTACTAAAAGTTGCCCACTCCTGCACTAAATTAGTATGTGGTTTGTTAAAGACTATAAAAGTCTTTTTCTATTGATAAACATCCTCAAAATTATAACATACCTCAATATGATCAAGTTCAGCAAGATATTCGTCTCCATTTGCTAGACCTTCTTCATTAGCTTTCGCTTCGGTTTGAATTTTTCCTAAAAAAAATGTTTTTTCAATTGTGAAAATCTTTGAGGGCACTACCTTTTAATGAATCTGCTTTCTCTAATAACTGAATCTAGGCAAAATTAGAATTCTGTGATATCTTGAAATTTGAATAAATTATTACACAAAAATTCTATATTTTCATGTTTTTACATCATGTCTCGAGTCTCTTGACTGGTATTAACCAAACTTTATTCAGTTATGAACATGCGTAGGTCGAATAATTTATTTATATCATTAAAGTTAGTGTTTTAGCTCAGGGGTGTGCAACCCGCGGCCCACGGGCCAAATGCGGACCACAAGGAAAAATTGTACGACCCGAGGAGGGGGGCCAATTTTGAATGGTGTGCAGCCCAGAAATCGAGTTTTTAAATCAATTTAACTTAGTACATGTAAGTAATTCCAAGCCCTGTGGGTATTAAAGGTTGCACACCCCCGTTTTAGCTTATCATACAAAAAAAGCATGGTCTAATTGTGTAAATACCTGTGTAAACACACACAAAAGTTCCTTTTGCAATGTCATCAAGGCATCTTATACCCCAACCTTTTTTGTGTGTTTTGAACATCTGCAGCCTACATTGAAGACCTTTTTGCACAACTCGATTAGGACATCTGGAGTTGCATTTACATTTAGGACTGCATTCATAGATTCTGAAATTGACAAGACATAGTAAGATTAGATACTAGATGATGAATAAAGGGTACTCCTGTAGTATGTGAACCAGGTTGGCGTTAAGTCATAATTTTATTCTGATTTCCCTTATTTTTATCCCTTAAAGGGTTCAGGGACTGTCTGTGTTAGCCAAGTGACCCCCTGCCCATAGTCCATATACACAATTTGATTAAAGTAGGCGAACAAAACAATTACCTCCATATTGGTACACACACTTCTGGAGCGCTAATATATTTAACAGAAGATACCCTCATTGTGAACAATTAGCCAAATTTAGGAATAGTCGGCAAAATCGTTTCAAATTAAAATAAAATGAATCCGATACAATGACAACCATAAAATAAATCACACAAAAAAGATTAGAAGTAATATTATTATCCTCGATGACAACAGCAACATACCCAGTAGGAAGGAAACCATACAGACGTTTGTATTGGTAGCCAGCATCGTGCTTTATTTTGGCACCTCTGCAACATGAGGTTGCTGTCACAGTAAGTTGTTGGCATGGACACGATGAACGATCTCTGCAATTATCTGGACAATCGCAGCATACCTGCATTTTAAAAGTATATAATAAGATATATTCATGTGAAACTATGTTACAAAATAATGCTAAATAAATGTTAAAAATAGCAGAAGTCTCTTGTTTCCTGGTTGACGAGTGTTACAACTTCAACTCCAGTTTCGAGAAAACAAAATTTGAATAGCGAAAGCTCTTGTAAATGCCCAGTTTTTTTATTTGTGTGCTGAGAAATGCTTGGTCAACATTTTTTTTTTGTCAAAAATACAGACTTCAAATATCAACATTAAAAAGACACAGGTAAAAAATATGTAAAGTTTCAAGGAGTTGGAAAATAACGATTTCGGCTTCAATGTAAAGAGAAACATACAAATCTCGGGCTCAACATCGCCATAGTAGTCAACAAGCCATAAAAATAGTCCAACAAATCGCGAAGCAAACGACAGCAAAATTGGATTGAATCTGATATTACCATGAAATCGGAAGAAGTATTGATAGTAACGTTTTCTCCCTCGACTCTAGCTTTTGTATACGGCATAACTGGAGGTCTCTCCATATTGATTTCATTGACACAAGGAATCGGTATATCTTCTTTACCCTCTGTATTAGAAATAAGAAATTTTTTTTATAAAAAAAAACGAGATTTTTTAATCAAATTGAAAATCCATATTTAATTTGTATAGGGCAATATTGTGTAATAAAAAAGTTTATTATGCAAACCTAATAAAACTAAAATAGGAAAATTGAAATAAAAGTATGCTAAGCCTCAAACCCTAACCTGGTACACACACTACGGGAGTACCGGTACCTATTTTTGTTACCTGAATAGTCTTCCATAAAAAACTTTGTGTCTCGAGAATGTACAGATATGTTGCTGTGAGTGCGTACAGAATAATCAAAACAAAAATGGTCGTAGTCAACATCGGGCAGATTTGTTTCAAGGATGTATCTAAGAAAAAACAGTTCCAAAATTAATAATATAATATAAATGCTTCAAAACTTTAAAACAGCAGTATTTTTTTGTACGCTCATAAGTGGTAGCTTCCAATCATCATGATTGAGCTGAAAAATTGTTTTTGAAACATTATTATGTAATTATCATAAAATTTAAGGCTTGAAATCAGAATACAAAAATCCACGATTAAGCACATATCTTGCAAGGATATGAAAGCGATTATATGTATGACAACCAATCACAGACTGTTAATGCTGTCATAGCATAAACGCGCTAGCGATCATGTGTATGACAACCAATCACAAACTGTTATTGCTAGCATAGCGTATTAAGCGCTGCTTCAGGTGTGTGCACGAGAACTTAGCGTGTATAAGCCGTCCTTTTAGTGCAATAGGAGTTATGCACTTATAAGCTGACCCCTTAATTGCCACCCTTTTGTTCTGAGTTTTTAACTCTGCTTATATATAGGATATACAGTAACTAATGAACTATTCCCATATCCATCACAACAAAACATAAGATCATGGTTCGGCATAACCTTAAGTCTTGTTATCCGTGGAATAAACAGGAAAATCATATCTTAATATTTTAATATGGACATTCACAATTAAATGATATGCGCATTGATTGATGAAGAAAACTGAAGAAGCGCCACAATATATAATGCTCTTCTGCCAAATGAATGGTTGCTGCCGATTCTCCTTTCCTTGATATGATTTTCTGTGCTCAGAAATCTCTAGAACAGTGATTCTCGAACTGTGGGGCGTAGCCCATTTTTGATTTGATCTTAACCATATTATTTTGGATATTTACATATGTTTTATTGTTCACATTTTTTTTACGTCCACATATTTTCAGCATGTTTTTTGATTAAAAATACTTCCGCCTTACCATCTGTTATTGAAGCTTATTGTTAGCTAGTTATTTTTGAGGTGGGGCGCGAGACTTGAAAAGTTTGAGAAACACTGCTCTAGATGGTTTCCAAATACATGGATCGTTATTAAGAAACCATTAATGATTGAAGCTACCTGTCAACATCTGACATATTTCTGCACATTCGTCCACAAGGTGCTCTGTAATAGACATGAAACGCAGGTCCTCGTGTACATGGTTTCATTCTAGAAACTTCTCTGGTCCATCCAAGCAATAGAGGTTTCATCAAAGGGTTGGTACTGTAAGAATATACATTGGATTTAGCAAGAAGAAATAATAGTAAACAATCAAAATGAAACAATGAAAGTGTTAGAGTAGAGGATGTTGAATTAGACTAGCAAACATGCAGACTACCTTACGAAGGAATTGAGTTAAGCAATCCTTTCCTACTTTCAAGTTTCACTCAGAAAAAATAGTTTGCATTAGCAATCTTTTGCATGCTAATATGAATCTATGCCCACCGATGATCAGAGCAGAATGATAACGATGACGAGCTTTCTGTAAATATTTTGCAGTCAGTATTGTTTTCAAAATGATTAAAAATCATTTACCCTTTCAACTTGGAAATATCGTTCACTTTGAATGGTTCAACACATTTTGGCCCACAGATATGTTTCCTGTATGATGCAGATGATCTGGGTGCCATCATATAGTAACCTGGTGTCCTAGCTCCCTGGAATGATCTTTTCCTATCAGAGCTTGATCTACTATCGTCAAACTGGAAAAATAATTTTTTTTTTTTATAATTATATAACTTGGATGCCCGGCCTAATTTGAAAAAAAGTTCAATATTGGCTACTGATGAATATTATATGTCCAGGTCAGGGTGCTCATTTATTTGAAATTAAGGTCACGCCATTATTTTTGTGCTTTTTCAAATGATTATGATAACTAGGAATGTATCGCAGCATTCGCAGGTTAATAATAAATAAGGTGCAAATACCATGCACACTAACCTCACCTATAGTGTAATAAATTGGACGATGAACGTTTCCCAGACTCTTGATCCCTGAAAGATTCTCCCTCTACTTTATCAAAGCGAAATTTTCATCGCTGATTTTGAGAGTGTTTTGGAGAGTTGGTGCTTACAAACTGGTTCACATGTTCAAAACTATCATTTTTATCCAAAACAATAAACCCTGTGGCGCTTATGGGTTCTGGTAGCTAATTTCACTGTTAATTGTTGTGTCATTGTTAACTTATTGCTGATTAGTAATTGTTATGGAAATAAACAAGAAAATCGATGCCCGGGAATACATCCATGCCGAAGCAAAAAAAAGTTGCAAACTCGCAACGTTTTTTCATTTATCGCAAATATTAAAGCAAATTTTATTACAAAACTGCAGATTTGACTAATGAAATGCAGCATAATTCATTCCATCTGCTGTTTTGGACTTATTCTTTACCTTTGATTGTTGATCATTTATAGACAGAAACTTAGAAAAGAGACTCACCATATTCTCAGAAGTTTGTACATCATCATAACTTCTACTTCTTTTATCTCCATATCCCCGTTCAAATCGATTTGTCTTTTTTTGTTGCCTATTCTGTTTGTTTGACATAGACATTCTGTCAAGTATATGGCTTGCAACATCCACCCCACCTTTTATTTCTGAAAATGACTGAGGGAGTCGCGTCACTGGAGAATCACCAAGATGGGCTTTTTGAGCAGCAAGGGAACGAGACCAAGGTGCTTTCCATTCCCCACTGTAACCCCGATATGCAGATGTGCCTGTGAAGATTTAGAAAAATTATGTACAATAACCAGTGGGGTAGTGGATGTGAAATCTACACACTCGGACTGTTGACTACCTTGTAGTAATTTGGTTGTATTTTTATATTCTTTGATAGTGTCATAACAGACATTAGGTCACTTAGATGCAGATTGAAGGCTTGAACAAAACGATTTGACATGCTTCAGCTTCAAGTCTCGTGCCAATTATCATTATTTTATTAGGTATCTATATAGCAGAGTCTACCAACCTTTTTGATCGCGGGCCCCTATTCTATGCCATACAAATTTCTGTGCAAAATTAACGAGAAAAGATGTTTCATGTTGTAAGTGTTTCATTTACAACACAACAATACAAACGACATTAATGTGATGAATGAAGTTGCTTTTCACTGCACAATTATTGATTCTCGGAGCAATTTGTGACAAGCAAACTCGTAGATCCGACTCTACGACAAGTCTCCACTTGTATTTTGTCATCATATTGGTAAGAGTTAAAAATGCTGTCTCACACATTCAAGTAATGGCAAAAAGCCATAAATTTCAATTGTTTTTTCTCACAGCAATGGATATTCATCCGCAACGCTCAACCAAAAATGACGCAATGAATTTTTGATTAAAATCAATCAGTAAAGACTGATCAGACTCTTTCCATATCATTGCGGACTCCCTGTGCAGTCATCACCCCCCAAGAACCCAGTTTGGGGAACCCTGCTATATAGCATGATGAAGTCATAAGTCATTCAGCATGCAAATAATTGATAGTTCCTCTATCAATAATTTTTTCTTTTGTATATGAATGTCTTTGCTTCTGAGCGGAAAATAATGCTGACAAACCTGGAGATTGATATTTAGGAACTCCGCCTGTACTTTTCTTTCCAACATTTTTCTTTGAGTCTTCCGTTTCTCTGAAAATTAATTGTCTTCCAGCGGCATCTCTAATGGGAGAATCTAAAAAAATTTGGAAAAGACTCCATTAAAAGCGCTAATTGCTGAATTCTTTTATAAAGTTATTCAGGAGTAATGGCACTGGAACACCATAATAAAATGAAAGTAGTTTTTCCTAAATGGTGCTGCCTATCCGAACTATCATTTTGTGGGAGCATTGGCTCAGTGGTCAATAAAGCAATATACTCGACAATGATGGTGTTGCACTCGTGGCTCGCGTATATCACATCGTATAAAAAAAAATTCAGTCATTCCAATATCATTCAGGGCTTGTTCCGTGCAAAGAGACTTATAAATATTTCGTATAGAAAAATACAAAGACATTAGTAAAGCAATATAAATATTGCTATTTGCAACACAAATACTATGAAACATTTTTCTGATTTTGCACAAACTGCAACAAAAATGCAGAATTTCGAAATAGCAAGACAGCAAGTCAACATACTTGTAGGACTTGGTGATGAATCTCTGGTTAAATCTATGGTTGTATATTCGATGTGTGCATTACGCACTCCCGTATGTGCTCTTGCTAATCGTCTAGGTGTCTTACTTTGCATAGCTCTCATTTTCTAAAAAATATTGCACTTTATTTATGATGCCGATAAGATTATAAAAGATCAAGATACTTATTATACAACTTCAATTATACAAAAGTGTTTCCTTTATTTAGACAACATAAATCGTGGGTGGACATTGCCGACATTCGTCTACGAGGCTTTTAATTTACAAATTCATTTCCATTACGTCGAAAAAGTGACAATTACCGTATTTCCCGGCTAATAAGTCGCTGGGTCTTAGGGTCTGCCAATCATGATATTTAATCGCAGGCCGGTTATCGTTACTTCAATTAAAGAGAAACACGGCCACCGAGATAAAGTGATTTGTGATCCTTTCGTTTTGCCGATTCAGCAGAACCTGACAGGTACCGGAAAACACAGCTGCGAAATAACCCGTGCACGTACGGTGTAGTACTTATCACATTCAAAAATTATTTCAACATTCGGGTTAATAGTTTGTCCAAAATGATTGTCGCTTTACAACTTAATTTTACCGCTCAATTGTTAAAAATAGTTAATTCTGTGAGTATGATTCTACTAAACTAACATGATCTGGTTCTAAACATATAAAATTATTAGCGCATATCAGCATAACTGGACAACAGGGACACAATTTTTCTACCCGTCTTATTGGAAACCTATATGGAAAAACCCCTTTTTTGAGTGCTAAAAATAGACATCGTCCTATTTGCTATGTGGACTTATTAGCCGGGAAATACGGTATTTATAGCCGTCATTGTTACAGTTACGATATCCAATAAATTGTCAAAGTTGGAAAAGCAAGTCGATATATTAGAAAATAATTTCTGGCAAATAATTTTGATAACGATAGTTAAAACTATCGATCCTTTACCAGGATGATTTTTTGTTGCGCAAAATAATCCAATCCATGACTGGTACCAGCATTTAAAATGTCATACAGTATTAATTTAATTCTGTTCAACGTAACTCATGGTTGTATCGACAATCTGTGGACATAAAATGTGTGGTAAACTGACAGATATTATTAAATATTGATTCCTATTTTCATATTGATAAAATAATGAAAGTATTAATACCAAATACCACGGGTATTTGTGGACATGAAATGCGTGGTAAACTGCCCAATTATAATTAATTTCGGATTCGTATTTACAAAATAATAAAGCTATTATATTTTTAAAATGCAACGGCGATCTGTGGCCTTAAAATGTGTGGTAAACTGCCCGATTTACCAACATTTGAGTTATGATAATAGAATTAAATTAACACGGTAAGGCATTTTAAATAGTGGTATCAGTCATGGATTCGAATATTTTGCGCAGCACAAAATCATCCTAATAAAAAGTACATACTTTTAAATACAAACCAATGGCAACCATTATCTTATTATTATACCATTATACCATTATTTATGAAATAATAAAAGTAATATTACTCAAACATACAACGGCGATCTGCGGACTAATGTGTGGTAAAGTTCCCGAATATAAATAATTTTTGAATCGTATTTTTGTACTCGCGAAAAAATTGTCACGAGTCGGAAAAAGAACTCATACTTTATCCCGCTTTTTGGCAATTAATTTGGATAATGGATGATATCTAAAAGTATGGGCATTTTACTAGGATGATTTTGTGTTGCGAAAATATTCAAATTCATCACCGATACCACTGTTTAAAATGCCTTGCCGTATTAATTTAATTCTGTTAACATGACTCATGGTATACAAAATATATACTGCAATAATCTGCAAATATGAAATGCCTGGTAATATAGCTAGGTTGTAACTTGTAGATAGCAGTTATTCCATTGCTTATTGTATGGAAATTCCTACATACATTTAGATAAGCTTAGTGTATAATTAGTGGATTTTATTTTCGAAGTATTCGAAATTTCATATTCGAAAAAAATAATTTCGAATGTATTCGAAATAGTGAACTATTCGGTATTGGCCATTCCTGGCGATAACCTACCGCAGCTGTTCCCAAATGCTGAGTGTTATTAAAAAGCAAATTATTCTGATTACAACAATTAGATTACAAGTATAAAACGAGAATATCGGTTGGAAACCGAAGACTTATCGATCGATAGTTAGGGGATCCCCCACAACAGAAACTGCAGTTTCGATTCATCCGCTCTTGTAACTTGCGCACTGCGCATCGCACACACACACTCGGAGGGTTTCAAAATTCTCTCGCTTTACAAAAATCTAGATCAATATATCAATAATTGATTGATAACTCGCTAATTATACGACATAATTCGCCCAAAATCAATAGGCTTCTGGTCCGAGATAAGATGAATGCTCATGCAAAATCTGGAGCAGATTCAATCTCGCTTTCGTGAGATATCGCGTGCATCTAACAGACACACACACAGACATACAGACAAATACCTATCAATATACTTACCGATCTTAAGATCGATAAGTAACAAAATGTATTTGATAATGAAGGTTGCCAAATAAAGTCAAAATCTCTGTCATATTTTACATAACAGACTTAAATTGGGATGGTTCAAGTCAGGGGTTTGCAACCTTTAATAAGCCAGGAGGGCACGATACAAATAACTTGGTAAAACTGTGGGCAACTTAATTTAACATAGTCTTTCTAGTAATTGCAGGCGCGAAAATTTAGGTAATTGATCTTATGACATGCGTTATTCACTTCGCAAAAGTTTGTTAGCACATAGTAACATCATAGGAATAGATAATAAATTGGAATCATGTATAGGCTTTGCAGCGCAAAGGGATTGAAATTATTCGCACATTCCAGAATAAACTAAATAAAAAAACTCGTTTCGAGGACCGCACACCATTAAAAATTGGCTTCTTCACAGGTCGCATAATTATTCCTTGTGGGCCGCATTTGGCCCGTGGGCTGCAGGTGGCACACCCCTGGTTTAAGCTTTCAAAAAATGTCTTGCAACTCTTAATGATTTCAAAGTTTGTTAATGAACTATCTGAACATTTTGATCCATCAATTTGTCATATAGTATCACAATAGAAACTTACATTATGTGATTGCTTAAACAACGGCTCAAGACGTAATGATCCACGATATATCCATTCTCTACTGTTATCTAACAAATACATGACCTCTACCAAACTGCAGTCAACTTTCATACATTTTGCTCTATGCCATTCACCTTGAAATTCGACCTAAAAAATAAGGATATTAAGAAATGGAATTGGATTTCTATGAATATCCTGAAAAGAATCAAGTCTAGGTAGGGTGTGACAAAAGATAACGTAATGTAAGAGAATTGACATGTTTTTTGAAAAAAGGTATAATCACTGGTAAAATATGACATGCAAGAAATGTGAAAAAGTTAGTAAATTTAGTATTTCAATGTATGTTTAAAAGTATGACCTTCAATATTTGATGTACTTTCATTGTTAGCATTGGTCTTTCTGGAGTGGATAAATATTCCTTGATATATTCCGCAGTATGCCTAGAAAGAAATCATTGCAAATTCATGCACAATAAACAATTTAACACTTGATTCTTATTTCTATAGTTATTATTTTAGCCCTATGCCTTTACTAATTGCAAATTAATATCTATTCCAGACCTATGAAAATAATATGTTTCATTGTTCCGACATTTATTAAACGTTTCTGTTGGAAATAGACAAAAATGGGCAATCAATGCCAATCATAAGTATGAACATACAATATTTCAGATGCTTTCATAAAGTTTGGGAGGTCCGGTTACAATTTCAATGTTGCTATAGGTCAGCTCTTAATATCTTGACCAGTGACACAGACAGAGGGGTTTTCAGAGTCGAACTTTTGAAAATCCTGGCTGCGTGCCTGATTTTAACCAATTTTGTTTTATTTTAATCAGTGTTTATTTTAGTTATTTTTCTTCGTTTTTATATGCCTGTAGACGTCAACAAACTGTAAAGCAGTGGTTCCCATCAGGGGACCACCGAGTGATTACGGGGGTATGGGGGCCAACGTACTAGCAACTAAATTATGTTTGCATAATTTCCCCTTCATAAGGAAATTCCCCATTCTTCGTATCACATGAAAAGACCATTTCCAGTCACCGGGTATTCTCACTTTTCTTGTGCATGAATTGTTTCATCATAATGGGATTAGGAATCTACCAATCAAAATACCAATATGAGTACTTCAGTGCACAGCGGACTTTAACCTTTTTATAAATAACATTGCAATTTGCAAACTTTCAAGACTTTATAAACAACCTGGGTCATATAACACACATGATTACAATACCTGTACGATATATCATCCCAAACGTTAGCAGGAGGTGCATAAACAAGATACACTGTTCTTAGTTGACAGTACATTGCATATCCATCATCAAAAAATATCAAATATCGTCCTTTATTGGTTTTCCTGTCCGGAGCTTCTGCAACAATCCCAGAATAAATCCCTTCACTTCTGTAATGCGCGGCAATTCTAGATCCAGTCTGTATCTGTCCAGGTGCACATTGATGAGGTGTATCCAAACAAGCCAAATGATTTGCTTGTACTTTACTTTTACCTCTGTTCATGTCGTAACGTACCTGAGATACAAATGTAGTAATTTACCAAAAAAGATTAGGGATCCAGTGAGATGAAAAAAGCGTTCCCATATAAAATTACAAAAATAAAATATCGGGTCTATGAGACTGAAAAAAAAAAAGAAAAAAAGAATAGACTTTTAGCAGCTTACTCCAGTGGTTCCTAAACTGCGGGTCGCGAGCCCGAGTTGGGATCCACTGGCTCACACCACCATTAATAAGTACTGAATATTTAAAATTAATTGGGCCATATGTTGCAGAAAAACGAAATTTTCTCGAACAACAACAAACACACAGATAACAAGAAGTTAGCAAATGATGCTACTGTGCTCTTATCCATAAATGACCAAGGTAAAAAAAACATACTTTATATTTTGTTTTAGAATCTTGTTTGAATATATCGATGATGGTAGCAGGAAACCACTGTGTTCGTTTCTTTGCTAAGACTCGAAGTCCTGTGTACAAGCCCAAATCATCAGCTTCGTTTTTTTTGTCCAAATTTTCAGATTTCATTTCTGGCTTCAGTTCAGGAAGCTCTAAAAAAGGAGAAAATATGACTTTATATAAATTTTATCTATGATATATGTTGGTTCTACTGATATTACTTTATTTGGTGTGTGTACCAGGTCAGGGTTAGGCCATAATTTTTTTCTGATTTTTCTTATTTTAGTTCCATTACAGGTTCGGGGTCTGTGTTAGCCAAGTGAATATAACCCTGCCCATAGGCTTTCGTGCTTTTACACAACTTGATGTGAAGTAGACGAACAAAATTCAGTTACCTCTATATTGGTACACATACTTTTGAAGAGAACCCAGAAGGCCAGCCTTTGATTAATCTAACATTACTTGAAGTACGATAATAGATCCAGTTACCCTTCCGGCAACAATACCATCACGACATATACTGCATATAATTGAGATTTTTACTTAATAACTTCTGGGGTTTAGAATCCATTTGAGACGATTATTTCACGACTGCAGTCAATCTTGGATGTACTTTCCATGGCATGATATATAATGTGTGGCCAATCAGAAAATCACCATTCCTTTCACAACAAAGATATCACCTGATGTGGCATTCTGGCTTCCCTCTTTATTTTTCCTTTCTGAATCATTCTTTTCTGGTTCAGGTTCGTCATCATCTATTAAAAAGGATAATATTTCGTAATATTTTGAAAAGATATCCATTCAAGTTATCCAAAACTACAACTGTCCAGGCTGCCGTTTTCATTATTAGTCTCAATATATGTGAAAATGGATATAGCAAACATGTAACAATTCAGCAAATGTATATTTAAAATAAAAGTATCTAAGCTAACAATGAGTAAAACAAGAATATCGTTCGGAGACCGAAGGCTTATCGATCGAAAGTTAGGGGATCCCCCAAAACAGTGCTCTTACTCCATAGTGACACCGTGTGTCCTATCATTAATTAATCAATAACTCGCTAATTATACGACATTATTCATCGAAAATCAATAGGCTTCTGATCCGAGCTATGATGAATGCACATGCAAAATTTGGAGCTGATTCAACCTCGCTTTCGTGAGATATCGTGTGCATCTAACAGACAGACAGACAAACAAACACCCAATAAAAATACTTATCAATCTTAAGATCAATATTTAACGAGAATATCGGTCAGAGACCGAAGACAAGAGTTTTCAGTCTTCTAGTAAAATCCGAAAGAAATGAAAAATTTTTTGCCACGACGATCGTTGCGGCGGCCCACTATTAGTGTTGTTTTAAATTACAATACTCATTATTCGGTAAATTCCAAGTACGGTAATAGTTTCACATTTCATGCATTTGATCGGCGCTACATGCGGATACCTGCTGACTACGGATTAAGGGTTGATGTTTGAAATAGGACTTGCAAAATATTCACCAAACACCGTTAGACGGGCTACACGTAACTGTGGAATTTCGCTGTGAACGACCATACATTTTAGTTTATTAAGCGCCTCATGTCAACGTGAATTGCACTTTTGGTGCAATATTTTAATTTCACCAAATCCTGGCTGCGCCCCTAGCCTTAATAAATAATTATCCCAGGATGGGAATTTGAAACAGCGAACCAATTCAGAGTAATTGGAAGTGTGTGTTCCTGACACTCAGGGTGATGCGTCCACGGCTGAGCCTATTAGTACATTTTTACATCCTCTAAATTTCATTTTAGCCTGTTTTGTGGTTGCCAGTCTCCCATAGACAACTCTCAAACAAAAGATAGTTATACAAATGTTATGATTAGTGTTGAATATTAGCGCACTTTTTTGCGATACCGGCGAGGCAACTTTGCAGTTATTTTTAGAGTCTGCAAAATTGCCATTTTTTTAGTTTCTGAATCGAAAAAATTTTGAAGTTGACAAATAATTTGTGTTCGAGTATAATATTGACAAATAAACTGTGTGCCAGTAATTCTGTAACCCAATTTTACGACATTTGCAGCAATTATAGGTTATGTGGTGCACATTATTAAGGGTTGAGGCCATCTGAGATTTTGCATTAACCGCAAAATTCCAGTTTATAGTATGTTTTATACAAGCACTCCTATTCCACTTCTCCCACAAAAACGCTCGACGGCATCGACCAGATGTTGGAATGCAACACCTTGGCGCTTCTATAAACGAGAGTGGTCATGTGTTATGATTATTCATTTTTTACATTTTTAATCTCACCATCAAGTACAATGACATCAGCAGCCATAAGTGAGTGAATTTCTTTGCCGAGAATTTCTATGCCGAGAATTTTCTCTTGTGCTTCTAACTCCTCAACCTCCCTCAGAGTTTCGTCAAAAATAACTTGAGTTTGCTTCATCTAATCATGTACAAAATAACTTAGAAATAAATTTCAAAAAGCACATACTTTCTCAAGTTTCAAGAGAAAAGAAATTAAGTAGATTTGGTAGTTCAGATTAGATAAACTTTTTCTAAATCATTTCCAATAGGTTTTAATTGATAATATACCAATTCAAGCATCTACAATATACATTAATCTACAAGTTAGAAATCTCCATTCAAAAACAATTTAATAATGGCATTAACAAATGACAATTACATTTAATTTAATTAATAGTAAATTTATATAAAGATGAGATTTCTTTAATATTTTATCCAAATTCCATGTTGATCATATGTAAATTTTTTTCTATGGCCAAAAACTAACTGATGCTAAACTTGATTAAGTAGAAACAAACTCGCTCAAAGATAAAGAGCATAATGTAATGTGCTATACTCACAATAGGGGTGAAAGTATTATCAACTCCCATATTCAGTTCTTCAAATTTTTTATTCACAAGGTCACGATATCCAACATTTTCAAGTTGTCTTGCTACAAGATCATCAAATTCCTGAATATAAAAACAAGAAAATCTTTGATAAATCATCAAACAGATTGCATATATTGGATTCAAGTCCTGTGATAATGTGGTGACTGGTTACAATTACAATAACTGCCCATAGATAAAGTGAGGTAATTTAAGGGAATATCTGATATCTATTCATTGTTACTTATCAATTTTAATCGGTGAGTATGTTGATAGGTATTTGTCTGTCTGTTTGTCTGTCTGTCTGTTAGATGCACGCGATATCTCACAAAAGCGAGGTTGAATCTGCTCCAAATTTTGCATGTGCATTCATCATAGCTCGGATCAGAAACCTATTGATTTTCGATTAAATTAGGTCGTATAATTAGCGAGTAATTAATTAATTAGTGATAGGACACATGGTGTCACTATGGAGTAATAGCGCTGTTTTGGGGGATCCCCTAACCTTCGATCGATAAGTCTTCGGTCTCCGACCGATATTCTCGTTTCTAGATTGTCAAGATTCCGTCATGTTCTCATTGTATTTCGTGTACATTTGACACATTTGTGCAAGGGATGGGGATACAAGTATTTCCTATTGGTCTTATAACATTTGCGGCCTTCACAAGAGTGCGATTACAATTTTTTTTTTTTGATAAATAGCTAGCGCATTCATGAAACAATGAAGAGGGAATATCGCAACATGGTTGTACAAAATATTTACCGAACACTGCCTGGCGAAGCTAGAGGAGGTACACGTAACTGTGAAACTTCGATATGAACACAATTTTTTAGTCCTTTAAATGCCTTACAACGTCGTGTCGTCGTGGATTGCACTTTTGGCACACTGTTTAATTTCCCCACACGACAGATTACACGTCTCACACAGGGCATAATAAATTGGGTAGACAGTAGACACTGCCAAAACAGAAAAATTCTGGTCTTTTCGATTAATCGCATCTCCATATATATAAGGTTTGATATCAGAGTTATTTTAAAGGGACATTTTTCGGAACAAACAGCATGAATAAGCATAGTGAAACAAAAATACCACAATCTATATAGGAGCGCAGTTTAATAATGAAACAAGAAACAACTGCAGCATTTGAAGATGAAACTTTCAGCACAACATTTTCTAGTAGAATTAACTAAAATCACCTTTAAAATTTCCATTTCCTTTCCTGTGCTGAAATCCAGACTTCTGCTTGCCATCTCAACGAAAAAAATATAGTCCAACTAGGTGGTAGCAAAATTGATTATTCACGCACTCAAATCCAAAGAAAATAGAGAATACAATTGTTTTGTAGTTGTACCGGATTGACAAGCAAGTTGTCCCAATAACATTTGCCCAATATCTTTTATCTCGTTGTATTGATGTAATTTCTCAATATATACTTGAACGTCAGCCTCTTCAAATCCCTCATTCCTATAAGTTACAATAAATCAGGTCAGGAGTTGTTGCGAGAAAAAAAAAAAGAAACTAGTAAATATTTTCAATCTTGATGATTGAATCAGGTCAACTTAAGCAGAGGTTTCCAAAGAATTGAGTTCAACTACATACCAAATTGATGTTATTGAAATGCCGGTATAAATTTTTTATTATGTTTGCCAAGTAGAAGTTTATAAAAATTAAAATTTGCTACAGTTAGATGAAATCAAAATATTATATGAAGTGCACAATTGGAAAAAAGTTATTGAATTGCCGGTATATTGATTAAATTTTTTATTATGTTTGCTAAGTAAAAGTTTATATAAATTAAAATTTGCTACAGTTAGATGAAAAAAAAAATTATATGAAGTACACAATTGGAAAAAACAAAGTCAAATAACAGAATTTCAAGATATTCAGATATGGACATGCCTAATGCATTTACGGTAAGCTTTTGTACAGTTGAAAAAAAAATTAGCAAAGTATGATGACATGGTCGCGGAATACTACTATTTTTAATTTTTTTTCAATAGAAAGCTATAAGCTATAACACCCTTTTTTTTCAAATGGAACCCATGGGACAAGATATTGACACTAAATATTTTCTCTGTATTATTTTACAGAACTACAGAAATGATTAATACCGAAGTAAACAAAGATTCAGTAAAATATCATCTTTATCTGCTTTCATTTTAGAACTTTCAATTTTAAATAAAAATATTTCAAATATTTCAGAAATGTAGAATTTATTTTTTCATTTCATAAGTAACTCCTTATAAACATATGATAAACAAAAATTGACTTTGAACATGTGTGCATTGGGCAAGAATATTTATCTTTGCAGATTATATAAGTCGCAAAACAAATACATATTAGAACAGAGACAGAAAAACATGAGGTTTCATAAATGTGAGGTTAGCATCAACATCAAAGAACTAGTCAGAGTATGCATCTTGTTAATTTCATTGCATTGAGTGAAGTAAATTTTCAGTCAAATTTGAATAGTGTTACCTCAATAGCTCGATTTCAGCATCTAGTTCTGCGTTTTCTTGTTCTAATTTTACTACTTCCTCTGCAAGACTCTCATCTAGTTGTTCGCAGGTTTCATTGTTTGAATTAAGAGGAATTTTTGCAACAACTTCTTGTAACTTTGACGCTTTGGTTGGGGTGCGAAAAGCACCTATAAAACAAAATTCAACTTTGATGATCTTATTCACATGTCTGATTAATAAGTTTACATATGTCTAACCCACTCATATGTGCCATTGGTAAAATTGATGGTATACCAGCTTGCAGGCTACTGGTAATAATGCTGTTTATAATGAGGTTTATAACATCAATACAACTTGTATTGTTGTTATAAACAGCATTATACAACTGACTGCATATTTGAAGAATCTGTAACAGGCTAGGATGTGGTTTCCTGTCTAGTTGTATAAATCAGAAGGTGTCAACAGAAGGTTTATAGGGAAATTCATACTCCCTAAAACTTTGGAAAAAGGTTACAAAGTTATAACTACAACCCAGATAAATTTAGACAGAAACTTTGAAAACCTATGACCTATATTTTTTTTATTCATGACAAAATTATAATGACCCATTCAGTTGAAAGGTTAGTCATTCCTGTACTGAGGAATGCTTTGATTTCTAGCACCATTGGCTTGGTGATGTAACTAACACAACACATAAATAGAACTCATGCAACAGAGCTTAGAGCTGTTTTAAAAAGTTTTTGTATTATTGCAATGTAGTGGGAAAGTGCACCAGGGACCAGGGTATTATAAAATTTCAGGCAAATTGGAGAAATGAAATTTACCTCATTTTAAAAAGAACAATATAGCCTACATAACTATTTACTTTGAAATGTACCAAATCAGAACATCAGATACAGAACACATACAGATTTTTTGTCTTTTTCGCTTGTATGTTGTCACCATACAGGCCGTGTTTTCGACTGTACTAATGGTCAACTCGTCAGTCGGTTTTTGTGGTGTTGTCTGTTCAGTTGCTTCGTTGTCTGAACAAAAGAAAGGTAATTTAAAGTAAGTTGGCAGAAACTGAATGGTGATACGGGCAAAGAATATGAAAAAACTTTTGAAGCAAGGAAGGCTCAGAGGATCAGTAGTAAAGATTCAAAATGTAGCAAATTTGCATTTTAAAATTTCTAAAACTTTGTTAAAAGTAAACTGCAAAAAATCCATCCTAACCCCCCATCTGACTACGTCACTACGACATCACAATCACGTCATGAGGCTTGGCAAATATATGTATCATCACCCGAAATGCATTGGCGTCGACGATAAAGAACTGGCTAAGTCAGCGATCTCTCTCACAATAACTCATATTGTGATCGTTGCAATGAGAAAACGAGAGAAATAGCTGTTCCATTTCGGGTGCTCGTCATGGATGACAGTTCGTATAGTTTGAAAGGCTCTATTACGTCACTGTGAGTCTGTGACGTCGTAGTGACATAATTTTTGGGTGGCATAGTCGTGTGGGGGTTAGGATTGACATGTGAAAAATTTGTTTTGCAACGCCCACTAGAAGTACGTTAGGTAAGAAACTACATGAAACCCACCCGAACCTGGTACTACACACTATAGGAGTACCCTAAATAAACCCCTAATGAATGAACATTGCCTATCTCAATTTACGACAATAATAACTGATATTGTAGATAAAAGTAGTTCAGTAACACAAAAAAGAGAACATACGCTTTGGAGCTGTGGGCGATCTCTGTGGTGATTTGAAAGCAGATCTAACTTTTCCAGTTGAAGTAAAAATAGCTGATCTTCGACGAAAATGAGCGACTGGAGTTTTACTTTGGGGTTTTAATTCTGCCTCATATGGCATTACAACAAAAATATAGATTTCACTTAATAAATGTAGTTTTTGAATATATGCCTTTTATAATTGTAAAACTTGAAAAAGAAAGAGTCAAAGGTCACAAACCAACTTAGAAATAATTTATGTGTGAGACAGGGATGACAGAGTTACAATTAAATAAAAATAAATTTTGATTTTACGATTTTTGTTAGTATTGCGTAAAGGCTATTTAAGAATATCTCTATTTAATTAGCCTACACATTTTTACAAATGTTCAAGATATAGCCTACACTTTTAACAAATTTTAAAGAAATGGAGATAACAGTCGCGGAAGCAAAACTGGATTCTATGAATTATAAACATGACGCATATAATAACACACCTCTAACCAATGCGGTGAATAAAGAATATAAAATGTTACATATAATTACATTGTATCAAACTGTTTTAATTAGTGGTAAATCAAGTTATTCAACATATAATTTTGAGATAATGTCAAACTAGATATAGGTTTAGCCTTCCTTCCCAAAAAGTATAGCAAATTATAGATTGTTTTTGGAGAAGTCATTATCATTAATAATAATATTAAATACCAAAATAGATTGAGTGCACAAACAAAACATGATAGAACAGTGAACGAAGAAATTAATGATATTAAAATAAACAGCATACAAAAATCTGAATTTTTTTCTGAGCAGAAAAAGTTAAGTATCTTGTTACAATCGTATTCTAACTCATCAGACAAGAAGCATTATATATAAAACAAGTTTGATACAGCAATAACTGACCTTTCATTAGCGTTTTCTATGCTAATTAGAAATAGCATTAATATTGAGTTTTGCTTCAGAGTGGCAAAGAATGCAAAAAACACTTTTGACTTGGAGTTGTATTTCAGTAGTTACGCTGACGAGAGCTATCAAAATGATCAGCATAAACAGTTCTGCCATGAAAATTTCTTGCATGACCACCCCTTTTTGATCTTGAGTTTACATTTTGAGTCACTCTAACATTATTTTGCATAATTGTGGTAAATTTTTTATCAAGTGACCTAGAACTAGAATTAATAATATTTGTGAAAACTTCCTGAAAAGTGTCAACAGTGTTTTCTTCCTCACTACACAGGTTGATGATTTCATTATCGACTTCCATTTGTTCTCCTTCGTATTGGGTTGCATTATTTAAACTACTACTAGGTCTATCAGATTCTCGTGTTACTGTTCGCTCAGAGTTTAATCGTAATTCTTTGCCACTGTTCCGACTACCACTTGGCAAAACAGAGATTTTATGTCTCGTTTCGCCAGCATTAGTTGAACACAAAATAACAGGTTTATCTTCTTCATTCTTTCTGATTGATTTCAAATACTTTTGGTATTGATAATTTGGTTTTCTCCGTCGTCTATTGAAGATTCCGCGTCTATTATTTTCAATAGTAACTTTTAAGATGCCACTATTTTCTCTTTTCACATTGGTGTTGCGGTTTTCGGAGAATTTAAATCTTGATTGGTTCCATCGTTTACCTCTGAATTTTCTTTTAGAACCTGTTCCGCGTTCTAAATAATCAGATCTCAGTGTCCTGTATGACATTTTGCTATACTACAATAAAAGTGATACATAAAAACAGAAAGGAAAGGATTAGATACTGAGTCAGTGAGTTGAGTCATTTGATTGTTATCATTCAGCAATAGCAAATACCTAGTCCAGTTGCGACCCACTATTTATTACCACAGCTTATGGCGACCCATTTAACTTTTTATGAAATAACACAGAACACAGAAATAGCTACTCAAAACTACCGTGTTTCCTCAAAAATAAGACCTGGCCTGAAAATAACACCTAATTTGAATTTTAAAATGATTTACCCTTGAAATAAATTTAAAATGTGTGGGAGAGGAAAGGTTCAATGACCTAAGGTAAGCTGAAGATCATACCACTATTCATGATTGTGTGATGTTACAATCACAATTATGATATTTGTCACTTGATTTTTGTATAGAAAATACAAATAAAAACAATGGATGTCAGTTTTTATATAATGTTTATTAAAAAATCTCGTGATTTTATACAATGAAATTTTATTTCGATAAATGAACTCAAAAGACCTCTTCCA